AAAAAAAAAAAAAAAAAAAAAAAAAAAAAAGACCAAAAAACCAGAAGGATCAAGTTGGCTCATTTGTAGGGCATTGGGTGTACCCCGAGACCATAATGTGAAGTGAAATAAATCAGACACAAGCTTGAATACCACCTGGTTTTTCTCACATGAGAAACCTGAAGTATAAATCAATTAAGCAGTAAAAACATACTCACAGATGGATCGTCCACAACATGCATGTTTGCTGCCATGTTATCAGACAAAGCAAGTTCAGTCTTTTATTTCTGTGCTACTATGTCTGTCTCACCCCACAGAACCACTCTACAAATTGATGACATTTTAAGTTATGGACAAGAAAGAAATTTTTTTTGTCTTTTTGAGACAAGAGTTTTGCTACACAATTCAGGCTAGCTTTGAACTCACTTTGTAGCCCAGGCTGGCCTTAAGCTCACGGCCTCAGGTTTCCAAATGCTGGGATTACAGGTGTGTGCCACCATGCCCAGCTTGAGAAACAAATTTTAATTTGTATGTTAACAGTCAAATTTAAAGCATACCCTTGGGGCTGGGGATTTAGCTCAGCGGCACAGCGCTGGCCTGGCAAGTGCGAGGTCATGAGTTCAATTCCCAGTGCCGGAAAAAAACCACACACACACACACACACACACACACACACACACACACACACAAAAGTAAAGCATAGCCTTTACTTCCCAGAAGCAAATCTTTTCCCTGTCCTTAATTATAGGAATGGACAGAAATCCTTCACATTGGATTCTTAAATTGAACCTTTTCCTTTGCAGGGCTAGGGATGGAACCTAGGACATGTGCACGCTAAGCAAGTGCTCACCACCAAGCTACATCCCCAGCTCCCCAGACGTATTTTCTTCTGGACATATCTTTATCGCACATTATCAACACCAGAATCACAGCAGAAACTGTAAGCAAGACCCAAGAATATTAAAAATGTCACCATAGCTGTACGAAAACCACCTGCGGGTATTCAGAGGGGGCACAAAAGTAATGCTGTGCAATGCAGACTGTACCTTGCATGGCAGTGAAATTAGAAGACGGTGTTGGTGTGACTATCCCAAAATTAAAGTCAGTCCTGGCAAACGGAAAAAAAAGTTAACAAGAGACAAACCCTCGGCACAAAACCAGCCTTTCGATATTCCCCTTGTGAGCCATACACACAGCCTGCCCTCAGAGGCGAGCTACAACAGAGTGAAAGCGCCTCTCCAGGGTGCTGGGGCTGCTCCAAGGTCTCCGCAGGGCCAGGCGACGTGAGGCGGGGGCAGCTGGGAAGGCCTCAGAGGGAGGCCGGAGGTCTGGCTGGACAGTCAGCCCTCGGAAAGGGCATGGCAGTAGTGGGAACACTGGCAGTGTGAACGGGAGCAGAAGCTAAGGGGACGGCCAGCCTCGGGCAGGAGTGGAAGAGGGTCTGGAAAGACGTGAGCAGCTGGAGTAGGGTGACCCTGGGACCCCCGCCAGGTCTAATGGCACAGCAGGAGAGCCTCATAACATGAAGGGGGATACTGGCTAGAATGGGTCAGCAGCACCGCCTCCGCCACTGAGACCAAGCCGAAGCCCAGAGTTCTGGGCTGGGAGGATCTGTTCAGAACTCTCCTGCCCTGTTCACGGCCTCCGTTCTCCTCTTGTATGTGTTCCCTACACACGAGGGACAAACCTCACGGTCAAAGGAGACTCAGCGTAAGTGTGGGCCAGAATAGGTGTCACTGTAACAACGGATTTTAGACTAAGTAAGTTTTAAAATATAAGGGGTCAAGTTTAACAAATACAGTAAGGATTAATTTTATTACCCACTGCTGCCCTCAAGATGGGGCAAGCATTTTATCATACACAGAGAACAACTCCGTCTCTGCTGGCAGGCCTCAGTCTTAGCGGTAAGGTTTACCTAGTTAGGTCAAGCCAGCCCACACAGCTTCAGGTGTGCTCTATGACGGGGAGGGAGTAACCCTTCACAGAAGGGAAGGCGCAGTATTAGCGCGTGCAAAGAGGGCAGCATCCTTGGCACTGACCTGCTCTGTAAAATTTGCTCCCACTGAACTCTGGGGAGTAGAAAACTGGATGCACAACAAAGAACCCAAACACAGTTTCCTCCCTCCACCCTAACGCCCTCTTGCCTTCTTCCTCTCATGTTAGGTGAAGGAGGAAGAAACGTGAACACCCGGGAAAGGGACGACAGCAAGGAGACCTCAGTGAGAAAAGCACACCGCGTGTTCTCAGGACCTGAGTAAGTGGCTCTCTGGTGGCGACAGACCTGCTGACAGGTTCCGACCTCAGCCGCAGCTTGACTGCAGCACTGTGGGACTGGGCACGGGGATGCCCAGCAGTGCCTGGCCCTTTCTACCTGAGTGTGCGTGTGTGACCTGGGAACTCGAGTTGGAGAAGACACTCTCATTTTATAAGATGGCTCAACTTTACCTGTATGGCCACTGTCTTTAAAAACACGTAACAGAACTACATTTCCCATCTCTGCAAAAACCACAATTTCAAATGGTTTTCTCTTTTGTTTTACACTCCGAGCAGTGCAGCTAATCTGAGTGTCACATCCAGTGTCCCGGGAGTGTCAGGATGAAGCTGTCTCAGTGTAACAAACCAGACCACCTGCAGAACTGACCAAAGAGACTATGGCTTGGGCTATCGAAAGCTTCTGGTTGACAGTAGAAGGCCCAGCTACCGCCACTCTTGGCTGTGTGTCAGCGCAGGGGAAGAGCTATGGCCAACGCCCTGAATGAGCATGCGCGCACTTGCGCACATACACATACAACGCCTGTGCGCGCAGAGCCCTGCTGGATGCAAAAGCTGGGAAGGCGACGTGCCCATTACTGACCCCGATGGTGCGAATGAGAAAGGCCTGCTGCACTGCCCCATGGCAGCAGGAGTCGAGGTCACCACTGTGTCTACTTTGGCCGGCCCAGGCCCTGCAATGAGCGAAAAAGTCTGTTAGAAGCGCTGTCCTCGCTTGCAGTTCCCAGCAGCTCAGCATGCACGCTGTTGTCCAGAGCCCCCACCCAGCATCCTGTGACCCACAGGTGCTCAGGGAGCAGGTGTGCGGTGGGCTTAGCTCCAGGACTTGGAGCTTGCTCTTCTGCTCTGCCAGAGTTAATTCCCATCGGAAGTACATCATGCTCTCCTTTCCAGGAAAGACATCAAACAATTGCCAGCACAGCTCAAGTTTAAAGTTGTAAAAGTATAGTCTTTTAATTTTTATGTTGTAGGGAAGTGCTTATACTGCAAGACCAACTGATATATATATAGACACATATATAGACACACACATACATGTTCACATATATGGGTATATAGAGCGTAGCTTTAAATCAGTTCAAATTAACATACACTGGAGGTATGCTGGGCCTGGTGGCACACGCCTATAATCCCAACACATGGGAGACTGAAACAGGAGGATCGCCGTGAGTTTGAGGCCAACCTGGACTATGTAGAAAGTTTAAGGCAGCCTGAACTACACAGTGAGACCCTGCCTCATAAAACCAAAAAAGCTGGTTGTGGTGGTGCAGGCCTAAAATCTCTGCACTTGGGAGGCTGACTCGGGAGGATCACCATGATTTCGAGGCCAGCCAGGGGTACATACTGAGTTCAAGAGCAGCCTAGACCATACTGCAAAACCTGGCCTCAAACAACAAAAGCCCAAAAAGCCAGGTGTGGTGATGCATGCCTGTAATCCCAGCACTTGGGAGGCCGAGGCAGGAGGACTGGCATGAGCTCAGGCCAGCCTGGGCTACATAGTGAGTTCAAAACCAACCTGGACCACACAGTGAAGCCCAGTCTCAAAACATGAAACAACTTCCTCCAAAAAAGTCCAAAACAACAAAAAGCAATATGTTGAAGAAAAAAAAAGAAAGAATTCAAAGATAAGTAGGGTAACACGCTAAACATTTCTGAGCAGTGACTTCATGATGGACTACATCACAGTTACTGCTTTATACTGTATTTTCTAGATGCTTTTAAATTTAATCAAAGAGCTTTCTTTTCTCTAAATTATAGAAGTAGCACACGATCACTATAGTTTAAAGAAGTATAGAAAGTTAAAGTGCAAATCATCACCCTCCTTGGGTTAAACTTCACTCTACTTGCTAGTTTGGGGTGTAATTCTCAATATTTTCCCTGTTGCTCTATTTTAAATGGGGGAGGGTGTTGAAAAGCTGTATTTAAAGAACCCCCCATAAAATAAAATGCCCATATCAAACCAAACCAAACCAAATAATCATAAGAACAAAATATGCTTTTATTTTATTATTTTTTGGGGGTATTAGAAATCAAACTCAGGGCCTTGTGCTTGCCAGGCAGCCACCGTGCCGCTGAGCTACATCCTCAGCCCCCAGAACATGCTTTGTTTAAATGAATATGGGGTGGCCGTTAGTAAAAAGGAATGTCAAGCCACTGGAATTCAACACAGTGTGCACCGCGTATCCAAGGCCGCTACGCCTTTGATCATGAGCTGCGAAAAACCACCCCAAATATCAGCAGAGTCTGCGGAGAACCGGGGAGCTATGCCCTGAGTCCTGGGCAGCCACTAAAATGAGAGGGCGGATCTGTACCAGGCCCGGAGAGATGACCAGGGCATTTACTGTAACAGGGTGGGGCTCAGGGGACGCAGCTTACAAGATCAGTACAAACAGGGCCTGCCTGCTTTTGTTTAGAAAACAATGAAATAGCCTCAAGATATACCATATACATAAAACCATTACGGGTTATTATCACTGAAATATGGAATTTGTGGGGGAGCTCTCATCTTCTACACTACAGATCTCTGCAACACAGATTTTTCTCATGGGTATCTGACAGTTTCTTTCCTTCCTTCTTCCCCCTCTCCCTTCCTTTCTTTTCCTTTGGCAGTATTAGGATTGAACGCTGAGCCTTGTACATGCCACACAAGTCTCTTACGCTGAGCTTACTCGCCAGTGCTGATACGCAGTAGTTTTATAATACAAAAAAAGAGAAAGTATTTCCATTATTGACTAATAAAAGAACTATTAAGCAGTTTTTACAAATGCTAAAAAAGAAACTTTCTATAAACTCAGAATTTTTCAGGGACGATTTTCTTCCAAAAGAAAAATGTTCTTTTTTAAAACCCTGATTCTCCAGCAAATGAAAGTACAAACGCTAGGCAATGAAGGCAGGCCTTCCGTGTCACCACTGAGTGATAAATCGCACACCGCTCTTCACGAGCCACACTACTCGCCTGTCCATGCGCAAAACAAAGTCCCTTAACTTCAAGAGGGAAAAGGGCTCACCACTGCAGTCCTTGAGACCAGTGAGGAGCCCAGATCTTTCTAAACTATCCCAAGAAACATTTCTTCGTTTGATTCCTACATGATTCAAGCTTTCGTCCCTAGTGGATAGGTGGTGTATGTGGCTCCGCAATAACCTGAATTTTAGAATTCAGCTGTGGCTTACACAAGAATGGTTTTCTTCTGAGTACAGGGAATATTTGCTGACAGTAAACCCGATAGCCAATGAGAAAGCTCTGGACAACGGAGAAAGTCAGAATCACTGTATGACTGAGCAGCAACTGTGGGATGGGCAGTGACTGTGTGCAGTTAGCTTTTGGACACGACCTGCTCATAGGCCCACCGAGAATGTCAATCAAGCTACAAACCAGAGTCCTGCGTGTGGCTCCGGCACAGGCTGAAGGCCACAGAGTCACTGAAGCCGAGACTCCTCTGAGCCAAATGAGGGACTGCAGGAACGGAGCCCAGAGGGGACACCAAGGAGGACCACGAGAAAAGCAGCGCTTCAGGCTGGCTCAGGCAAAGCCGGCCACGGTCAACACACTCAGTTACTATAAAGCTAGTCTACGTGAGAACAGCTATGCTTCAGTGAGCGTTGAGCGAGGCTGACTTATTATATAACACCTGCTCTGAAACCTTCTACTAAAAAATCCATTTTCTGCTCTACTGGCTTTTGCACTGTCACTGTGAGCCAGGGAATTTTTATTCCTTCTAGAGGAAATAGTACAACACTCCTAACCCTCCTCACAAGGCAGAAGGCATGCTACTGCTCCTTCCTAGGAAAACAACTTGAAGAAAGGTTTTCTCCTGCCATTCTCAAGTTTTTCAAGCTCAACTCAGAATTTCAGAAGCTGCTGAATGGCTAACTAATGTCCTAGAAATTTTCCATCAGTGGAGGCCTTTGCAGTATGACCTCTGAACTTGATTTCCTGTGTTGACTGCCTCAGTGGCCCACAGCAAAACTTATGTGTTTCTGTCATAAAACAAGAACGCAAACTGACCTGAGCCTTTATCAGCAGATGACAACAGACTGGACACTGGCGTGGGCCCAGACGGCTTCAGGGAGTTCATCAGAGACCCCTGCAGCAGAACACAACAACATATTTCTGGTAAACGATGAACCCCACTTGGACGAAGGGAACATGGGAAATGTGAATGTAAAAACATAAACTAAGCAAGCGTAAGTACGTTCGTTTAGCTTAATTACCAAAAAAAAAAAAAAAAAAAAAGGGAGAGACTAACGCAAGTCTCAATTTAAGCCAACTGCCCGCAGGACCGCCCTGGAGAACACAGAGGGCGACCCTGCCTGTGCCGGGCCTGTCCAGCCTGGAGCTGCTTTCCCAGTGCCTAGCACAGCGCCTTGCTCACAAAAGGCATCGGGACATTCCGCAGGTGAACAAGTGAATGAGCTAAGGCAGGAAATGTCCCAGCCCTCCATGAATTTACCACAAGTTTTAGAAGCAAAACTGAGTTCTCCATCTCCAGCCAACGTTCCTGCACTCATCAGCCATGATTCCCCCTTCCCGTGTCCTCCAGGGCAAGCGTTAAATCCTTGGGAGGTGTGATTGAAAATATATGGTGATGTTCACAGTTTTTAAAGAAATTAATTACAGTAAAAGAAACGGGCTAGGTATCTATCTCAGGGGCACAGTGCCTGCCTGGCAAGCTTGAGGTCCTGAGTTTGACTCCTGGTACCTCCCCCAAAAACGAAAAAAGAAACAGTGCCATTAATGCCCCTGCTCTGAACACTGCTCCCATCATTCTCGCCACTTTCTGTAGCAGCTCTGGAGTGCGCCTTCCTCTCTAGTTGTGCTGTCGTGGCTGCCTCGGTGTCCTGCACACATTCAAAACACTTCCTTTCAGTCCTTTTGACTTTGGGGAGGAGCTGGAAGTCACACAGTGCCAGATCCAGTGAATAAGGTAGAGGAGGTCACAGCGCCGCGCTCGTGTGGCTCTGGCTTTCCGTAGGATGGTGGGCAACAGCAATGTTCACTGTGTTTCTGATCACACCTCCCAAGAACATGAAAAAAGACTTCCAGAGAGCTTGAGAAATGGCAAGAACGATGCTGTGTGTATTGATGGGGATCAATGGCAGTGTCTTTTATAGTAAGTTTTTAAAAAATTTAAACATTCACCATATAATTGATCACTTCTCATAAATGTCATTTTAGGTCACAACAAACTAAGGAACAGGGTCACGTTTGAGAACAAACTCACAATGGGCAAGTTCTGATGTTCTGTCTCAAACCCTGATCGCGAATACAATTTAGAGCAACCCCTCTCAGCGGGCATGGGAGAGTGGCAGAGGAACCAGGTTTCCTTAGGACAAGTCTCGGACTTAGCTCGGTCCATCTTCCAGCTATCTCCTATTATTTTCTTCTACACTGTTTACAACATGACCTATTTTTAGCGGTAGACACTGCTTAGCAGTTGGGGGCCTGGAGCCAGACATAACATCAGTGAGATCAGGCAGACTCGGAGAGACAGACTGCGGGAGAGAGCAAGAGACAGTGCGGCCCTCAGGTGCCGACACCCAACAGTGCGGTGAGGGCAATGGACAGGCCAAGTCAACAGCTCAGGCCCAGCGCTGACTCCCCGGGTGGTTACGAATCAGGTGAGCCTCCGGCAGCCACCTGGGCCTGGGCTGCGTCCTCAGGGCAGTGTACGGCAGGGGCTCGGCTTGGCTGAGATGCGTTCAGTGAAAGTGAACTGTCAGCCAAAATGCTCCCGCCGGAAGGAGAGAATTCTAACGCGAGGTGGCTGGTGCGGAACGTCCACTGGCCCGTGACGACAGTGTGTGGTCCCGACTGACTGCTCTGGTTAACAGTTCATTATGAGGAAAGGGTCACAGCGCTCTGTCAGGTGTGTGGCTCATTTCAACTAAGAGGGGACTTGATAGAGTTTTCCACGACAACAGCGCAGGACTGCTGACACCACCATCCGACCATACCTGCTTGGCTTGGCTGGCAGCCACCGGCGCCAACACAGGGTGGGGCGTTTTGGCGGTGGAGTACGGCACCAAGGACCTGAAAAACACAAAGCAGTGTGAGGAGCACATTTGTCCCTGGGTCAATTTTCTATCCAATAAGGGATTTTGAGGGCAGCAATCTGGGGCAGAACACAGATGTCTGTAGCCCCAAGCAAACTCATTTGACATTTTGCTGAGTGCAGAAGAAGTTTCTTAAAGGAAATTTTGGGTTTTAGTACAAAGGTCTAAGTGGTGATCCTAAAATTTATTTTCATCCAGTAAGGAACTTTAGAACTAGATCATTTTCTTATTTGGAGAGTCAGCCCTCACTAGTTCAGTCCTCCACCACCCGACCATGTTGGGAACTGCTAGCTCTTTTCCAGCCCTGGAAGAAATGCTCAGCAGGACCTGTGGGACACACATGGTTTGCTGCCACATACAGCTCAAGGGAACGACCCCAAGAAGAGCTGTCGACATTCCACAGTTCCATGGCAGTGACCACCGGGGCTCCTGGCCAGGGTTCCAAAAACTAAACGTGGAACCGCTCTGCACTCAATCTGCACTTTGGGAGGGTACAAAAAGCTAGGCCCTACGTGCAGGAAGACCGTCCGTCCTCTGTTCACTCTCACCACTCGTGGCTGGAACCGTGACTTCAGTAATTTAGGGATAACTCGTGGGAAAACCACTTGTTAATGGGATTGCAGACAAAAGTTCTGGCTTCTGCTCAGCCCAAAGCTACTTTGACTGGTATGGACAGCAGGGCCAGTTATAGGACCTGGTTTTATTTTTTGTAACTCTTTCTAAATTTAGGGAGAATTATTTTAATTTTCTACTAAAAGATTAACTTCAGCTTGGTATGCACACCTGCAATCCCAGAACTCTGGGAGGCTGAGGCAAGGAAGTCCAAGCCCAGTAGGGCAACTAAGAACTCAAGACTCAGGCTCAAAATAAAAAATAAAAAGAGCTTGGGCTTTAGTTCAGGGTGAAGGTCTTGAGTTTGAACCCTAGTACTTAAAAACAAAAAACAAATTTAAAGAGGAAAGATAAGCCTATGCCTCATCGAGGAAAATTAACAATTTACGCCACACACACAAACACACATACAGACACACACACACACACACACACACACACACACGGGGACTTCCTAGGGAACAACACAGGAACCTTCCCCATAGACTTTATTAGATGAGAGAAGTAGACATTTTCAGGAAAGCCACACCCTGTCTCTCTTGGAGCTGGAAGCAGCTGTAAGGTGCCCCCCTCCGCAGGCACAGTGCCCCGTGCCCCGCTCCCTGAGCCTCCACAGGCGGACAGGAATGCGCAGCACTGCCACTGGGACCTGGGCACCTCTGGCAGACAAGAGCAGCCTTGCTAGAGAAACAGTGTGAGCCCGTGGGACTCACAAAGTAAAGCAGACTCTTGTTTTCTCAAAGATGAACAAAAGGAAAACTAGGAATAAAAATAAAAGTGGCCATTAATCCAAATCTTGGACAATTTTTTATACCCCAAATTTAGTTATACCTTGATGGTAAATTAAAGCAGGCAAGTACTCAACTGAGTATAATGATTGTTCTATTTACTGTGGTAACGCTACAGACCTCCTGGGAATCCTAAATCCCCAAGCACCAAATTAGGGTTCACAGCACCTACACACTGGGCCACGTGACCCTGCTGCAGAGAATGCCAGGCAGAGCAACCCACAGACAGACCAACTGACCTAAAAGGGCAAACAGAAGAACACGTTCTACTCCCAACAAAATACGCTCAAAGGCTTGGCACGATCACAGACAAAACAATGGGAATCAACAGCCAGAAATGTTCACAAAAGGGAAAAGCCAGACTCAGAGTCACTGATGTTTTGGATGCCGTTGGAGTAACAACCTTCTAGCAAGATGTATCTGAAAGAAACCAAAAATTCATCTTGACACTCTGTTCTACAATTAAAACAAAATCAATGCCAAGAGAAAAGTGGCAGTTATAAAATGGGGCTGCTAAACTGTGAAGCATTAAAATGTTGCTCGGGGCATTTTCTTAGTGGCCTAGATGAACTTTAGTAAGGTAAATACTGACCTTATTATTATGAAAAGGGTCAACTACTCATTCTTTCACTTATTCCAGCTTTTAAAGGGTTTTTAAAGTGAGAGAATTATTGCTAGGTACAGTGGTGCACACCTGTAATCCCAGCACTCTGGACGCCTGAGACAGGAGGGTCACAAGTTCAAGTGCTGCCTGGATAACTCATTGGGATCCTCTCTCAAAATAAAAAATAAAAAGGGGCTGGGTGTGGTGGTGTGCACCTGTAATCCCAGCACTCAGCAGGCTGAGGTAGGAGGATCGTTGCCAGTTCAAGGCCAGCCTGAACTGCATAGGAAGACCCTGTCTCAAAAAGACCGAAAAAAAAAAAAAAAAATGTTGAGGATACAGCTCAGTGTTAGGGCTCTGGGCTTAATCCCCAGCACCTCTATCTTAAAATTTTAACCAATCAAGCTCAAGCATATATTAAAAGGACAAAAGGGAAAGAATACATTATTACCAAGGAGGAGTTTAACATTCAAAGACCAATCAATATGACAAATCCTCATCAAGACAATTCACAGTGGGAGAGGTAAGAGTCTTCAAGAAATGCTGCTGGGGGCCGGGAATGTAGCTCAGTGGTGCAGTGCCTGCAGGGCAAGTGTGAGGCCCTCAGTTTGATTCCCGGCACCAAAAAAGAAAATAGTAAATTAAAGAAAAAAGACCAAGAAATGGTGCTGGGAGAACTGACATATAAGTTCAAAAGAATGAGGCTATCTATACACCATGTACGAAGATGAACTCCATGGATCACACATCTAAATACAGGAGCTAAGACTTGAAATCTCTGAAACACAGATGTAAATCTTATAGCCTTCAATTGGGCAATAGGTTCCTAAATACGACACCTAAACCACAGAAGCAACAAGAGGAAAAACAAACTGGATTTCAAAATGGAAGTTTCCATGTCGAAGGACACAGAAGGAAAGTGAAAAACCCAATAAATGGGAGGAAGAAAAACACAAGAATCTGATTTGAGAAAGAACATTAAAAATTAGCAGTAAAAAGAAAAATGACCCAATTAAAAAACAGGCAATGGCTAACTAGACATTTCTCCAAAAAAGAAACAAGTGGCCAAAGAGCACAGGAAGAGCCATTCAGCACCACTAGGGCAGAGCGAACTGCAGATAAAAGCCACAGTGTGAGCGCGAGGTGGCCACCGTCAACAGCACGTCAACTCAGCAGGGGTGGCGAGGCCGTGGGCAAAGTGGCACTGGGAAGTGGTACAGCGGCGTTGAATGGCCAGAGCCACACTAGCACAAAAAGACAGAGAGTAACCGTGTGGTCCGGCAGCTTCAGTTCGAAACAGAAACTGAGCAGAAGGCCAAGTGGGGACCCAGGCACATCCCCCTCCTGGCCCTCTGCGCAGCCGCCACCTCCTCTGGCTTTCCAGAAGCCTGCCTGCCTGCCTGCCGTGCGGCCACAGGCCCGGGCTTGGAGCTCTCTTCCCAGACCTGCGCTGGTTGTGCTGCCTCCATACCCAGGTCACATCTCGGAGACGGAGCTTTCCTGGCCACCCTCCCTAGAAGCATCACACCTCCAGCAAGACCACATCCCCCCCCATCTAGCACTTTATGTGTCTCACTAGTTTATTTTGCTTCCTGTCTGTACCTCCACCACTGGGGAAAGGCTCTTTGGGCTGCTTTGCTAACCGCTTCATCTCTGGCACTGGAACAGCATGACGGCATGCAGCAAATGCTGTCTGTGCTGGAAGAATGAGCCAACGAACGCCAGCATCTCTGAAGGAAGGAGGTACCTGATGTGCTTTGCTAACAACCCACGAAAGAACAAAGCCCCCCTTCTGCCCTCATGCGGCCCCATCTCTTCATCTTCTGCCCCCCAGGCCTTGCTTGGGTCTGGGCTCTCGCACTGCGCTTCCTTGTCTGGAACGCTCCTCTCACCTGCTCCGCAGCTTCTGATGATCCTTCTCGTTGCAGCAGCAGACACCTCATCCGTGTCCAGCTCCTGTGCCCAGACTCGCTGGCTGCCCTGCTCTGGGCTCTCCCACCACCCGTCCTCTGCGCTCGGGGCAGCTGTGTGAGGGGTCCGGGCAACCTTCCCAACCACCGCTGCGTGAAGTGCAGAGTCCCACCTCGGTGTGCAGGTGGGTCCTGACCTGTGACCCTCACCGCTGGGCCTGGACCCCGGGGCCTGAGCACCACAGACGGGCCAGAGCAGGTAAACACCGTCCACAGCAGGGAGCTGGTCAGGAAGCCGGAGGGTGGGAGCCAGCGGAGAGAGATGCCAAGGGCAGGAACACGCGCACCTGCCCTCCCAGACCACTCAGGAAAGGGCAAAAGCAAATACTTCAAATACATTAGAAATCTGCTGCCTTAGAGCATCCAAAAGTCACTTCACACCAAGTGTACTCTCTGATCTTTCCTATAGGGGAGAGGGGAAATCCCAATTTTCCTTGACTGACTGATTATACCTGGAGTTTGTCCGTTACTGAATAAACTGTTTACTAAGAAGGAGCTCTTTCACCGTGCTGGGCACATATGCTACATCAGGCCAATTTGGCAGTGTCTAGAAGAGAAGGTTCTTTGAGACGCCTCTCCAACTGCTGTGCCTATGTCAGAAAGTAAACCCAGAGGTGCCTCAGACACAGCCCTCACAGACCTCAGCTCTGACAAGCCAGAAGGGAGACGAAGCCTGAGAAAGATGGAGCATAGCCCCCAGAGGCGTGTCTCACTTTACTGGCTAAAATACCTCAGATGCCAGGCCTTCGTCCTTACCACACCGGGCACTTCCGGCTGTGCACCCCTCTTCCGGTGGCGTCCGTGCCTCCCTGTGACGGGATCGCACAGCTCCCAAAGCTGAAGCACAGCTCTTTCTTTGCACAAGTTCACCACAACTGCAAGCACTGCCTTGGTCTAGACAGCACTCCAAGGCCCCGAGGTCAGGACCAGATATGAAAGCGGGAGGCTTGTTTTGTCCCTGTCGGGATGGCCCTGAGATAACTAGAAAATCCCCAGAACAGGCAGCAGGGGCACAAGGGCTGACCTGGGGAAATGGGAGGGCAGCGGGCTGCTGGAGCAGCACCGTGCGCAGAGGGAAGGCAGCGAGGTGAGTGGGTCTGCTCTGCAGGGCGGGTGGCAGAGTGGACGTGCGGCAGAGGACCTGCCAGACACCGACTCCAGAGACACTGCCTCTCAGCACTGCGCATCAAGCCAAGGCGATGCCCCTCAGGTCGTCTCTGGCCGAGGGAGGCTGGAAGTATAACGCGACTGTGCCACCACGAAGGCTCAGGGCAGAGCAGGGGACAGGCAGGCAACGCCAGCTATGCGCTGCCCAGAGTGGGAGGTGCTCCTCCATCCTATGCCCTGACACGGGAGGAAGGCGAACAGGCTCTGGGAGCCACGCCTGGCCGGCACAGGGCATAGGGAGGTCTGCTACGCGGGAGCTGGCTGTGTATGCACAGGGGCAAGAGGAGTCAGAGCAGGCTGAGACAACCCTGAGATCACTGGTCTCCAGAACCAGTGCGTGGCCTGAGACCTCCGAAGTGGCAGCTCTGGAGCCTTAGTGCATTAAAAACAAACAAAAAACCCCATCAAACTACACGCCTAACTTAATAGCCTAACCCAGCAGGGCGTGGTGGTGCACACCTGTCATCCTAGCATTTGAGAGGCTGAGGCAGGAGGACCACTAAAGAGTTCGAGGCCAGCCTGGGCTACAGAGTGAGACCGTCTCAAAAACATAAACCAAAATGAAACAAAAAACGCCTAATGAGTCCTGCCTGGAGATGTACACACAAGCAAACAGCAAGCTGACGGCACACCGAAGCAGACTTCAAAGGCTTAGGAACAACAGGCTGCTGCAGCTGAGGCAGGGCGGGCTAGCCAAGCCTGGGGACACAGCAGCGCCGCACCCTGAAGGCAACTCCTCCACACTGCAGGAGGACCCCTGGCCCTGGGGACACACAGAGGGCGCCAACGTACCCCACGGCTGCAGCAGGAGCGGTAGGATTATTCTTCAACTCCTGCACATTGACCACCTGAGGCACGTTCTTCAGAGTCGATTCAGTCAAAGTGCTGACAGCTATGGAAACAGGAAAGAGACCATATTAATTCAGGAAGGAGCCTAACTTCCAGCCACGCAGAAATGAATGACCAGGAAGGACATGACCTGGAGCAAGCTGCAGCTTCACCACGCAGAAACCCGGCAGGCACCTGGCCTGCGCCACTGCTGGCAAAGCCACAGAGCGAGGCTGTGGAGTGCAGCAGTGCAAGGGTGAAGGGTGCCCCGCCCAGTTTTTCTATAGCTGAAGCGAAGCACCTGCTGCACTGCTGTGCGCCCGAGAAAGGGCAGCCTCAGGCTCAGCGTCTTCCACCCATTCATCTGTCCCCCTTCCCACGGGCTCAGTGTGCGGCAGCTTCTGCGCAGTGCTGAGAACACAAAAGCTGCCTAAGGAGTCGTTTCTTCTTTAATGGAGCTCATGGCTTGACGAGACAGAGACACTCTGGAGTAAAATGCCGGGGCAGAGCGTGGACAAGAATGACAAGGGCCAAGGCCTGATTAAGAAATGGCAGAGACAGGTGAGGCCTACTTGCCTATTTCCAGGTTAGAGTGTATTCCACAAACTCAGGGCATTCTGTAATGAGACTAAGAAAGCCTGCGCTATGCTCTCGGGCCTCTGCTAACTCTGCCCTTGGCAAAGGTGAAAGCTGTGTCCCAGGCAGGGCAGCAACTCTGAGGGGACTCCTATCCTTTTCTTCAGAAGAAGAAAGAACATGGTGCCTATGACTACACGCACACCCTTGTGTGTTCAGAGGAGCCCGCACCCTAGAAAATTTTGTTTCCACTATGATAAGGGTGGCCTCAAACTCTTTAGTGGTCCTCCTGCCTCAGCCTCCCAAATGCTGGGATGACAGGTGTGCACCACCACGCTGGGTTAGGCTATTAAGTTAGGTGTGTGGTCTGATCTTTTGTTTTTGTTTTTAATGCACTCAGGTCCCAGAGCTGCCACTTCAGAGGTCTCACGCCATGCTATGGTTCTGGAGACCAGTGAACTCAGGGTTATCTCGCCCTGCTCTTTAACTCCCCTTGCTTCTGCGCATAGAAGCAGTTTACTGTCGCCTCCTGTTGAGATCAGAATATTCCCAAACCCGGGCTGATTTCTAAATGTACAAATAATCAGCTGGACTTGGGGCCTGACTGGTGGCACAATGCCAAGATTGGGCTTGGTCCATGTAGTAAAGAGACCATCAAAGAATTTCATTTTCTGAAAGCTCAAAGGTACTTCACAAACTTATCTTGTCTTTCCTTTTCAGTGTCTATTCAGGTGCCTTAGAAAAGTTTTAATATCTGAGCATTTCTTAAAATCTTTTGTCACTGTTTAATGGTACTTTCTTGCCTAACTCAAGCAGTCACATCTCTTCAGTCTTCCTGAAGTGAAAACATTTGGCTTAATCAATTTCTTAACCTGGCCCTAGTAACACGTTAGCTTCGTGTAGTGGGCTGTCCTGAATATCATCAGATCTGTTTGCAGAGCCTTAGCCTCCATCCACTGAACGCCAGCAACCTTGCCATCTATTTCAGGAGAAGTACAGGGAAGCTGAGAACCATCCACTTGTAAAATTGGTAACTGGGCCGGGGATATAGCTCAGCGGCACAAGTGCTTCCCTAGCAAGCACAAGGTCCTGAGTTTGATACCCAGTACCAACAAAATAAATAAATAAATAAATAAAATCAGTAATTAGTGATAACTGAAGTCCTGGGGGCCAACTATCCACATTATTAAATCCTAGTACAGAAAACATGTACAGCCACAAACCATGGACAAAACTTTAGTTCTTTATCAGCTCATGAGAAGTTCCACCTATAAAGGCTGAATTTACCATGTTAAGGAAAAGCTGCTCTGAAGCAGAAAGAGCACAGGGCTGGAGTTTAGGTTCTGCTCCTTTCTTTCCGGGTAACTCTAATTTCTAATTAACCTTACACCACTGACGTGCAAAATAAGCACAATAAAGCACACTGTCCCGGGGTCGATGGAACCATAAGATACTGGGAAATGTTTCTAGTATTACTACATGACCTGGCTGCAAAGATTAATTTTAAGCTCACAGCAAACATCAGTCACAAGTAGGGATTATCAACAGGACGCTACTGATTTCCCAGGTGACTACCAGGTGACAGTTGAAACATCTCTCGAAAGGGAAACATTCAGACAGAGCCTCCGCCTGCCGGGGTGGGGGCCCTACAGCCTTCCCCTCTGAGGGGCAGAGGAGCCAGCCTGCTCTTCCTGCCTCCTGCAGCTTGTGGCGAGTGCTCACCTGGCGACTGACTGGCCATCTGCCGTCTCAGGGCTGCCGCAGCGGCCGCCTGGGGAGCGGCAATGGGGTGGGCAGGCCCAGGAGCACCATGCTTCACGGTTTTTGTTGCCAGCATTGTGCTGTCAGCCCCTGCAGGAATAACTTTACTAGCAGATGCAGACACTGAGGGGAAAGGGAAGACGAAGTGAGGAAACGGGGAGCGAAGAGGAACCCCCAACAGCCCCAGTAGTCAGTTCCTCACGTCAGGCTGCAGAGAAGAGGCTGAAGTTAACACTCGTAAGCATTAACACAGAAAACTATCAGTGAGTGGACAGGCTGGCACCCACACCTTCCAGACACCAGCTGTGGCTTGCGTGCCTACCACTGCCATGCACCAAAGCACGGTACGCGATCCCTCCCTCACCCTGAGGGACTGGTGGCTGTGACACCAGGACACATCACTCCCCCAGCCCCTTGCATGGAATCACTCACCTACTCCTCATGCCTGTATCTCTTCTCTGCTTGAAGTCACCTCAACCCAGAGCCCTGACACTACCCTGAAGGTCAGGGAGCTCCTGCAGGTCCCTCAGTGACCTTGACACTACTGCGTTCTGGGGCGGCTGCACTTCAGGTGCGGCTGCAGGAGTCACCCCTCTTCCTCTGGTAAGGACAGTCGGGACCCCACACTAACAGTCACAGTGCGGAACCTGATGCAGGCTCTTACTCCTCGTGACCTTCCTTCCCACTTCTTTCAAGGGAAACGTGCGCCTTTTGAGCCATGAATTTCTGGAAGAGGCAGACACGTGCTGGAACCCGGTAGGGTCCTATCTAAAGCACAGGCACACTTGCTTTGCTCATGAGAAACCTAACAGGGAACAGTTTCCCTCTCGCCGCTGACTTACGGGCCGCTCCCACAGAGGAAGGCGAAGAGCCCTGGCCCAGGTGAGATTTGGCAAAAGGCATGGCCTGGGGCAGGAGGCCGGGCTGGATGGAAGGCGTGCGGACCACAGGTGCGTGCCGGGGGGCCTGGACCACTGCCTCCTCATCTTTGCAGGACACCCGCACGTCTTCCCCCTCCAGAGACTGGGAGATGGACGATGTGGAGCTGGCTTCATCCAAGTCCTCATAGTACCTCTGCGACAGGAAGGCTGACCGAGACAGGCTGGCTGCAGAGATGCAACAAAGCGCAGTTTAGACAACTCATAGCAGGGCTAGGAGCCAGGCGGCGCGGTTCACTGTTGGAGAGACACACCCAATTTGTCAAACGATTCAATTATTATGTTTTTAAGTGGAAACAGCTGTTGCTGAATGTGAACAAAGTCTGGGGTCTGTGCTCAAAAGCAGCTTTCAAAAACTGAGCTGTGTAAGACAAGGACATCCTGACCGTCCAATCGAAGGAGAAATAGTGAGATACAGAATTAATGCTGGTGGAAAAGCGAGAACCTGGAGACCTCACCAGAAGCTCCCACCGGCAGAAAATCACGTATCAGAAAAGTCAACACCAAGCTCCCAGGGCGGGGGTAACAGTCGCACCATCTCTGCCACTTCCCAACCACCTTCAAAGCAAGCCCTGGCCCAAGCCAGCACAGACAGGACGGCCTTGGTGTGAGCGTCTCAGACACTTCCAGATAAGCCCCGTGATTCCTCTGGATCAGATCATGAGCTTTACACAGACATGTGTGGGTGTGTGCATACACAACCTAATCCTGGCTTTCCTGGCTTTTTTCCTTCTTTAAATTATGAAGTAAGACTTTTACCATATTACCAAATTCCATGAATTTCAGAGTATATGTTACTGTCCATATATCGGAAAAAAAAAAACCCCAAAGACAGGGCCTTGCTTTTCTCCTTCCTAAATTATTTTTTTTGTCTTTTTGAGACAGGGTCTCGCTATACAGCTCAGGCTGGCCTTGAGCTCATTTTATACCCCAGGCTGGCCTCGAACTCACGACGATCCTCCTGCCTCACCCTCCCGAGTGCTGGGATGACAGGCGTGCACTACCACGCCTGGCTTCCCAAATTATCTGAAGCAGTGCTACTACTGACTGAACTGTCTGTGCTACAAGACATCCCTCTGGGATTTTATTGTCACTTTAAGTACAACACCCAGAAAGCAATGCTATGTGCTAGGCCTCTGCTGCCCTATTTGGTAGCCTCTAGCCATCCGCAGTTATTTAAACTTAAAGTCATTACAGACAAATAAATACCAATTTCTATTCCTTAGTGGTACTGGCCACATTTTACCTGGTCACTGGCCACATGTGACTAGTGGCTACGACACTGGGTGGCAGATACAAAACGTTTTGGTAATTTGCAGAAAATCCTACAGGACAGTACTGTGCTGAAGGATTCTGAGGCATGTAAGCATGCATCAGGTCACTGAAACTCCATCCGGACCCAGCATGTCACCGGCAGAACTGCAGGCAACACCTGCGGAGGGCCTGCTGGATGCCATCTCTCTGCACCGTCCATTCAATCCTTCGGCTCATCCTCCGAGTTAGAAACTGCTGCTACTTGAGACCTTCACACTGCTATATAAGACTTCAAGTTATGCCAGGCAGAACCGGTCTTCATCTCATGACTCTGTCCCCTGTGCCACACATGGTTCCATGAGGTGGCAAAAGGGATTCTCCAGGGATAGTTTAGGTCACTAGCCAATGACCTTTATTTATTGTTTTTTTTCCGGTACCGGGAATTGAACTTGTGACCTTGTGCTTGCCAGGCAGGCGCTGTGCTGCTGAGCTAAATCCCCAGCCCCACCAATGACCTTAAATAGGCAGGTGAAGAGGTTATCCTGGATGATGCAATGGGGCTCAGTAAACTCTCAAGAGCCCTGTAGAGGCAGAAAAACAGCAGAACAGGACAGCAGAGAGACATGGTGGACGGGCAGAAAACAGCAAGCGAGAACCGGAGCAGCGCTACCTCACAGGCAAGGGTGTGAGGAGCACATCTGGAGAGGAGGACCCCAGTCTGGGGCCGCAGGGATCTGTGTCCCACCAACGCCCTCCACAAGGCTGTGTGGCATCTCCCCGACCTCAGGTGGGTGTGCAGCCTGGCCAGCCCACTCACCCCAAGTCTAGGCCTCCATCCACAGAGCCGGGCTATCTGAGGCTGAGGACTGTGAGGATGTGTCGCAGCAGCCGCGAGAAGCGAGTGCAAACGTGTGCTCCCCTGGGGCCATGGTGTCCACTGCTGTGTCTCCACAGCCCCAGCTCCCGAGGGTTGGTCAGGACAAGGACTTTCTGGCCAGAGCTGGCAGAAAGCAGCACTGGCCCAACTACATGACCCCCGAGATCTGCTCTGCAAAGGGGTTCGCGCTGGTGCTTATGCCATTCGGCTCCTCTGGGCACAGTGAGCCCACCAGTAGAAAACCAGAGCTGGACAGCTCATGTGCCGGGCACATGGGTCTTCGTGCTGCACCCAAGGAGAAGCCACTTCTGGCACTAGAAGCCAGCCTGGGGGTGCGGAGAGAATCTTACTCTGCCAGAGCTTCTGTCAGCTTAGGAAAGACAGAGCTGGGGTGGCGGGGGAGACACATGATGACAACTGTGGTGATGATGACTACCACCATGACACACCACTCACATGGCCACCTCGAAGACTCAGTAGGCCTTGTGTCTGAGGCGAACTGCAGAAAGTGGTCGCTTTTATTGGACGTGGCACTGAACATACCAAGCAGTGGTGGCCGGGCCTGATGCTACACACTTGTAATCCCAACCTTCGGGAGGCTGACGCAGGAGGATCACTCTGACTTCGTGGCTAGCTTAAACTACATGTGAAACCCTATCTGAAAAAGCCAAGCCAAACCAACACAAACTAACCCCACCAAAACTAGGCAGTGCAGTAAGAAAAAGCAAGATTGGGAGGAAAAAAACGAAGATGTCAGAATCCATGGGCGGTATGATTGTTTCTACAGCTCTAAGTTTAAGGAAGAGTTAACAGACTATTAGAACAAATGAGTTTTTCAAGGCTAATGGTCAAAGTCAATGTGCAAAAATAAAACATATTTCTATAACCTGCATCCAACATAAAATTTTAAGGCAGGGGCCAGGAATATAGCTCAGGGGCACAGTACCTGCCTGGCAAACATAAGGTCCTGAGTTTGATTCCTGGTACCAAAATAAAAAAATTTAAGGGAAAAACATCTATCTTGAAAAGAGGAAAAATTACTATTCTTAGAATAAATCTAACGGAAGATGTGCACGTCTCCCATGCAGAAAAACACTGGGAAGGCTCAGAGTGGTGAAGCACACCTATAATCCCAGCACTCAGGAGGTTGACATGGGAGGATTCCCATGAGTTTGAGGCCAGCCTGAACTAAACAGTGAGACTGCCTTTAAAAAAAAAATAAGAAAAGAAAAAAGGCAGCCAACCCCGGTCTAGACTGCAGAACTTTCTGTGACAATGACAAAGTGTTGTGTGCCTGTGCGTCTCATCACAGCAGCTACTGGTATGTATGTGTGATTATGCCGCACTTGAAGTACGGCTACTGGGACTACAGAACTAAATTTTTTATTTAACTTCATTATAGTTTAAATAAGGTTCTGTATTGGTTGGCTAGCTCTAGAATCCAGAAAAGGAACAGTGCTGAGTAGTGAGTCTCATTTTAGGGTGGCTGAGATGCGGGTAGGTGTTTTGAGCCTCTCTTTTGTTCACCGGCTGCCTGTCCTAGAAGTGACCTGCGGTCAGCGATGTGGAGCACAGCTGGCTATGGGCAGTGAATGGCAGAGGGACCGCTCATGTCACCCCTGAGGAATCTACTGTGCAGAGATGACCAGAGATGTGGCTCGGAGGGCCGTGAACCAGATGCTGGGAGGAAATCCTTGGCAACCAGATGAGCGCTTGGCACCAGGGCTGGCTAAGTGCTGGTGCCTCTGGCACGGGGATAGATATATGACAGGACATTCCCCCATCCACCCCTGGAACTCTGCATCTCACAACAGGGAAAGCACCGTGGAAAACACCTCCCCTCCCAGCGAGGGGAGTTCACGACTGACTTCTCCAGCACCACCTAGAGTGTAATCAGATAGGCTCCGCCCCCAGTGACCATTCCGTGTGGCCTTGGGCTGGCTCAGCGGCACTACCACAGGGCCAGAACTTCCTCCCTAAGGCGAGTTCCATTCAAGCACAGACACCTCTTGGCGCTCGGGGACCAATCCCGCTACAAACTCGAGTGTGGAAATATCTCTGTGAAGCTCTGGTTTAAGCTCTGGAGTACTGTGCTTACTCTGCAACACATATAATAAGAAGTTCTGGAGTACTTATCCAGAAGTAGAATGCCACGATCAAGTAATTCTATTTTTAATTTTTGTTTTTTGCAATAGGGTCTTGCTACTGTGCCCAGGCTGGCCTCAAACATGTGATCCTCCTGCCTCAGCCTCTGGAGTGCTGGAATTATGTATGTATACTACTACCATGCCCAGCAATTTCCAATCATGCAACAGTCTTACACACCAGTTTGTATTCACATTGACAGTGTGCACCATGCTAAATGCCTCCTATCCTCACCAATATTAATTTTCTGTATTTTTAAAATAAGGGCTCGGCCAGGCATGGTGGCACATGCCTGCAATCCTAGCAGGGAGTAGGTGGGAGGCTGAGGCAGGAAGATTGCTGGGAGTTTCAGGCCAGCCTGGGCTACAAAGGCCAGCCTGAACTGCACGGTGATTCCTTGTCTCAAAAAGACAAAAATAAATTAATTAAATTAAGTAAGGGCTCATGAATTTTTTGTTTTGTTTTGTTTTGTTTTGCTTTGGGTACTGGGAATCGAACTCAGGACCTTGCACTTGCCAGGCAGGTGCTTGTGCCACTGAGCTATATCCCTGGTCCTGAATCAGAACACAAAACTGTAAATGTTTTTATAACTCCCAAATCATTTTCAAAAAATCAGATTTACATGTGAAGGAAAAAAGGGAGTAAACTCAAATGTCATAGTTGAGGCCATACCTGGCTTGAGAGATAAAAAGTAATTTGTACTGTTCTTTATAGTTTTCAATAATTTTCTTCAATTAGCTACCAAGAAAATATACTGAGATAAGAAACAGTTATTTAAAAATTCACTTGTGCCGGGCATGGTGGCGCATGCCTATAATTCCAGCAATCGGGAGGCTGAGGCAGGAGGATCGTTGTGAGTTCGAGACCAGCCTGGGCTACAAAGTGAGCTCAAGGCCAGCCTCAACTACGTAGTGAGACCCTGGCTCAAAAAGACAAAAAAAAAAAAAAAACTTGTCTGTGACCATTACCTACGTAACTTAGTCCTATGTGATTACAAGACAAAAATCATAATATAGTAAGACTAAACTGCAGCTATTTTAATAGATTTTACCAAAAGGCATCTGCTGGCATAAAAAGAAAACGAACTCAGAATTTCAGTGAAAAATGCAAATTTGGACATAAAAGAAAGCAGGTTATAACAAATGCTTTTTTATAAAAAAGGCAATTATCTAGATAATTTAATGGCCAAAAAATTTTTTCAGTGTTACATGGTTTCTTTCAGCAAAATATTTTTTTTATTTTTTATTTTTTTTTATTTTTTTGGTTTTTCTCCGGTACCGGGAACCGAACTCATGACCTTGCCCTTGCCAGGCAGGCGCTTTGCCGCTGAGCTAAATCCCCAGCCCCAGCAAAATATTTTTGCCAGTTCTCTTTCTTCTTTGTGGTACCAAGGATTGAACCTGGGGTGCTCTACCACTAAGCTACACCCCAGCGCTTTTTACTTTTTTTTTGAGACAGGGTCTCACTAAATTGCCCAGGTGTGACTTGAACCTTTGACCCTCCTGGCTCGGCCTCCCAAAGTGCTGGGACTACAGACGGCCCATGCCCAGCTTCTTTCAAGTAAAACACTATCACTGCTAATCTGGCTTTTTCCTTTTTTCATAAGCAAAGAAACCCTTTTTCCTCCATGGAATGTTGAACACAAGTCAGAAGTTACAAGGCCCAGCGGCCCCTCCCGGCCCGGTGTTCACAGTGCGAGAGGCGAACTACTTGGAGCTGCTTCACCATGGATACAGAAACTGCTGCTCACGGCAATTTTCAGACAGAAAACAGACTCTGGGGACATTTTACTGCTGTCCTATTAATTAAGAAATAAGAGCCCCCCACAGACACACACCCCTGCACCCCAGGACCAGGGACTGCATGGCTGGGGGGCTGACAGCTGGGGGGCAGGGAGGGCTCAGGACCAGGGCCCTTTACCTGGAGCAGTGGATCTCACCGGTGGTGTCTTCCTCTTGGCCAGGAAGTTTCTCAGCTGTGTCTGTTTCACGGGCGATAGTTTCCCTGCAAGACATTGACTTAGTTTTTCTGATGCCAGCAGCCTGAAGAGGACACAGCTGAAAGGGCAGGGAGGGTACTTCACCTGGCACTCTGGGCAAGGGCTTGGTGTGAGTGTCAATGGTGGTTTTTAACAAAGCGTTGCTCAGGGTTTCCAGGTCACTGTCAAAGCTGAAAGAGGATAGAGTTACACACAAACCAGCCAGGAGCTGGGGAGCTGCGCTCTGTGGGGCCCGAGAGCCTCCTACACACAAAGGCAGAGGTCAGCGTACACGCCACACACGAGCATGCCAGCTCGTTGAAGGATGGCATCAATCCGAAGGGGACGGCGCTGGCAATACTGTACCCCACCCCAGCCAAACAGCACCCTCTGTTCTTTCCTTTCTCTTTTTTGGTTTTCTGAGGCAGGATCTTGCCATGCAGCCCAGACTGGCGTCAAACTCTCTGTGACCCTCCTGTGCAGAAAGCCTCAGCAGAAAGGGCAGTGACGCTGTACATGGGGCCTGAAAGCACAGCGCAGAGCCACGTTGGTGACTAAGTGTCTAAGTGCGAAGTCTGAAAGTCTCCACACTACAGCAAACGGGCAAAATGGGCTTTTGGGAGTCAATCTGCCAAACCCCATTAGTTAATTTTTTCTTTCTTTCTTTCTTTCTTTCTTTCTTTTTTTTTTTTTATTTTTTTGAGACAGGGTCTTGCTAGGCAGTTCAGGTTGGCCTTAAGCTCACTTTGTAGCCCAGGCTGGTCTTGAACTCATAATGATCCTCCTTCCTCAGCTTCCAGAGAGCTGGGATTACAGGGTGCACCACTATACCCAGCCCATTAGTTAATTTTCAGGAAACTACCATTATTACTGTAGCACTTACTGTGACCTACTGAACGTGTGGCTTTTCTTTTCCATTTTTCTTCCAGTACTGCAGACTGAATTAGGGACGCTTTATCACTGAGGCATAGCCCCAGCCCTTTCTGTTTGCTGAGATAGGTTCTCACTACAGTGCCCAGTGTGGCCCTGAACTCAGGACCCTCCTACCTCAGCTCCCAAGTATCTTTTCTTTCCTTTCTCTTTTTTGGTTTTCTGAGACAGGATCTTGCCATGTATCCCAGACTGGCCTCGAACTCTCCACGACCCTCCTGTGCAGCCTCCAAAGTGCAGGGATGACAGGCATGCGCCACCATGCCTGGCTCTGAGTATCTTTTCTTTTCTCTCTCTCTTTGTGCTGGGGAGGGAGCCCAGGGCTTCTTGCACACCAGACAAGCGCTCTACCCCTGAGTGACGACACCCTGGCCCGCGAGATCCTATTTCATCAGGTACAATGTGTCACTCTCTAACAGCCTCAAAAGGCAAGACTGTCTTCCCCTTAATCAAGCACTCCGCTTTCTTTCAGCAAGGACACCAAGGATCAGAAAGGGAGGGGTACCTGCCCAGGATCACTCAGGCTGAGAGCAGAGTCACTTTCAGACCCACATCTGCCCACCCTAGGCCCACATCTCCCTGAACATTAACCCTGCACTCCTCAGCACCAGCTGCACTCCCCTTCCTGCACACCTGTGAGTGCTGCGCTGGGTGGGCACAGCCAGGGGCAGACTCCACTGGAACGTCTGGTTATAGAGGCGCAGCTGCTGCAGACTGCCCACCAGCTGATTCAGCCGCTTCCTCTGCTGGTTGATGATCTCCCGGTTGTTGGCTAGAGTGTTGAACAGCGTCTCTCGCTCTGGCACAAGCAGCCGCCTGTGGGTGGCCATGAGAAAAACTAAACGCAAATGGTTCAAGTCAAGGGATCCCCTTGCCCCCAGTAAGACTACAGCTGTGCCAGTAAAAACGGCGAGATGGTGAGCCACCGATGGACAGGTAACTACCAGAAAATCAAAGGGGGATGAAGGCCTAAAGAGGCTAAGCAGGAATAAGGGCAAAGCAGCTAAAACATGCAGGCCGGGGCTGCAGCAAAGGAGAGCGGACACTGGACAAAGCCCAGTGAGCCTCGGGAAGGGAGGTGGGAATCCAGGATAGGGCCTAGCGGCTCAGCTGCACGCTTGGGCACATTTTGTTCTAGGTAAGTTATATGGGACACACACACACACACACACACACACACACACACACACACACGGACCAGGACAAAGGACTCCCTAGAGGGTTAGGGGAGTGGATAGTTTCTTCAGATTGCTGTCACAAAGCAGCACCCACTCCTGTCTGTCTTTGTGTAGTTTTCCTCAAGTTAGAAGAAACCCTTCAGGATATTTAGTGGTTTTTCTACTAACTTCTGAATGAGCAGTCTGCGTTCCTGGGCCAGGCCACACTGGGGCTTGGGAAAGCAATGCGCCAGGGAGCAGGGCCAGAGCTGGGGACCAGCGCTAACGGTGCAGGCTGAGCCCAGGCCCCTGCCCGGACAGCAGGCAGTCTGCGCCCCACGTCCACACCTACGCTCTGGGCTCTTCAGCCTTCTCCAGCACCACAGCGCGTCCGGCCACGCCTGCTCTCTACACTGACTGTGGGCCCACCCCTGGCCCATCCCTGCGCCCTGCAGCTTGGCAACCAGGCAGACAGGGTGCGCTGGTCGGTGTCAGAGGGGGCACATCGAGGGCAGGTGTGGAAAAAGCCAGTGGTCTTCACGGCTGACTTCCCTGCCTCAGCCTAGCTCCTCTGGTTCCTTCCGAAAACACGCACAACTCCCGAGGCGAGAGGGGAGGCTCCGCTTCTTCCCCAGCATCCCTCACACGGTTGTCATGACCTACGCGGATGCTTCTCAAAAAGACAGTTAGGGTAGACAGAAAAGGGTACAGGAAAAACCAGCTCCTAACCCCACACTGCAGAACAGCTGGGAAGAGACTGACAGATCTGCTTTCAATCTCTGCTCCACGTGCACCTCCGTGAGAGCACTCAAAATGCTTTTTTATTTTGCCGTTCCCAATCTTTCATTTTGTCTATAGAGCCTAAAAAAGTGACATAATTGTACATCCTGTGTGACATACAACACCTTTTGTGTCATTTCTTTGAGAACATGCGACTCGTTGGTTATGCGGTATTGTGTAGTAAGAAAATGTGACGCTGACCAGAACATCCCTAATTTTAAACAGTTAGGCTGAATCCAAGTTTCCACTATTACAAACGCTGCTGCAATATACATTCTGCCACGTAAACTATTGTGAACATCACACAATACTTTTGTTAACTGCATTAGTTTTTTTTTTGGTACCAGGAATCAAACTCACGACCTCAGTCTTGCCAGGCAAGCGCTTCTGCCACTGAGCTACATCCCGAGCCCCCGCACACATTATTTTTGTAACAAAAGTCTTACAAATGAAATAACTTGTGTCACAAAGAACTTCTTCGTAAGGTTTTTCCACATGCTCCTTGTTGGGGTTTCTATCTGGGTGCCCCCACCCCCACTGCCCCTAACGTGGCAGCCTATGCTCCTAGGCGGGGCTCTGGGAGGCGCCTGGACGGACCCTGGGAGTGTGGCACTCATCAGATCAGCCCGCCGCTGAGTTTACAGCGAGCGCCAGGTGGGGAGGTGAAGCGGTTAGAAGAGGGAGGGCACGGGGGCGTGGCCCGGACGGGTCTGTCTCCCTCCCACTCCCTTGGTCTCGGCAGCCCTGTTTTGTGGCACCAAGACATGAGCTGTTTCCCCTCCCATCCCCTCTGCTGTGCCGCCCTGCCTGGAGCCAGCCAACCAGCCAGTAAAACCTCCTCAGTGAGCTGGAATAAACCTTTCCTTACGCTGAGGGTGTCAGGCTGCAAGGATGAGAGAAAGCAATGCTGTGTTCCCATACCATTTTTTTGTTTTTGGTACTGGGAACCGAGCTAAGGACCTTGCGCTTGCCAGGCAGGCGCTTGTGCCGCTGAGCTATGTCCCAGTCCCACATCATGTTTTCAAAGAGAAAAACCAATGTCTACTGGTCAGTAGGGGCCGAGAGATCTCACTCACTTTTGTTTTTTCTTTTGCTCCAGATGCCGATCCCACTCCAAGTCCAGGACGTCATTCACATCCTGGACAGCAAATTTCACGTACTGATGGAGGCGCCGAATTTCCTGGGAGAAAAACATTTCAAGACAAATGACTCATTTTTCTGGTAGCTTGAGGGGACGACGTCTCAAAATAGTCAAAATAAATGAAGTGCTTCTATATTGGGAATCATAATAAACAAGAAAAACCTAAAGGTCTAATACAGCCACTAAAATGTCACAATTAAAATGGAAAACAGAAAATCAGCTCCTTTGGCAGGGACAGAGAGGCGGCACAAAGGCAGGGAGGAGCGCGTGCCCTTCCTGCTCCGACTCCGGGCAGCTGGGAACCCTCCGCTGCACTCAGGTGTGCACAAAGCACATCCACTTAGTTTTGCTCTCCCACCCATGAAATTAACGGTAATACAGGTGAAATTATCCCACAGAACAGCGCTGAAAATAATTCTATCTATTCATAGCATCAAGCATAGAAGTCATCTCACCAGTAAAGAAGGACTCACTTCCCAAAAACAATGAATGTATCAGCACCAGAAAAATTCATTTACCTTTATTAAAATTCTCACCTATCTGGCCTACTTTAGGCCTGTAATAACTTGGGCCACTGGTAACTTTTGGAGCTATGACACTTGACTCTCTAAAATGAAAAAATCAAGATGAAGCACCAAGTTTACCAATGGAGCTCATGGGCCAGATCCTGGTAAAAACTCTTGACGTATCGGCAAAGATTTAATTATGCTGTCATGTATTTTTAAAATTATTCCTGGATAAAGGCTTATGCCCCAACTGAAAAATAGAAAATCCCATTTAAAAAGAGCCAAGCCGACTCAAGGAACGTGGCAGGAAGCTTAGCAGCAAACAGAAATTCAGCTCGATACTCAGGAGCTACAGAAGGCTCTTTCCCATGACCCTTCCAATGTGACTGTCCCCGTGCCACTGACACTAGTGCTGCTCCTAGGCCTCCCACTCCTCTCACAGGCCTTATGCCGAACCCCTCTTTTCTGAGGCTTGGCTGCACCCTCCCTGGCGTCCCATAGCAACAAACCCTCCTTCCATTTCTACGCCCATCCCTGGCCGCTGCTCACCCAGCTGTCGGGACTGTACAATGCAGCAGGGAGGCTGCAAACACAGGCTGAGGGTTTATTAGTGAGGAAACCTGGGCAGGTCCAGCACCTCAGTGTCCTCGTCTTTGCACTCAGCACCTGCCACCTACTATTACCTACTCAACACCGCGACAAAAGACAACTGTTCCTTCATGAACCATGCGTCCCCTGAGCACCGTGCTTGCCTTAGTCTGGCAACAGGGCACCGGAGCAAGGGGCAGGTGGGAGAACGAGAGAGGAAGTGGTGCGAGGCCTGATGAGCGGTACAGGGGGCAGCAAGCAGGCCCAGCAGCGACAGCAACAGCACACACGGCAGCTGCCCACTCTTCTGGGAAGAGGGCGCACTTCCCATTTCCCCACTGCCCGGCAGGTTTACGGGTACGGGGGGAGCTGGGGAGCAGCAGCCTGCGGCCTCAAGTTCTCACAAGCAGGAGGGACCCACCCTGCGAGACCCGCGTCCACAGTGAGGGTACCTACCCAGTGCTGCCTGGACACCTCCTCAGGGGCTTGAGACAAGCGGAGTGGGGAAGCTGAGCCCAGAACTGTGGGGACTAGGGTGAGCCAAACAACAAAAACCAGACTCCAGCTGGCTACTGAGCAGTGAGGAATTCACACAGTGAGAAAGCATCAGCACTCAGCTACGGCCCGCAGACGCGAGCCCGGGAGGAGCCAGATCTCGGTTCCAATTCCAACCTCACCGACTGGCCGTGGGCAACATGACTGCCCCGGCCTTGGAGGTTCCGTTTTGTATTTGTACAAGAGATCAATAACTTCCTTGCACGGCAGCTGGTTTTGAAGACTAGAAATAATGCATAAAACACATAGCAGACGAGCTGGCCTTCCAGGAACAGCTGCTTTGTGGTGTGATTTAAAAATACCTGTCCCAACAGTGTTTTCTACCATGCTTAAAGGTTAATAAGGAATTTTATTTTAAAAAAAAAATCTAACATTAAAGTGCCATTTTCTCTGCCATAGGTAAGAAGTGCAGCAGACAATCAACAACTCCATCGGGCCACGCCCCGCATCTGTGCTAGAGGAAGACCGCAGTGGCTGCCCAAGCGGCTATGAAAGCCTGCCTGCAATGAAAGCGCTTCCCCCACCTGCAGCTGGGCCTCACTCCGGGGGTCCAGCGGTCTCTTGTAGAGCAGATGGAGATACCCAGAGTCGTGGTTTCTCCCATCCTGCTCTCTGGCTTCTTCTACACCAGCAAAGCCCTCAAGCAGCGTGGTCTTCAGGGTGCTTATGTCTCCGTGAAGAGACTACAAATAAACAGCAAGGACATATTAAGACAAACGCTCCATCTGCAAGAAATAAAGCCTGCCTGCCTGGATCAGAAATGTGGAGTTTCTCAAACACTGAGCACAAGGAACATCTTATTCAGATGTCTGTTCAATTTCACGTTCGTGGAAAAAAAGAATTTTATTGCTTGGAAAAGACAATAAAGCTCTTTTTTCTTAAAAAAATTATTTTTTTTCTCAGGAATAAAATATGTGTTCTGATGTGGGCAAGTGGGAAGCAGGAAGTGCACTGAGAGTACCAGGATTCTGCGACCCGAGGACCATCCAGAACGTCCTTTCCACCACGTCACTGAGACCAGGACTCCAGAGACAGCGCACTCACTGAACAGGAACTTGCAAAAATGCTTCCAGCTCTGTAAGCCTCAACTCCCGGGCTTGCAAGGTGAGGGTAACAGTGTGCAGTGCGCGGGAAGGTGTGCCGTTCAGGGAGGCAGTCCAGGTAAAGTGCTTAGCACAACACCAGGGACACAGAAAGTAGTGACAACAGTAACAGATAATCCTATTAACAACAGATACCAGGCCCGTTTTTATTGTATGCACTCTAAAATATTCTGCTCCTTTTAGCGCAGCACTACGAAGAGAACAAAATGCCCAATGGACCTAATTAACAACCATAATAAACTTTTATGGAGTGCTGAGTATGTGTTAAAAGGGGAGGAACAGTTCTCCCGTCTTACAGATGAGAAAACTGAAACACAGAGCAGCGGGGTTAACTTGCCCAGTCTCAAGATCAGTAAGTCCTTTTATGCCCAGTGGCCCAGTTTTGGAACAGTACATAACAATGGAATATAATAAAAATTATTCTCTTCAAGTTTTTGTTCCTTGAATTTTTCTAGGTAACATACAAGAATTTCATGCAAAAATTTAAAAAATTGCAATCTTTGGCACGAATGGCTGAAGTCCTGCCAGCAGGATGTGGATGCCGGCTGTGCCGGCAGGTGCCAGGTGAATTACACAGCACACGAACACCAGTACCGGTCCCGGCAGGCGCCGATGCCCACCTCCACGGAGGAGGGAAGAGTGCACTCTCCAAGTGCAGCTCCACCCAGCCCGCCCGCTCACACGCACCTCCGTGGTCTCTTTAATCTCCAGAAGAAAGGTGTGCAGGTCAGCCGACTCTGTCCGAAGCATCTGCATCTCCTCCGGGGTGCCCACCTGGAAGCAGGCCTTGGCGGTCCGGGCTTTCAGCTCCTCCAGCTCCTTCTGGAAGTGTGCGATCTGCAGAAGCCACAAACAGGGAAAGGACTCCGTCTGAGCGGCATGGCAGTGACAGAGATGCCTCCATGCTGATTCACAGGCAGGCTCCTGCGACTGGCCAGGCGCCACCACTAGGAGCGGCGGTCACACAGGCGGCTGCACTCAGGGCCACCCTGGTCTCGGGCAGAACTAATGCCAGGAAAAGCCTTGGGAACAGACTTACCTCTTCTCCAATCCCAGCCAGCACAGGGTCTGAATCTTTCCACTGATGTCCCTGTTTTTCTGCGACAGGAGGCTGAAGTGACTTTGGCTAAAATGGAAGGCACAAGATTTACAAATGCTGCAAGTTGTAGTGTCAGAAAGCCACTGCATCGTGCCCGTTGCAGAGAGCGGCACGTTCCTTGTGCAGAGTCCCCTCCGTCGCTGGCGCTCATGAACTGTACTCAGTGGGTGGAGAAGCGAGGGGCAAAGCAAGGGGGTCCCGCTCTCATGGGAGTTGCCTTCTGCTACCCAAGATGGACAGGAGGAAGCGACCACGTCAGGTAGGGCCGACTGGTGAGGAGGCAGAAAAACCCGGAGTAAGGGGTACAGGCCGGGTGAGAGCTGGGAAAGCACGCCCTGAAGGCTTCCCCCGAGCTGGGATGAGAAGGGTGAGAAGTCAAGGGAAGTGGACTCGAGAGAGATGGAGGGCATTTCTCAGGCTGAGGGCAGGGCTGGGCTGGACAAGGACAGGCTCAGTGAGGTAGGTGGGGCAGGTAATGAAGGCCACACTGAGAAGGCTGAGCTCTTCTCTCACTGGCTTTGAAAGCTACTGCTGGTGTGTTTGGAGTGTTTGAAGGATGATTTAGGATTTAAAAGATTGTACTTCCTGCTCAACAGCACAGATAGCAGCAAGAGGCAGGAGCTAAAATGGGAAGAGCAGTCAGGGCTAACTGGGTGAGAGACGGCCCCGGCCTGACAGAAGACACGCGGGAAGGGAGCTGTGGGTTCGTGTCGGGTGACATGCAGAGGGCATGGGCACAGGGCCTCCCTGCCAGTCTCGACTTGGGGAAAGGCTGTCCAGGCAATGAGGAGGATCGGGGTGCTGCCGGGTTGGGGGCCTGCGCAAAGCCTTGGCCTGTTAGTGCTACTTACATAGCGGGAATGCTAGGAAGGGACAAGGCTGGTGGAGGGGCCAGAAAGCAAGAGCTCTGCATTGGGCTCTTCTCCACTGCTCGTACACAGAGCAGGGAACATCAGCGTGGAGCTGGGCTGCATAGCAGCCACTGAAGCAGCAACATTTATTTAACATGTCGTAAGTGTCAGGCCGAGAACTGTGCCTGGGCTTCTACCAAGTGTCCAGTACAGGTGTGGGGAACAGGTCAGTTAGGGGAACACAGAAAACGAAAGGGTGTGACTCCTGTTCTTAGGCCAGTAACATAAATGTTAAAAAAAACATATTACAGTAAAACACACATTACTGGGCCGGGGATATTGCTCATGGCATAAGCTCCTGCCTGACAAGCACAAGGTCGAGTTTGATTCCCAGTACGAAAACAAACAAACAAAAAAGGACATATTACCATGACCTGCCCTGGCATACAGTGAAGGCCAACATTACAGTGCATCCTCACCACTTACTCACTAGATTCTGGCACCACGCAACTCTGGCTCTTCCCCAAAGTCAAAGTGACCGTGAAAGGAAAACACTTCAAATCAACTCAGGACGCTGAGGCGGCCAGGACATGGCAACCAGCAACACTCATGAGAGAGGACAGCCAGAACTGCTTTGGACAATGGCAAGAATGATGAGATATGCATGTTCAAAGTAAGGACGCGGACCTGAGGAGGACCAATGGCAATGTATCTTTCACTGTAAAGTTTTCAAAAACGTAACATTCACTGTATTTTTTGATCACACCATACCTGCTGTATGATTCCACGTAGGCACAAACTGGCTGCGCTAACTGCTGTTAGAATGAAGACCGGTAAGGGCAGAGACAGAAGGGGACACATGAGGAGGAGTTCCGGTGTCCCTGGTAAAGCGGTTCATCAACTGGGTGCGAGCTGGCAAAGTGTGTTAAAACTGGTGCCAGCGCGCTGAACGGTACACACTACATGGACGTTTCAATGTAAATTATAAATTAACTGAAACATTAAGATAGATAAACATCTTTTGCACGTATACGACAAATATTCAAGTCACATATGTTGGTATTTCCTGTCACACAGTCCTAGTTACTACTTCCAAGATCTGAATTCTAAAACATGACAACTCATTTCATTAACACGCATGCTCAGGCGACACATGAATAAACACAAGCACTGCAGGCCGAGCTGAACATACCTGAAGAGAGCCGGACTTCGTCACTGGCGGGGTGACCCTGGGTGACTTCTGTACCACGGAGGGCACTAGATTCGGACTGCTCTGAGCAGATCGCACTGTTAGTGAAAAATATCAAACCAGCAGGGTTTACTCCAGGGCTTCCCCCACCACAGCTCCTTTCCTCAAATCTATGAACACAACCGTCACACTGTCGTGCCTCAGGCTCTCCCTCCTAAACCCCGAAAAGGTGGGGTAAGACCAACAAGGCTGAGTGTTTTGGGTCACAGACAGACGTCTTTCAAAATCTGATGTCAAGTCCTGGCATCAGGTGGCTCCAGCAAACTTTGCAAGGCAGCCCTTTCTTCTGAGCCACAGGTAAGGAGCAAAGATCTCAGGAATTTCACAGCTCAATACATACTCATTAGTCATCAAAACAAAAGGAGTCCTAACTCTCACCTGGCTAGGTACCACCGCTGGAATCTGAAAATAAGCAACTTCACAACTGAGACAACCTGGCAAACACAACCTTACCCACCTAAGCAAGCTTAATGTCCTCTCTACTAGGACACAGAGAAAGTGGTACGGGACTTGCGGCGGCTGTGGGCAATTCCTGCCCCACGTCTTCATCTTCAATCTCATCGTGTGGAAACAATCAAACCCAACAAGAGACAGACTCCAAACTACCAGCCTGAACTCTGCAAGTTTCAGTGCAGTGGGACAAAACTCTAAAAACCTATGTGAGGCTGTGAAAGAAGGGATAAAAACAATGCAGCATGTGATCTTTAATTGGCTCTTGGTTTCAAGGAGGAAAGAAAGTCATAAAGAACATTATTGAGGCCAGGTATGGTGGTGCACACCTGTAGTCCCAGCACTTGGGAAGCTGAGGCAGGAAGATCACTATGAGTGTGAGGCCAGCCTGGACTACATAGTGAGTTCAAAGCCAGGCTGAGCTATATAAAGAGACGCTGTCTCAAGAAAAAAAAAAGAAAACAAAAACCAAAAAAACCCACAAAACATTATTGGGAGACTGTGGAAAGATAAATATGAAGTCTAGATTAAGCGTTAAATTTCTCGGGTCTGATAATGTATGGGTATGGCCTTGTTTTCAGGAGGCAGAATGGAAAAGTTCAGGGTTGAAATGCTTTGTGATGTCTGCAGTTACGTTTCTGAAAAAACTGGCATGAAAGAGAGAACGCACACAGTATAACAACAAGTGCTGCCCTTTGTACAATTTTTGAAACTTCTCTGTAGTTCTGAAAGGAAAAAAGGCCAGGTACATGTGCCCAGGAGTTCTGTGACATACTTCAGCTAGCCTGTTTACAATTACTACCATTATGACCTTTAATTAATAAAGATGCAGACAGCATGGCTGAGGGTCCCCAGAGCCATGAAGCTTGTTTGACCCTTTGCGTCAGGCAGCTGCCCGAGAGACAGATGACCGGCAGCTCTCCGTGAGAAGGGTCAGGGAGAAGTCGGGCAGCATGGGAGCTGTGGCGACCCCCAGGCTCATAGTACAGTGACCCCAGCATGCTAGAGCAAGGCATGGGAAGGGAGGGGACGTAATGAGGTCCAGCTGCACGAACACAGGTTCTAAACCCCCAGCACTCTCCATCTGTAAGTCCTACCTGAGGGCGTGGGAGACCCCGCAGGCTTCGGAAAGGTGGAGCTGGACGGGGCCGAGAGAGGTGTGGGATGGCTGAGCGGTCCAGGAGAAGCTGGTTTGGAGGTGGACGGTAAGGGCAGCACAGACGGAGTGTTTGGAGCACTGAGAACAGGAGCAGAGGTGGCCGCCGCAGTGAACCTGCAAGTGGCAAGGCCCCTGTGTCAGAACAGCCAGCTGCAGACCCCTTCCTGCCGCCCACAAGCATGGCACCACAGGGCACCTACGGCCCACACTGCACCGCCTGCAGGAGCATGTGTTTAGCTGCTGCTTGCACAAGGTTACTGATCATTTGATTATTTATTTATTTGAAACAGGGTCTCGCTGTTACAGTTCAGGCTGACCTTGAACTCCCTATGTAGCCTAGGCTGGCCTCAAATTCGCCACAATCCTCCTGCCTCAGCCTCCTGAGCCTAGGATTATAGGTGTGTGCCACCACACCTGGCACCTGATTATTTAGAAACGAATGATTCAACTAAAATGTCGGTTAAGCACTTTACATGAAAAGTTCAGTGCTGATAATGACATGAACAACTTATTCCCTAGTCTATGACATGGAGTAAAAAGGGCATGGGGCCTGACGAGGACTTGACAGGGAATGACTGCCTCCCACAGGAAGGGAACCGGAAGGGGAAAGTGGTCACCATCTTTGGATGTTTTGGCCTCCTGGGGATGTGCAGTCAGCTCCCTCTCAGGAGCAAAGTCCTGCAAACAATCTAAGCCGCCCACGAGGGCTGCCCATGAAATGCGGTGGAGCACCGGTGGCTATGCAGGTAGCTGTGTGTGGCTTCACAGTGACAGTGCGGCCCCTGCAGCAGGCATGAGGACAGGTGAGGGGGAAGCTGCAGGGCCCAGGGGCACAAGGCCCTCAAGACACCTGCAGTCTAACAGGGCGGCAGGAATGCGAGCCGAGCCAGCGGCGGGACCGGCATCTGCGGGAAGCTGGAGTGCGCGCCCAGACTCCGGAGTGTGCAGAAGGGCCATGAGAAGGCCCTGGGGACCGCCGGCGAGAATGTCGCCTCGCAGGTCCACAGCGCACTGTGCTGGGTGCACAGAGAGCAGCCGAGGGTGGACACAGGCGGGCAGCTGCCTTCCAGGGACACACACGGGGCACTTCCTGGCTTTGAACAAGGGCGTGCTCCTACCCGTGTAGTGTGAACAAGCACAGTGAGGATTTAAGTGTGTCTAGTCAAGAAACTGAGCTAAAGACCTTTGCACTGGTGGAATTTTAGCCATTTTAAGTATTATTTCAGAAAAAAACACCCCACTCAGTAGCTGAGCTCAGAGACTCTAGCTCACCCCACTGTGGGAGTCACTACATACCCTCTGCGTCCTGCGGAGGGCACCGCGCGGGCCACTTACTTTTCACTCAGGTTCACCTTGACCGCGGAGGCCGTGGGCAGGAAGGCGGGCTTCAGCCCCGCGCTCGGCGCAGCCGCACCGGGCAGCGGGGTGCTCTCCAGGGCGGGCTTGAAACCCGAGGAGCTGAAGGAGAAGGAAGCAGCTGACGGGGCCAGGGGCGAAGGTGCGGGCGTGGCAGCCAGCAGGCCCTTGGAGGGAGGCGCCAAGGAGAAGGCAGGGGTGGTGGAGGCCAGCACTGCTTTGGGGCCGTCAGAGCCACTGGGATACGGAGGGGGCTCCCCAGGGACAGGGGCAGAGGCCTTCAAGGGTGAAGAGCCAAAGGCGAACACGGCCGGGGTGCCCCCAGCAGAAGGCAGAGTGAAGGCAGGGGAAGGAGCAGCAGGCAACGCCGATGGAAGGAGGGCAGGGGCCGCTGGCCCTGAGGCGTCCAGTTTCGGTGGGGACTGAGAGGAGGTTGGGGTGGTGGGAGCACTTCCTGCGAAGAAAACCAAGAGGAAGGAAGGAAGAAGTTAACACTGTGCACTGGAGGCCCACAAGACAATAAGCAAGTGAGAGGGTCTGTGAGGGCCCGGTGTGGGTGCACAGCTACCACTGCCGCACAGGGGAGGCTGAGGCAGGCGGACGGCTACAAGTTCAAGCCCAACCTAGGCGACTTAATGAGTACAAGCCCAGCTGGAAATACAGCAAGACCCTGTCTCAAACAAAACAAGGGGTCTGTGGTTAAATGAAGCTGGAAGCGATACTAGTTTAAGAAGCACAAAGAGCTGGGCCAGAGCTGGTGCTGGACTTTCCATGGCCAGCAATCCGTGGAAGAACGGGAGACGAAAGCAGAGGTCTACAGGGAAGGAGCATGGAAATTCCACCTGCTGAAAGTGTAGACCCACTGTCACTGCCATCCAAGTACAGTAACACAAGCAAACCCACTCTAACAATACTTCTCTTAACACTACAGATGCAGAACCAAGAACAGTTTGATGGTACAGGGCCTTCACGCTGGGCTGTATCTCCAGCCCTTTTTGTTTTTTTGTTTTTTTTTTTTTTTTGGTTTTTCTCCGGTACTGGGAACTGAACTCACGACCTTCCGCTTGCCAGGCAGGCGCTTTTGCCGCTGAGCTAAATCCCCAGCCCCCCTTTTTATGTTTTTGAAACAGGGTGTCATTATGTAGCCCAGGGTGGTCTCAACACTCAGTGATCATTCTGCCTCAGCTTCCTGAGTGGGGGGATTATAGGCATGTGCCACCAGGCCTGGTCTTTTTTATTTTTCTTGAGACAAACTCTTGCTAAATTATTCAAGCTGGGCTCAAACTTGCGACCCTCCTGTCTCAGCTTCCCAGAATGTTGGGAATACAGACATGCACCACTGTAGCCAGCTATGCTAACTTCTTTAAAGATACATAGAGATGTACATCCTTTCTATGCATATTAGTAGGTCAACATGAAGGATACGTGCCAGAAGCAAAAGAAACACAGGCACGTTTACTACTGAAAATAGAACTGAACATCTGAAATCCGTCATTCTCTACTACCACTATTCATTCAACACAGGAGGACTGGAACTGCAGTTGGACGGACTCGCTAACACAACGAGCACGAGCTGGGACAGACCCCTCCGTTCCCGGCTCTTCTGCTCATTTGCACACGACTCTTCCCTCTACTCCAGCCTGCGGGCCGAGGCTCACAGGAAATCAGCCCCCGCTGTGTGCATCACGCCCTGCTTCTTACAAGACACCTGGCCAGGGCAGGGAGGGACACCCCCCAAGGGAACACCCTTCAGACAATGGGGTGTACCCACACAACACCCACAGCGCCCTGCCAGCCACCTGCTGGGTTACTCGGGGTCCCGCTGCAGTCCATCAGGTGCCAGCACCTAGGCAGCTCTAGTTCTGTGTGCACCTCGCTCCACACCTGGGAGCAGTAAGAAAACACACTCCACTAGTGTCAGGGTTATACTGCGGGCTCTTACAGTCACATGAGCAGAAAAAAATCTCATCACTTATATATAGGATTTAAAAAGAGAAATATTGCTGAAATTCCAATATTGAAAGAAACCCTTTAACAAGTTTGACATTTTCCTCTCGTGAGTGACAGTGCCGTGCGCAAGCTCGGGGATCAGAACTGCGTGGCCACAGCTCTGCACACACGCTGGCTGCTGCCCTGAGGACCGAGCGTGTCCCATGGTTCTGCACATGGCCTTTCTAATTTCGCTTCACTAACACATTATTTAGCAAATATTTTCAAAAAGGGTAAAACACAAGTGAAAATGAAATATAAATAAATAATCATTATTTACTATTTAACATCTGCCTCTCAAGTGTTTTTTTCTATGTATATATTTTTTCCTCATAAAAAAAAGACCACATAGGCCAGCCCACGTTCAGGCAGGCAGACTGGTCAGATGAGGATCACAGCCACCACCTGTGTCCTCAGCGTCCTTGGAGACTGTTCTGTGTAAGCCCAGGGAACTACAGACCTGAAGACTTGGGCTGTCGCTCGCCTTCTAGTGAGAGCCGCTCCGGGCTCCTGATGACAGATCTTGCCCCGGGATTCTGATTGATCATATAAAACGGACAAAGCACGCCATCTGTTGAAAGTAACAGGAGAACTGGAGCAGGAGGGAGGGTCTTCTCATCGTCTGCGAAAAAAGAAACCCATGGTGAACAAAGAGCCATGTCAGTGGAAGGGCTGGTCCTGAACCACAAGGGCATCGGCGGGGCCTCTCAGTTGCGCCAGCTGTGTTCAGGGGCAGTCTGGCGGCCTGGCGCGCATCAGCCGCTCGATAAGAACCCCAGTGGGTTGCTAGCAGGTGTCTACCCTCCTGCCGCGCATGTGAGCACCCCTCCTCTCCTAGGCTCCCTCTGGGTTCCCAATCTCGGTGCCCAGGAGGCAGGTCTGGCACCTCTGGCAAGACGGGGCTCTGGGGAGCACTGGGTGTGGTAGAAAGGAGACAGGCTGAACTATTTGGAAAATGCACAGGACCACAGACACGTAAGTCACGCTACGCTGTGTTCATTCACAGCTCAGTCCCAATTGAGATTTCAAGAGAATCACAGGAAATGAGCTGCTGAGACCAAACGCCTGCCAGGCCAGGGCAGGCACGAGGGACTTCAGCTGCCCCAGGGGACAGCTCTCCACACGAGGGCACCCGTGGGCAAACTCCTTCTCCTGCGGTACTTTCATGGTTCACTGACAGCAGCACCGCACTGTTCCAAGCAGGGGCAAGGCACCTCAGCACACACAGCCAGGCCCACGGTGCAAACCGTGGAGTCAGAGTCTCCAGTTCCCAATCCGTGCCCAGCCCAGTATCTCTGTGCAGCCCCAGGAAAGGGCAACTCTCCCCCAGGAGGTCACTGGGGGCCTGGAATGGCGAAGAAACCATGCTCTGAGACCCAGCTGTTCTACCTCAACCAGACTCCAAAGCCAGCAGATGTGCATGTGTGCACACAGGCCCAGGTGCAAACTTACAAGTGAGTGCTCGTTCACGTCACAGCGTCACCACAGTGTCACATAGTGCAATGTGCCCGAGGAGCAGACCCACATGCCTGACTGCCTTTCAACATGAACCACCACTAAGCAGAGGGCACTCTGCACCCACACCAGTGACACTCACTCAGGGCAACCTCCACCTGGTTGGTATAGTCAACGGCCACCCCCACGGGCAGGGAGTCATCACTCCTGTCTGTCACAGGTAACTCAGCTCGACTGGAGTCCTCCAGGAGCCAAGATTCCCAATTAATCTGCAAGAAAAAAAGGAGCAGAAGAAACAAAGTGCATGTTGGTTAGTTTTGGGTTGGTTCCTCCTAGCAGCAGAGAAAAAAACTGCCTCACTCGGTTCAGCTTTATGTGTTGGCTGCGGGGCTCTGACACATGGGAAGCCAGACTGAAGGCCTCAAGAACCTCAGCAAGCCAAAACCAACTTCTCTACCTTTCCATCGTGAATAAAGGCCCTGCCTTGTGAACCGGTCAGCTCCTTGCCCCGCATCCCGTGAGGAGCCTACAGTCTCTGCCCAGGTGCTCAGGTCTGCGCGGCTGGGCTGGGCTCTTTCCCTTCCAAAGAAGGAGTCCTGAGTTTTCAAACCACTAAGCTCTCTGTGTTAGGCAGAACCGGGCAATGTGAGTCATGGGGAAACAGTGCAATGAGTAAACAGCAAGAGAAGTGCGACGTGGGTGGTAGGCTGCACTCGCACTACTTGGCTTAGCCAAGGGGCAAGAGACACAGGCCACACTGGCACAAGTAAAACGGTTCAGTTTCGAAAGACTCCAGAGAGCAACAAGGAGGACTCGGCCATCACAACAGACATGGAGGCTACAGCTCGGCACTACAGACGGGAGAGAACGGCAGGAGCAACGGCAGGAAGCGAAGAGCAACAGTGGCCACCAAAATGACGGCGACAAGTCACTTACAGTTATGAAGCAATGACATGAAAACAATGCTGTAACTCCGAGCAGGAGGGGTTCCGGGGCTGCACGTGAGAGACATCTCACCTGCCACAGTCAACAGGCCTAACCCTAACAGTGATAGACAGACTGTTCTTCTGTCTTGGCTTGCTTTTGTTTTTCTGCAGTACTGGGGATTAAGCCCAGGGCTATGCCCTAGCCTGTTTTTTCATTTTTGAGATACAGCCTCACCAAGTGGTTAAACTGCCCAGGCTGGGATCGAGCTTGTGATCTTTCTGCCTCAGCCCTCCAGAGGGCTGGGATCATGGGGGTGCACCACCATGGCAGGCTAAGGAGATTATTCTTCAGGGATAAACCCTCAGCCAGGGTAAGAAATTGTTTGAAAATAAAAATGGTCCACTCCATGGGCTGGGGCAGGATGGGTGGGGCGAATGACTCTGGTTTGTTTTTGTTTTTTTTTGAGACAGGGTCTCACTATGCAGTTCAGCCTGGCCTTGAGCTCACTTTGTAGCCCAGGCTGGTCTCAAACTCACAATGATCCTCCTGCCTCAGCCTCCCGAGTGCTGGGATTACAGCACAGGCATGTGCCAACATGCCCGGCCTCATTCTGTTTTTATAAGCCTTTCTCTACTATTTGATTTTTAAATGTATATACATAATTTTGACAAAAGGTAAAAATAAAAGCCCACTTTAACATGTGAATGTATAAAATGCTTGTGCTAATGAGATTGTAAGCGAAGCCAATGTAAGACAGCCCTAAAGTTGCCAACCTCTAGCTACTGACTATAAAGTGCCTGTCCCAGACAGCCCGGGGGCCACTCTGCCACCCACGTGGTGCTCGGTAAATGTTGGGAGGCTAAAGGGGCACAAAGCACCTGCGCATAGGGAGTGAAAGGACTTGGTTCCTACACTCACAAGGGCACACAAAACTCTGAAACCCAATGCAGTTTTAAAAGGAAAAGGCTTCCTTTGTACGGCCCCTGCCCTGGGGCTGCCCTACAGAATCTGTACCTGCACGGCCAGTCTGCCTCAGCCCACCTGTCCCGGTAGATGCTGACACGGGGAAGGCACTCGTGCCCTGGCCCTTTCCTTTCATGGGTTTTTAAAGCCAAACAGAAAGTGCAGGTGGTCACTCATGTCTCATGGTTCAACTGGAGATTCTTCAGTACGAAGATGGAGGGGGCAGCCTGCCTTGGGTGGAAAGCACACATCACACGGAACCTGGGTCTCTCCTCAGGCTGGCAACAGGCTGCTTGATACACTCACCACGGTGGGCAGTGACAGCAAGCCACTACTCCGCCAGCTGGCCACCCGGGGGAACGGACAACTGTCCTCCACAGCACCCTGTGCCAGAACCTGTGCCTTGTGGCAGGGCGGGTGCACTAACTGCAGGTTCGACTTACGGTACTCTCCACTGCCTGCAGGTATGCTGGGCTGCATCCCCATCCTAAGTTGGGACATCTGTATTTCTGACAAATCATGCTTTGTCCTGCTGTGTTTCCCTTCTATAACTGAGTGGGCTACAGCTAACTGTGTAGAAGGAGCAGGTAAAGGAAAAGGAAAAACAATGAAGACGGTACAACAGAAAATCCCAGGGAAAGCCTCCCACGTATCTGAGTACAGGTCTGGAGGTTGCTTACTAGTTCTGCATGTTTCCACAGATTATGCATGGGTCTTAGGGAACACAGGGATGTGTGTTTGTTTGTTTGAGACAGTATCTCGCTATGTAGCTCAGGCTGGGCTTTAGCTCACTATGTAGCTGCCCTTGATCTCACGGCAATCTTCCTGCCTCAGCCTCCCAAATGCTGGGATGACAGGGGTGCATCACCATACCCGGTTCGTGGGATTTTTTTTAAGAATACTGAACTATATGTTACTCCATGCCTCTCAGTGTAACACCCAGGCTGTCTGGTCCGAGGTGCTTTGTCATCGAGACTTTGCTCTCCCCCCAGAAACGCGGCAAGAAGGGTCAGAGTTGGACCCCATCTTAATCTTTTTCACCACGCAGCTCATTCCCTCCAGAAGCTTTCTCTCGAAGAAGTCATCTCATGGTGTAGGAACGAGAAGGGAAACGCACCTGGTCACTTTGCCGAGCAAGGATGCTGACTTCTGTTGAAGCTGCAGATGCCGCCAGCACTAAGTCCCTGACGAATGAGAGCAGAGGGGTTGAACACACTGATTGCTCTGACCCAGGGTGGCCAAAGGTGACACCTGTGGACCTCCTGCATGTGGCCAGGAGGAGGGAGCTCCCCACCCAGCTCCTGGAAGGAGGGCAGGGTCTAAACCCTGGAGGAGCCCGCCTACTGCCTAGCTCAGTGAAGACACAGGTAGGATGGACAGAACCCAGTCCCCGCCCCAAAGCCCACAGGCCTCATCAGGGGTATGGTGCTTCAGGTAATCTAGCTTCCAAGGGCAACTGGCCTAAAACTCAGCCCCTGGGGCCTCAGCCCCTGCAGTGCTGAGAGTGTGGGGGTGTGCCACCATGCCCAGATTCAGAAGCTCTGACTACGTTCTTTGAACATCAGTATTTTCACAAGCCATCACTGGGCTTACTGAGAAAACTGGATGTTCAGATGAACGCAAACCTATCTAACCTAAACATCTCAAAACTGGGGAAGCAGAGAAAGTCCCTGAATGTGGCCAGGACCAAAAGGGTGACCTGACCATGACAGAGGAAAGCGCTGCTCACCACTCCTCGACATAGCTGAGGTAGTAATGGTGCTGCCTCTCCGCACAGCTGCCGTAGCAGGGCTCCATAAAGTTCACAAAGATCTCCGGATGCTTCTCTTCCTTTTTCTACAACGAGCAGAGCAACAAAAATGTCTCAGGCACAATTTTCCTCGAATGCGACAGTCAATCACAAAGACAGAGTCTTAATGTTTAGGAGATGGTTTACTCCTACACAAATGCAGGGATGAGACAACAGCGGGACGGAGGAGTGCAAGGTACAGAAAAGCTGGCCACCAACTGAGCGCATTCCAACTCTGTTCTGTCACTTTAGGACCACGGGACGCCCACCGTCAGATCACTGCCTCTCTGCTGCTCAGTCTCCTCAGTGTACAAAGAGCCCACCAAGTTACTGCAGCCTGTTCTGACTGTGAAGCGGAATGATCCACATTTAGCATCTCTCCAGTGATCTCCATGCTAGTGCTAATACTACCCCGAGCCAGGAGCGGTGGTGCACACCTACAATCCCAGCTATTCAGGAGGCTGAGGCAGGAGAATCACAAGTTCGAGCCCGGCCTGAGCAACTTACTGATCTGGGGAGACCCTGTCTCAAAATAAAAAATAAGAAGGGATGAGGATGTGGCTCAGTGTGAAGGTGCTGGGTTCAATCCCCAGCACACACACACACACACACACACACACACACACACACAAGCCCCTCCCTCTCCACTTGGCTCTGCTCCAAGGCTTCTCCTCAGAGGCCTTTGCTGCCCGCCCGTCTGCCTCCTTCTCTCCATTCCCATCACACCTCCAGCTGGCAGGGCCAGCAGCTGCCTCGTCTGCAAAGGTGGGGACTCTGCTTTGGTCACCTCTGCACTCTCAGCTTTAAAGCAAGGCCTCACGTGCCACATGCATATCAATAAACAAATAAAGGAATTTTAAAAGTCAGAGTGATCGCTTCCTTTTCTAAAATTTCTTATCAAGTTAACCAAGACTTAGTCACTTATAGCTTGAGGAGAAGCAAGATTCAACATATGCTTTTACCTCATGACTAACCCTCTGACCGCGTCTCATGGAGATGCCCTAATTTTAGTCCCCAGGCCCTGGGTGCACTGCTGAAACTGTCCCCTGAACCTGCATTGTCACTGCTGATGAGTAGGGAGGCTGAGCCCAGGTCTCAACCTGTACTAGCACACTGCTCTAGTCCCAACAAACAAGGCGGCCCATCCTTGCACGTACCGGAAGCAGCGCCATCACCACCTCTGGAGACGTCTCCAAGGTTCCATCCGCAGCGGCATAGACGATGGTGAAGACATAGGTCCCGATCCACAGCACATCCAGCACTGAAAGCACACACGCACTCCGCTCAGCAGGGGATCAGACCATAGGTACCAGGCTGGCAGAAAGCAGCTTATGCCAGGCGTGGCCACTCTATGCTATCAGATTAGCATACTGCGGTAAAAAATCAAAGTTCTGTAGCATTAGCAAAGGTCCAGCTTTCACTAAGTAAAATTCACAGTTCAAGGAGCCCAAACTCAAAGTAATCGCTTCCCTTAAGAGTGGACGCTGAAATTTCTAGTAAAGACTGAGATCCACTTCAAGTTATGTACCAGGAGACACAGGGTCTCCAAAGGGTCATCGTCACACTGACCTCAGCAGTGCTGAGCAGTGGCACTGCGTGTGAGGGGACACTGATGCCCCCCAGCTGATATGGAGGTTCGTCACAGTAAGAAAAGCAGCGTTACCTCTCACGGGATGATCCGCCTCATAAAATGGAGGACAGGGAATCACTTTTTTTTCCTGTAAAGTCTGGAAGAGATTTGCAAACAAAAGTGTCAATGAAACAATCCCTAAATCAATAAGACTCTGTCAAATCCAAGCTGTTCCCTTTGAAGCTACCTGTTCCATCTCCCTAGTCAAAGAGACTGAACCAAGACACAAGCCTGTCTACCCCTAGGCCCTTTCTATCTTGGAGAAATGCTCATAGAGCGTTCACAGGAACGTGCCAAGGATGTTCAGTCCGACTGCATTCGTGGTAGCAGAACTCCTAGCGCTGATGGAACTGATCGACTGTGGCACATGTACAAAGGGGCCTACTACGCAGCTATGAAGAGAAGGAACATGCAGCGACTGGAAGAAAGGCCTCCGTAAGTTATACAAGTATGCAATCAGAAAAGCAGCAAAAGGAGCTGGGGATTTAGCTCAGCGGCACAGCACCTGCCTGGCAAGTGTGAAGTTCTGAGTTCGTTTCCCAGTACCGGAAACAAACAAAAAAACAAAAAAAAAGAAAAGCGGCAAAATTAAGCCAGTCGCATCTTTTTTGAGGCTAATGCTCCTCAAGAAAGAATGTACCATACTGTGGCACAACAAGAATAAGCCAGGCATCGTGGTGGTGGTGCCTGCAGCCCTAGCTGCTGGGGAGCCTGAGGCGGGGGATCACCTGAGCCCCAGGGCTGGAGGCTAGCCCAGGCAACACGGCAAGACCTGTCTCCAATAAAAATTTTCTTAATGCGACAAATAAGAAACAACTTGTACACCTCTTTTGTCATCTAACTCCCCAGAGAGCAGTCTGAAGGAGGAAGGCATAGCACAGGCCCTGGCAGCCTGCGAACACTTCCATTACATCCACACTTGGGCAGATGTGTGGGTTTTTTGGGAGTCAATTTACATCACAGAGTATTTGGGAATGTTCTCTCTCTGGAGCGTCAGGCTGAGGACCACAGAACACGCATGCAACAACAGGACTGTCTCGCTGTTGCCTGCAGTGGCAGGAAGTGAACCTTGGAAGAAGGGTTCCAATAAAAGACACACACTGGAGTTTAACACAGAGGGAGTCTGCATGTGGTAACAGCTTGCTCCCCAACTTCTTCCCCTCTCAAGCTCTGCTTTCACAGAATGGACTAGAAATGTGAAGAGGAGGAACCAGTGTGGAGAATGTGATTCCACTATGGTTCCAAAGCCAAACAAAAATAAGACACAGACTACTCAGACAAACCCTGAGAGCAGTGCGGAACGGCCCCTGCTAAAGAGCACAGTGGGCGCCGCTGGAAGGGGGACAAGGAGAAGAAGGAAGATTGCCTCTCTCTTCTCCAATTACTAGGAGGTTTACTGCAATAAGCATAAATTATTATACTACATTACATATTATGCTGTACTATATTTTATTACATACACGTGTGCGTACATATATATATATATATTTGACAGTACCAGAAATTGAACTCAGATAAACTACTTTTTGTTTTGTTTTGTTTGACACAAGGTCTTGCTATGTAGCCCAAACTGGACTCACTTGCTTGACCTCACAATGATCCTCCTGCCTCTGCCTCCCAAATGCTGGGATTACAGGTGTGCGCCACCTCAGATAAACTACTTTTTAACAGAAAAGAGCAACCAAGGTGCTCCCAAACCACTGCCCAAATCAGCAGGTAACTTCAGTAAGAGAAGTTCTGAAGGCTGAGGCAAGAACTTACAGGAAGATACTGGACCACGGTTCCGTTCTGCTTTCCCACTGCCAGCTGCTTTCCCTTGGGGCTCCAGCACACTGCGCAAGAAGAGAAAGCAGCCGGTTAGATGCGGAGGGACATGGAATAGCTACACATTCACTGAGGCTGTTTCTGTCAGTCCATGGAGGACTGCGGGGTCACCATGCCCAACAGGTCAAAAAATGGTGCGATCACTCTAACCATGCGAGGCAGTCAGGACTCCCCCTGGGGTGCTGAAGCAAGCTCAGCGTGCTTTTCCAGTAAGTGCTGTCCAGAAAGCCACAGAGCACAGAAAACTAGTCTCTAGTTGAGAAAAGGAGGACAGACAAAGTTTTCACGTATCAAGAAATCGTTCTCCTATTCCTATTTGTTATTTGTAATGCCTTCCCACAAAGGTACAAAAGACTTTAGCAGGACAACTCTTTCAGATCCAAAAGCAATTATTCTCAGAAACCAGTTCTTAACCAGCTGTGCCAAAGTATTTCTCTCCCCAGATAACCCAAGCACATTCAAATTAATTCATGTATGCTGTTTGACTTCAAGGACATTAACTGTGGAAATAAAGAATACGCTCCATTTCTAATTTAAAAAAACCCACACATAACAAAAACCATCCACTTTTACTTGCAGAAATGAATTTTTAAATAGATCGCCATTACTATATGTTATGGAGTGAAAGCCTTTATTACCCACCGGATGTTACTGCCACCGTGGAAGGAAGAGTGGCACACACTTTCACCGCATCTGTGACTTGTAGGACAGCAATACTGCCATCGGCCAGACAAACTGCCACCATGGAGGGGACGGTGGGATTCCACTTCATATCGATCACCATGCCTCCGGCATCCTTCGAAAGCTTGTGATACGCAAATGGGCGCTTCTGCTGTTTAGCCTTTGAAAATAAATACATAAAAGCAAGATAATTACTAAACACACAGACATTTAGTACCCAAAAGATACAAGTCCTCTTAAATCAGAGTTCACTCCTCCATTAACATGAAAAAGAGATCTGGCTCTACACAGCAATCTACTTGTTACAGAAGATTTCAAAGGAACTCTGAAAATGGCAAGCAATTATTCTAGCTGGAGGGCAGGGGAATGTATAAATGCAAAATAATCAAAATGTGGCAGGCACAACATAAAAGTCTTGGTTCTGCTTCTTAATAGTGTTGGGACCTCGGGCAGTCACTTAGCACCTGAAGCCTGTCTTTCCAAACGTAAGATGAAGAAAATCGCATCTACTATGTGAGGCTAAGGGAGGCATGAGCAAGGACAAGACATAAAAATACTCGATATAATCGACAATTCTCAATCGGAAACTACAGAACAGGAGGGGGAACCCTGCATTCAGACGCCAGAGGAAGAAAACGTGGGGCTTCTGACACTGCATTTTAACCCTTGGGGCTGGCAGGTCACTTAAGCCTCCTGGCTGGCTGTCCTGGGTACAAGTGAAACAGAGCACCTTGAACCAGGTGCGGTTAGGAACTCTTCCTTGAAGTGCTCTCTCTCAAAGATGTAGGAGTCTATAGTTAAGGGCTCTTTCTTTAGCCTACATTTTAATTTAGAAAAAGCCTTCAAGGGTCAAGTGAAGAACCTCTAAGTAGTAATTCCACATAAGCAACTCTCGTAGGTTCCCATGCTGACATTGCGGTTTCTTGGTGTTTACCTCGTTTGAGAAGGTGCGCACGTCAAAAAAAGCGATGATGGAGCCATATTCCCCAGACGCCATGCACACCGACAGCGTGAGGTTGTCGCAGCTCAGGGCCAGGTGATGCACTGGGAATTTCATAGGAACGAGCAAGCTCTGGACCTTATCAACTATGGAAACATGGGGGGAGAAAAGGCAAAGCAGGAAGAATGGCATGCTCTCCGCACCAAGCCAACCTCCTTTACCTAACAATGTGGAACAAGTTTTAAATCTACATAGACACACACCCTGATAACTAGTTACACTACTAAATCTTAACTTTCTTACAGATATGTAAGAGTGCATTACAGGTACATAATGACCTCAGGGACTGCTCCCCACACAACCAGGGCTGCTGCCCTTGCTGAAAACACTTTGCTATAATGCTCTGAACAGTGCACATCTGTTTGGATGGCACTGCTGGGCCAACTAAGAAATGTAATAAAACTTTTCTTCGAAACAGCCATAGCCCAAGCCCAACTGAGCAAAAATAAAAGTTCTTTGCTCTATGTTCAAAGGAACAACTCCTCAGAGAAGTATAAAGGACCAAAGAGAAAACCTAGAAAAGCTTCCAGTGTGCTGCCGGGAACCCGGCCTCCTGGGGTCCATCTTGGGCCCCAGGTAGTTTTAGCGTTAGCATCAGAGTGACTTCCTGTGGAGGGCGCATTTTGCACAGCCCTCTCCGCTCTGCAACACAAATCAAGGGACTCACCTACTTTATTGGGATCATCTCCAGGTTTGTTTTGAATGAGCAGGTTTTTAGTAGACAACACCTGCAGCCCACTGGCTCCACCAGCAAAGAGCAGCCCGTACTTGTTGGATATGGCGAGCAGGTTGGAGCGTTCTTTGGGCAGCTCCTCAGGGGAGTCGAAGAGCCTCACTTTCTTCAGTGCTCTAAACTGAAAATCCTGTTTTGCAAGATCAATTTGAGGAAAACAGAACATTAAATCGTGTCTGTCCCTATACTTCAGTAGACCTAACTCCAAGATAACAAATTTATTACCTTGATGGCAATGACTGTCTTAGCTGTCTGAGACATTCTGTATTTGTGATGCCTACTGCAGTACTCATTAATATTTATTCAATGAAATAAATGGAAAAAAATCTACAAAGGCCATCTTGCCTAATCTAGCCTACACTGGTCTTTTCCTTTTCTGAATTCTTAGTTGTATGGTCTGAATCACCACACAGCTACATGTCATCATTTATAATCTTTCCTATCTCATGAACCAGTGTAGTGCTTAATAAATTACTGTTAAATACTTTAAGCAGCCAGGCGTGCTGGCGCACGTCTGTAATCCCAGCACTGGGGAGACTGAGGCAGGAAATCGCTGCAATTTCGAGACCAGCCTGGGCCCCCAAGTGAAACCCTGTCTCAAAGACATACATACATACATACATACATAAATATTGAAAGCATCACCCAACTGAACTGCAAGACGTAACTCCCAGTGTGGTACTCAACAAATATGTATTGAAACAACCACAGAAAAGATAATCAAATAGCAAGAACTGGCTTTCTTCTATCAGCTGTTCAAAATTCCATCACAGAAAAGGACAGTTAATCCTGAGCACTCAAAACCTATTAAACAAACAAACAAAAAATGTCAGGTGTGGTAGCACAAGCCTGTAATCCTGCCTGTAATCCCAGCACTCAGGAGGCTGAGGCAGGAGGATCAAGGATAGTTGTGAATTCAAGGCCAGCCTGGGCTACAAAGTGAGCTCAAGGCCAGTCCAAACTGAACTGCATAGTGAGACCCTGTCACAAAAAGACCGAAAAAAAAAGGGGCGGGGGGATCGTTCCAAGTTCAAGGCCAGTCTGGGCTACAAAGTGAGCTCAAGGCCAGCCTGAACTGCATAGTGAGACCTTGTCTCAAAAAGACAAAAACATAACAAATTAAAGAATGTCTGCTGGTCGTCGTGGTCTACACCTAGAATCCGAGCACTCTGGAAGCTAAGCCAGGATTGAGTCTGAGATCGGTCTGGGCTACACAGTGTGACCTTGTCTCAAACAAACGCAGTGGTACCTCAGAGCAGGTGGAGTTATGAAATCATTTCTTGAAGTCAAATTCAATGGTGGGGTTCAGTGTTGACTTTATGGGGAAATCTGATTTGGCTCACGACCAATTTGGTTTGTGGCCAGAACCGGGGAAAGGATTAAATTCATGAACCGAGGTAGTACCACTGTAAATAAAAACACAAGGCCAAGCCCCTTAATACACGCAACAAGGCCACGCATGGCTTTCCCATCTGTTCTGCAGCCTCTCCTCACAACGTCTGGTTTCTCTTCACAGAGGGCCATAGTCTCCGCCACAGCCACCGCCAGTCTTGCCCCTATTTTCAGTTTTCATTTCCTTAATTTTCATGTTCCTGTTAGACATGAGTGGCCTGGAAGCTTTCCCTGGCATTCTGCCAATGCCTTCCCCCAGTCTTCCACAGATGTATCTGTACATTTTCAAAGATTATTTTCAGTCCATACCGTCTCTTGGCAAAAATGTTCCCTAACCCTACCCATTACTTTGTGAAACTACTAGGTATGGTTGTGATCTTTTTCTTTCCTTCAGTCCTAAACCCATTTTCAGGTCAAGGTCTTAGTGAAAAGAATGTGAATCTGCTTTGCACTTCCATTCCAAAAGTGTAAAAAACAGACGCACAGCCTTTCTGGCTTTTATTTTTGTACACTAGGATTGTATGGTTCATATGGGATCCCTAGCACATCTCACATAGTATCTTCCTTGCATTCCATGTTTCATGCATATCTGCTAAGAGAGCTGCTGAAATAATCTTAATTCCAACTGCCTGCAGTGGGCAAAGATTCACACAGCCTGCTGGAATAGCTGCGCATGCCTGGAACCCCAGCTAAGACTAAGGTAGGAGGACCCCAAGTTTGAGGCTAGCCTGGGAGATTCTGTCTCAAGAAAAAGCTAACTAAACTAAACTAAAAAGAGCTGGGATGTAGCTCAGCACTCCCTGAGTACAATGCCCAGGAATGAACAACTGAACAAACACACACACACAAAACACACAATTTGCACAGCTTTCCAGGTAAGATCATACTATGGTTTCATAGAGAAGCAGAATAAAAATTTTTGTTGTTGTTGTTGTACAGGGAATTAAACCCAGGGCTTTCAAACTGAGCTACATCCCCAGTCCTTTATTTATTTTGAGACAGGGTCTCACTATATGGACCAGGCTGGGCTCAAACTTGCAATCTTCCTGCCTCTGCCTCCCAGAGTGCTGGGATTACAGACATGCACCACTACACTTAGCTTTGGTCTTTTACAATTTTTATTGTGATAATCTCCACTCTGCCCTACTTGGTCTCAGTCATGTGAGTGCAGAGGGTCAGTGGGATGAAGAGGAACAGAACAACTCTTCCTACCACAGTAACTCAAAGGGAGACTATTCGCTTTCGTCTGTGGTTCTGAAGCCTTTCTTCTTTCTACCCCAGTGCATCTGAGGAACAGGACACACGCCCATCAGGTGGCTGCAAACAGGCAGCAAAGCTCAAGGAAGAAGCCATCACTGTTCTGGATATGGAGTGGCTCACTATCCCCTTAATGCACACTTCAGTGATTTGCTGTTCATACAAATGCTTAAATCTTGCTGCAACTTACTCCCTTTCAGCTTTCTGCTTAGAATAGCTCGCTGTCTGTACCATCATTCTGTCAAAACACGCCTAAGAGCTATGAAACGCGCCATCCCGGGAGTTATCTCGTGTTACCACCAGTGACCTTCCCTTTAGTTCCCTGACTTTAGACTGATTCCCGGGGCGAAAATCACGTTCCCAGCCCAATCAGCTACGAATTTTGCAGGTCGGATGACCCTTCCTGGTTCTACTTTGGGTAAGTCTGAACCACCTTACAGAAGCAGTACAGTCAGGATGAGAAAGAAGTCGTATACTAGACTTCTACCCTCCTGTGACACGCGACTTAGGATGAATTACTTTCAGAGCTTCGATCTGCTCCTATTAACGACCACTTCCTCGGGTCGCTGTGATGATCACCACAGCGCCTGGCACGCAAAAAGCGCTCAATTATTACCACTGGGGCGGCTACCACACGCAAGGACCTGGGGTAACTCAAGAGGCGAGCTAGAGACCACCGACAGGCGGGGAAGCGGAATTCGGGGACGCGTTCCTGCCGGGGGCACGGCGCAGGGCTGCGCAGGCGGCAACTCACTACGCGGTAAACTGTTCAAGCGAGAGGCGGGGCAGCGGCCACCCGCGTTCCTCCGTTCCGGCGGGACACCGAGTCTAACGAAGGGAGGCCTCAGCCAGTCTCTGACCTTCATCTCTCGCTCCGGGATCATGGCATCCATCTCGTCTCCCATCGCGCCGTCCTCAGTTTATGGAAGCAGAGGCCGCTGCCACCCGCGGCCTTGCCCACAGAACCCAGGCCGCTCGGAAGCCAATTTCCTCCCCTCGGCGCGAGCCGCGCGCGGCAGACGCGCACTTCCGGCGCGCTTTGGTGACGTCAGGAGTCCCTGTCACGGGGCTACTGGAGGGAAGCCTCAAGGTCTTCTGAAGTTGCGCGCCCTCCTGGCTGCGAGCCCCCATTGGTCCGCCCGAGAAAGGGGCGTGCCCTTGGGGCCGATGCGCCTGCGCTCTCTCCCACCCAGCTGGGGGGGTTTCTGTTGGTTTCATTTGTTTCACCGCGCATGCTTAGGCTCTGGTTGCTAGTTGCCTGGAAGCCTCACAGTAATGTAACTCTTAGATGCAGAGCTATTAGGAGCTTCCGACTCAGAGATGTTAGGAACTTAAACACTTTCTCCGGACAGCTTTTGGTTTTGCGGGGGTGGGGAGGGAACTCTAGAAAATGAATAGAGTAGGTCCTCACCACGAGAGACCGCCTGTGTCTAAGGACAGGCTGAAAATGGAAGGGCTAAGAGACACCAACGATTTGCTTTGTTTACTCCTTTCAAGGTAGTCATTTCCAGAGCAAGAGCCGTATTTACTTCTGGACTCCAAAGATTTTGTGCCGAGTTCTGCACCAAACACTAGATGTATCGTGTTTAGCCTTCCTACTCACCTAGGAGTTTATTAACATTTGATGAAAAACGGGGAGCGGAGAGAAGAAAAAGAAAATTCTCCACGGCCTTCAAGTGGAGACAGGATTCAAATTCCGATCACCTGACTACACTATTGTAAAGTCCTGTGTAGAAGACCTTGCTGTAGTGGAATTAGACACGCTCTAGGACAGAGGTTCTTTACTTGGAACGCATGGGGGTGGTTCTACCACTTGTTGGTTTTCAGCATTTGGCTGTGCTACTTTTCAAGCCTGCTTCTCATGTAAAACAAGAGCGATGTAATAGAGCCTGTCCTGTGAGGATGTGAGGCGTAAGTGAAGTTCTGAGGTCTGGGGCTGCTGTCCTAGCTAGCTCTTCTGAATGTGCTGAGCGCAGAACCATTCCTGAGATAAACCATGAAAGACACTGGGTCAGTTTGTCTGGTTTATTCCAATCTGTAGAGCTGATACCCCACCCCCCACACACTTCCATGCACACCCGCCCAGTGCAGGCATGTGCACACATGCACACGTGCACACACACACACACAAACTTCAGTCACATGAATTTGCCTGACAAACTTTCCTTTTGAATCAAGGGGACAAAGCCATACTTAGCAGTCCCCACGTTGCTGGTTACATTAGTTAGATTTGGTCTTTTTCAGAAAGAAGATAGTTGAAGGTCCAAGAAAGTGGAGCCCTTAGCTAGAGAAATGAGGCCAAGGGCCAGCAGCCACAACCCAAAATACACACAGACCCCCTGTCCAGGGCTCACATTGAGTCTGTTTCCCCAGGGCTGAGTTCTAAGAGCTGGTGAAGGAGCTGATGGGGTTCCCTCATCCCCTGCAGTGACAGAAGGGGTTTTCCATTTCCTCTCTTTTCCATATCTCAGACTGTGGAACCCACTGAAATAAGCCTGGTTGGTTCTTCGTCTCTCTGAGGAACAGCCACACTGAATGGGATGGGGAATCAAAAAAAAAAAAAAAGCTTATCTTCCTTCAGGAAGAGAGGAGGCAGTTGCTAATCTGTCTCAAAAAAAAAAAAAAGGCTCCACAAAGGTAGGAGTAGGTGGGGGTAGGCAGCAGGATTTTATATTTACAGGGAGGAATGTTGTGCTGGGGTTTAAACTTCAACTAGGCCTGTGTATCCCTCAGACAGGGTCAGCCAGTTATACCCACACGATCTTGCTCTTTAGCTGGCTGAGACCAGAGGACTGGTGTGACTTGGCCATGTCCTTACGTCCTACCTGTTTTACTCCCGTAAGCTGCTACTGGGGCAGCACCCTGGGCCTTGACTGTGGGTCTACAGGAGCCACAGGAAACCCAGAGTAGCTCCAAGAGGCCCCAGCTCTGAAGGTTTAAAAAAAAAAAGAAAATTTATTGGGGAACAGGAATAGCTCCTGGGGGACAGGAAGGATCCCAAGTGAGTTGCCCTGTCCATAAGCTTTTGTCAAAGTTTCTGCAAGACTCTTGCCCCTGTCTAAGGCGATCACCCTTGGGCCTCCCCCACTTCCTAATATTCGTCCCTGTGTCACTGGGTCTTTGTTCCCCACTGCACGGTAAATTCCACGAGCTGTCTGTTTGACTGCTGAGTTATGAGCTCTTGGCCTATAGCAGGAGCTTAATAAGTATATGCAGTGAATGAGCATATCTATGTCCTGAGGGCACAGATAAGGATCCCAGAACACAGGTACAGTCGGGACTGTCTGACACTTGCCTACACGGGTTCTGAGGAGCAGGTCCCGGAGCCAGGGCCTAGAAGCTGTAGGAAGCCAGAACTGCAGAGCAGGCCTGCCCTCACCCAGCCCTGACGCTGACTGGGAAGCCCATGGCCTTCAGGGTGAGAGAAGCCTTCCTGAGTGCTGGCCCAGGACTTTGGCCCTCGGCCCGCTTCCCTGCTTGCAACGCTAAGGCAGCCAGAGCAGAGGTGAGGCGTGGGCAGGCTCATCTGTCTCCAGATTCACCCCTGACCTTGGGCAAGGCAGTGGACCCCAGTGGGCCATCACAGTGAGAGTGGGGGGGCCCAGCTCACCTACAGGGCCGAAGAGGGCTCTGAAATCCTGAATCCCTAACAAAGGGCACAAGTGGCTAGGTCCAATCCCAAGGCTCAAGGTTTTGAGCAACTGGAATGGGAAAGGTGAGTTAGAGAGACAGAGGACACAGCCCAGGTCAGGGCAAAGTGGAAGGGCTTAAAGCTCATAATAGGTGCTCAATAAATATGCTGAATGAGTACATGAACGTGTGAACAGCACGAGCAGGGTAGGAAGGGAAAGGGAGGAAGCAGTCGGGCCTCAAGCGCTTGCGATCAGAACGACGACCTGTTATTTAACTCCTGGCTACCAGGGGTGCTGGCTTTTGCACAAGCATTCTCCTCTGTCTCCCATCCTGGGGCCCTCTGGGTCCTCCCTGCAAGCTGGAACTTCCTGGCTGACCCTCCCTGGGGCCCCTAGCCTCACCTCTGCCTCTGAAGCCCTTCGCTTCTCTAACAGGGAGGTGTGGCCAGGGAGCAAGGCCAGAAGGTTCCTTCCGGTTCCTTCTTGAAGGGCAAGGACAGCCAAGCTCCCTTCCTTCCCACCTGTGTCACGCGCTTGGGGGCGACCAGCGGGGTGTGTCAAGGGGGGATCAGTGGGGTGGGGGCACTGAGTGGCCACATCCAGGGTACCGAAGAACATCAGAAGCGTGGGGCTATGCAAGGGAACCCGAAAGAGGCCCTTTCTGCTCCAGGCTCCTGGGACCGTGGGCGGGGGCCACAGGCATTCTGGGAAGACGGAGGTAGCGCCTCTGGGCGCAGGCTGCACGTTGCCGGCCTCCCTGCCCCGGCCCCGCCCTCGCTGGTTTTTGGTTTGGTATCAGCCCTTCTGCACAAGGCTGGGAAAAGGCAGGAAAAAGACAGGGAATGGGGGGAACCTGGGGCCCAGGAGTCCCGAACCCAGAGCCCTTCAAGGCAGATAATTTGTGCTTTACAAAGAGATTGATAAGTAAACACACAAGCCCACAGCAGCCAGAGTGGGACAAATCCCAAGGAGTCAGGAAAGAAGGGCAGGGAGACCGGGCGGGGCGGGCTGGAGGCCTGGGTCCTCAGGGCAGGCTCGAAATGTCTCTCTCCGGAGGGGGTCCGGCCGGCTTGGGGCCGCTCTCGTTGGCTTTGCCTTCAAACATCATGACTCTGGTTTAGAGATGGAGAAAACAAAAAGGAAAAACAGGATTGGGACCCCTTTCTTCCCTGACCCAGAGAGTTCTTTATGGGCTTTCCTGGCCCGCCATGAGATACTTTATAAAATGACACAGCATTGTTTACCATTATATTTTAATTTCTTTTTTTTCTGAGACAGGGTCTCGCTACGTGGGCCGGGCTGGCCTTAAACTCTCAGTGATCCTCCCGCCTCAGCCTCCAGAGTACTGGGTCTACAGGTGTGCACCACCACGCCTAGCTTAAAATATTTTTTAGCAGGGGAGATAGCTCAGTGGCACAAGTGTCTGCCTGGCAAGCCGCATGTCCTGGGTTTGATTCCCCATACCAAAAAAAAAAAAAAGTTTTTTAAAAAAGTGATTCTTACTTCATGAAAGCCAAACGAGTACCCTTTCCAGCTGTGACAGACAAGCCTCTCAGGGAATCCCTGCTCTTGCTCACCAGTGGGGAAGCACTTGGCCACAATGCTGGACACTGGCCATCAGCCAGCACCAGGCTGAATCTGTGTCACCTCACTACCCCTCAGGGCAACCCTTAATGAAGGACATGCTTTTACCCCCATTTTACAGACAAAGAAACTGAGGTCCAGGGACTGAAGATAACTTGCCCAGGGTAACTTAGGTAGCAAAGAGCAGTGTCAGGATTTGAACACTATCTCCCTTTCAAGTAGATCTTTAATTCTACTTTATGCTCCCAACAGCCCCACAGGGTTGTAGAGTTGCTTTACAAATAAGGAAACTGAGGCCAGGTATGGAAGTGCATGCCTATCATCCCAGCACTGGGGAGGCTGAGGCAGGAGGATCACCAGGAGTTTGAGGCCACCATGGGCTACATAGTGAGTTCAAGGCCAGCCAGAGCTACATAGCGAGACCCTGTCTCAAAAAACCAAAACCACACACCTACAAATGAGGAAACTGAGGCACAGGAAGTGTTCACAGACTTACTGCTATCACTACCATGAATTAGAACTTACTGAGTGAGGTCCTTCCTGCTGCTCCACTGCAAGCTAATTTCCCCTGCAAGGACCGGTCTCGGGGGTGGGGTGGGGTGGCATTTGATGATAAGGGCACAAGGCTCAGAAAAACCAAGTCCCCTGCCCAGCAGGCCATGCCCCACGTTCCCTCCCGGCTGGTGCCCCAGCGGGGCCACTTCCCGAAGCCTGCCCTTGCCGTGGAGCCCTTAGAGGGGCAGAGCCACTCACAGCTTGAGGACCGCTGACCGCTTCCCCAGCATCATGTTCACAAAGTCTCGGTAGGAGATGGTATCGCTTACGCCGCCCGTCACCTCTGAGATCATCTTCTTCATCTCCAGGTGGGTCTTGGGCACCCCCAGCTTCTCCATCATCCTCTTCAGAGACATCAGGTCTGCGGAGGGGGGTGGATGTGTGGCCTGGGCCCGTCACGGAGGCCAGGTACCCCCCGCCGTCTCCCTCCCTGCTGTATCGGCCACTTGGGGGGACCTGGGGAACCACTCGATCTCTCTGAACCCTCCTCTGTGAATGGTAGGATGGATTTGCTGGGCTCCTTTAAAGAAGTAACAGCCAATACCAGGCACACACCTGCATCCCAGCACTCAGGAGGCTGAGGCAGGAGGAGCACCATGAGTTTGAGACCAACCTGGGCTCCACAGTGAGTTCAAGGCCAACCTGAACCTCATGGTGAGACCCTGTCTCAAAGAGACCCCTGTCTCTTTTCTTTCCTCAAAAAAGAAGGAAAGAAAGAAAGTCTATGTCTTAAGCACAGCGTGGCAGGCGACTCACCACCCCCTGCCACTCCCACCCTGCTGTTCGAGGGCTCCACTTGGGCTGGGAGAGGGAGAGGGAGCCAAAAATATCCCTACAGCAGGAAAAGCAACAAAAGAATAAAATTCAAGAAAAACAAGGGAGGCACCAAAAAGCCAGGGTGCCCCAAGGAGCCGCTGCCTCTGGCCTCCTTGCTGCTTCCACCAAGAGCTGAGGCAATTTCCTTGGGATTGTTCTGGGGGGAACAATAGCTCAGCACGGGGGGCAGGACAGAGGGGGCTGGGCAGGGCTGATTTAGGGCCAGAGTAGTGGCAAGGCCAGTGCGCAGTAGGGTGACGGGCGAGCGCCACCACACCCGGTTTATAATGGGATACCTGGCAGCTGTGACACAAACGGAGAACAAACCTGGCCAGGGTGTGGCTCCCTCCTGGCTGTGACGGGGCAGGGGCTAGAGGAGGAGGAAGGAGACAGTGGGGGCCACACTGTGGACAGTGGCACTGGCGTAGAGGACAGAGGGCGCGTGGTGGGCGTGCTGGCGTGGCCGTCGGGCAGCCGCAGGGTATGTGCCGCAGACTCTCAGGACCACCCGCCCCACGCCCCCCTGCCCAGTCCCCACTTACCAATCTCACCCTCGTTGTTCAGGTCAAACTCCATGTACTTCTCTGGAAATCACAAGCAACCGAGTCAGCATGGAAGCAGAGGGCAGAGACCAGGCCCCCAGGGCCCTTGCCACCCTCACCTCAGGTCCCGGCTGTCTCAGATGTCTTTCTGGTTGCTGGAGACAGAGCTGTTCCTCCAGCAACATCACCTACCAGTGTCCCCAGGAAGAAGATGATGGGAGATGGCCCTTTTGCGGTCCCCATCCCACATGTCTGAGAAACAGGTCCCGGTCCTGGAGACCTGGTCTCACCCTTGGGAATGGCAGCTGGGAGGCCCTCGCCTATAGACTGTGAGTTACAGTTCAAAATTTAGATTCTCAAACTTGTAGTGATCCTCCTGCCTCAGCCTCCTTAGTGCTGGAGTTATAGGCATGCCTGTCAGTTATTCCTTTTCCTCGTTCTCCAGGCATTACAGCATTCTGGTTAGGAACAGGGGTTTGGAACCAGACTGACAGGGGCTCAAGCTCCAACTCTTGCCATAGGTGACCTGAGCCAGCAGTCCAATCCCTCTGAGCCTGGTTTTCCTGTCTGTGAATTCACAATCGCACCATCTCCCTGCTGCCGGTCTGCAGCCTTGGGGGGCTCGCAGGACCAGCTTCACTGCCAGCCGTTTTTAATGTCATCAGCCACGGACATCCGGCCTGAGGACGATTAAGCTGTAAGCCAGCGGCAGGTTCTGCGCTTTCTCGCAGGCGCACAGCTGCACCGTCACCGCTCGGCAGAGGGTGCGACCCCTGGAATATTCCCAGCGCATCCCCGGAGCGCGAGCGTCCTTCCCGGGCAGGACAGGCGGTGTACGCCACTCCTGCGGCCGCTGCCGCTCCGCTCTCCTTTCCAGCCCCTGGCTGCGAATCAAGCGCTGGGGCCCTGAACAGAGGGGCCTTTATGCTGCCCGTCTCCCCGCGCAGGCTCCCCAGCCCTGTTTTCTTTTCATCCCGTGCTGCTGGGATTCAATGGGCAGAAACTCTGCCCCCCTGCCCCACTGAGGCGACACAAGCGTCCTTTCTCCGCAGGGGCTCCCGAGACCTGAGCCGCGGAGGGGGAGAGGCAGGGGTGCCTCACAAAGACCGGATTGTGTGCGGGCTCGAGCGAGTAGGGCCTGGGCGGACAGGCGGGCAGGAGCCAACCTGAGCCCCGCCGGGCGGCCCTGGTGGCAGGGAGAGGCGCCTGCCCCACCTCCGGGGGACCCGTCCGGAGCCGGCCAGGATGACACTGTGGGGTGAAGGAGGGGCCGGTGCAGGTTCCCCAGCTGCTGCCTGGCTCACCTTTGAAGGCCGCCAGCTTCTCCGGCAGGTTCTCCTCATCGCTGTACTTCTGGTCGCAAAGGAACTCCTGCAGAGGCGAGAGCTCAGCGCTGGACATGGCTCCGGGCACCAAGGTCAACCACACACAGCCCAGTCCCTGGGGCCTCCTGTCCTGCCTGCAGCCACGCCTGACCAGGCAACATTCGCCTGGTTTTTCCTTGGCTTCCCGTCGGGCCTTGGAGGCACAGCTGCCCAGCCCTCTGCTCTGGACACCTTCAGGGACCTGTGCCACCCCCTGGACGAGAGGGCCCTGCCGTGCTGAAGCTCCTAGCTCCTCTGAGCTCCAAAGACAAAACTGCCTGGGCCCGCCACCTGCTTCTGAGGTGTGTGGACTCCAGCATGATGGAACGCTACACTGAATATTTAAACTCTACAGAATGTTTCACAGTAAAAGACACACTGTCATGAATCCCCTCAGGCTGGGGATGTAGCTCAGCAGCACAGCGCCTGCCTGGCAAGTGCAAAGTCCTGAGTTCAATTCCCTGTACCAAAAAAAAAAAGAGGACCTTTAAATGTCAGGAATCCCCTCAAAATCCTGACCACCTTCTTGGTACCTTCTGCGGCAGCTCTGAAGCCCTCTTCCATGAGTGTCTTTAGTTGCGCCGCCCTGACTGCCTCACTGTCCTGAATCAATTCAAAATGCTTCCTTTCATGGCCATTTTGACTTTGAGGAGGAGCCAGAAGTCCCACAGTGCCAGATCCAGTGAACAAGGTGGATGAGGGCACAGCATCATGTTTTTCCGAGCCCACATTTCCATTGGGTGGCGCTCAGCAGCAGCACTGTGTTTTTTGACCACACCTTGTAAAGACCCTCAGGAAAGAGGACTCCGGAGCTGCTGCAGAAAGCTGTAAGGATGATGGGATGAGCGCGCTCCCAGCGAGGGGAAGACTTTGAGAGGAATTCATGGCAGTGTGTCTTTTACTATAACAGTCTTTCAAGTGCAAACATTCACTGTATTTGTCTGTCAGCCCTGCTTCCCTCCTGCCTTATTTGCCCAGTGAGGAAAACCATGGAGCTGCTTCTTGAGTCTGTGCGAATCTAATGTGAATGAATCTACTGTTCCTGCCTTGTCCTGCTGCATCCTTAGGTTCGGCCCTGGTCACAGAATGGTTGATCTGGGCGGCCACTTCCCCTCTTACCTGCTTCTTGACCTGTAAAACTGGGGGTTTCACCCCTGGCCCAGTTCCCCTCCCCCGTGTGGAGTCTTTTCAGAACCAGGTGGGTGGGGAGGCCGCGGCACCTGCTCTAGCCTGACTCTTGGTCCTCGCAGTATCCCCAGAGGCAGCTACTAACATTGCACCCATTGTACAGAGGAGGAAACTGCAGTTCCCAGCAGAAGACTGTCGGCTCAGCTGTCTTATCCCCTCAGCCCCGCACTTAAAGATGGGCAGAGTGCAGGTGTCCACCCCACCTGATCTCCCACCTTCCCACAAAAAACCACTGATGAGTGAGTACCTGCTCACTCAGTTTCCTTGCTAATCTGCATCTGCATGCAGAACCTTCCCCTCTTGTCAGCAATGAGAAATGCTGCTGTTCCTCTTCATTCGTTCATTCTCTCATTCACCCACTTGACATTTTTGAGGGATCATGGGAGCACTGAGCTTTGCCAGGCACCAAAGGAGCAGGAAGACAAGGTGAACACAGTAAGGTCCCCATCCAAACACCATAGAAAGCCCATGTTTAACATGATATCAAATCAGCTGGGGATATAGCTCGGCGGCACAGCACCTGCCTGGCAAGCGCAAGGTCCTGAGTTCAATTCCTGGTACCAAAAAAAAAAAAGATATAAAATGACATCAAACCACTCGGCATGGCGGTGTACACCTGTCATCCCAACACCCAGAAGGCTGAGGCAGGACCACTGAGAGTTCAAGGCTAGTCGGGGCTAATAGTGAGACCCTGTCTCAAAAAAAAAAAGAAAAAAACTAAATGTCATCCATGTCCATCACTCAGCCTGTTTCTGAATTTCTGCAGTCATCCTCTAGGAAGGAGAATCCTCCCAAGAACCTAAGTCAGCCTGCGTTTGTCTCCCTCCTTACTAGCTGTGAGATGGGCACAACAGCACCTGCCTCCTGGGGCACCTGCTCCTCGACGGATCCTGCCACGAGCACTGCAGGCTGGACATCGGCTGAATGCGACCCTTAACTCGGGAGCTTTGGGCAGGAAAAGAAGCCCACCAGGCAGAAGGCCCCCTCCCTGGGCGGCAGGAGGGGTCTGATCGTGCCATCCCTCCAGCTTTCAGGGAAATGTCCACTGTGGCCGGCCTGGTGTGATCCTGCTGTGATACAGGACCCTAGAGGTGACGCCAAGTCTCTGGTCCACAGGCAGCTGAGGCGGCTCTGCTTGGCTTGGAATCTGGGTCTGTCGGTCTGCAGGGCCTGTGCCCAGTGGCCTGGCTGCCACCTCGCTGGGAGCCTCATTGCCATGCACGGCCCTGCCTGCCCTTATCCCGAGTGGATCCTCGTCCCTCCAAAGCTCGGGACCGTCCCCTCTCAATAGCTCTGTGGAGGACAGCCCTTCCCCCAGGCTCCCTCCTCTAGCTCTTCTCCCCGGCTCCTCCATCTTTGGAACAAACAAGTCAGTTTGTCTGTGACCCCGAGCAGACCCAGCACGCCCGGGGTCCTGGATCCCTTCTCTGCCAGGGAGGGACAGATTTGGTCAGCAGTGCCCAGGCTGGGTAATGCAGACAGAAGCTAGAAAAGCCGGGAGGGGCACTCACAGAGGGCTGCCAAGTTTTTATTTTGCCAAGTAAAGACTTTTTAAACAATTCCGATTGACTGTTACTATGAGTTCAGAAGGAAGTTATGATCTCTGCATTTGACAGTGGGATCCATTTAGCTGGGGTGCAGTCCACTGTATTGCCCCCCGAGTTCCCTCTGCCTTCTCAAGAACTGCCAGCCTTTGCGGGGAGTGGGCACAAGCGCCAAAGTGAGGCCCAACATCTGGGAACCTGTGGAGAGACCTAGCGGGCGGGTCTCCCACTCCCATCTGCTGGTTGACCAGATATCCTGCCTGGGCCGGTGGCTGGTTTTGAAGTGCTTATGTCACCCCTAGGACCTGGGTCCTGCTGTCCTCTGCGGGCAGATGGAGCCCCAGGAGGAGGACAGATTCCTGGTCTTAGGGCTGCCCAGATGAACACAGAACCCCAGGCAGCCGTGGAGGGCAAGGCCAGGAGCACAGCATGAGGCACCTAATCATGACTCCCAGCTCCTGGTGCCCAAGCCAGGCCCGCAAAGCCCCAGCAGCCAGGGCACAGGGGCCTGGGAGATCACCTTCCGTGGATGGAGCATTTCCTCTCCGACATGTCACCACTTACCTATCATTTCATCTGCATCCCTTCCTCCTGCCCCTTTCCAGGCCTCAACCACATTCCTACCCCAGGACCTTTGCTCAAGTAGTGGCCCTGTCCTTGCAGTTCCCTCCCTTACCTCCTTTAAACCTTTGATCAAAGTCATCTCATTGAGGCCCTCTCCTCATTCCACCCACCTGATTTTATACCATGCCCAGCCCCCTGCCACCCACCTTGACTTCCCTTCTACCAGGTCCGGTCCCACCTCTCTTTTACCCAAGGGACAATCACCTCCTCACACAGTTTCTGATGATGCTGGTCCTTAAGGTTATCATCCATGACCTATTTCCCCATGTTAGGATTTAGGTTCCACTTAGTAGATGCTCAATAAATCTCCGCAGGACGCATGAATGAATGGAAACTTAGGGCATGCGACTTGTGCGCAGCTGCACAGATAGCGAGTGGCTGCCACTTGGCCTCCCTCCCTGGCACAGCTGAAGAGCAGAGGCCCTCCAGGGGCGAGGGGTGGAGGAATGGGGGGAGGCAGGTCCTTGTGCCCCCTCTAGATGCCTGGCTCTCAGCAGCGTCCGGCACAGAGCAGGCACTCAGCAAACATCTGTCGGATGAATGGGAAGCCCGCCACCCTGCCAAGAGGAGAGGGTCAGGCAGCTTTGCAAGTGTGTGTGTGTGTGTGTGTGTGTGTGTGTGTGTGTACGCGTGTGGGTGTGAACGGAGCCTGGAGGGGACTCTGGGAATGGGCGCACATCTCTCCTTAAAGCCAACAGTGACAAATGCTGGAGCTCCAGAGTGACCCGGGGGGAGAAGCAGCTGACCAGTCCCTGCGTGGGTCAGATGCCCTCCTTGCCCTGCAGCTGTGCCCTTCGCAGGGGCAGGAACAGCGGCCCAAGGCCTGGCCGGCCAGCTCCACCCCACAGCCTGCAGCTTCTCCTTCCAGCAGCGGCCATCCCTGCTTGCCTGGGGGTGCAGGCGCCCTGTCTACCAAGCACCACGCTCCCCACCGCCCTGACCCTGGGCACAGGCAGAGGAGAGCCAGAGAGAAGCCACTCAGCTGTCTGGAAGAAAAGCAAAATAATCAAAGAGGGCAAGCTGGGGCCAGATGCCTGAATTTGAATCCACTTAACAACGATGTAAAAATTGGTTTTTCTCCGGTACCGGGAACTGAACTCACGACGTTGCGCATGCCAGGCAGGCGCTTTTGCCGCTGAGCTAAATCCCCAGCCCCAACAACGATGTAAAAATTACTTCATTCATCTCCCAGCACTCAGGAGGCTGAGGCAGGAGGATTGGCATGAGTTCGAGGCCAGTCTGGTTACATAGTGAGTCTGAGGCCAGCCTGAACTCCAAAGTGAGATCCTGTCTCAAAAAAAAACCCCAAAACAAAAAAATTACAAATTAAAAAAAGTAAAATTACTTCATTTGTCCATGCCTGTCCTTAGCTAAGGAAGAATGAAAAGATCATATCCACCTTCTAGGCTTGTCTTGTGAACAATGGTATGAAGTAAATATAGGCAAAGTGCTTACTACAGGACCTGGCACTTAGTAAGCACTACATAATTGTTTGGTATTTATTCAAAGTTTCTGACATTTCCGTCCATACAATCAGCTTTTGACCCTTCAGCCCACCAACAATTATTAAAACATTTTGGGAAAGAGGGTGACTTCTCCTGACTTAGGCTAGTTATGATTTCTCTCTCCTTTTTTGTTTTTTGAGACAGGGTCTTGCTGTGTAGTCCAGGCTGGCCTTGAACTTGCAATGATCCTCCTGCCTCAGTCTCCTGAGTGCTGAGATTACAAGTTGTGCCACCATTCCTGGCTCTTTCTCCTTTCTGTTTCTTTTTTTTTTTTTTTTTTTGTCTCCCTCTCTCTCTTTTCTAGGTATCCACCTTCAACACAGGGAACAACTGAGGCTCAGAGAGGTTGCACAACTTGCTCAAGATTACAAAGGTCAGCAACCCCAGGTCTGCCTCCCTCCTCCACCCCGTCCCCCGCCATGCCCCCAAACACAGCCTGGCTTCAGGCTCCTGGGCCCGGTGCACCAATGCCAGGAGCTACCTATCCTGGGGGCAGCTGCAGTGGGAGGTTCTTCCAGAGCCCAGGGACCACTGCATACCCTTGTGGGGCAAGGGATGGGTAATGCTACCCCCAGCTCCCAAGCCAACCTCCTGTCCCAGAGACAAATTTCTAGAGAAACGAAAGCAGGAGTGACAGATTTGTCCCTGAGGCCCAAGGGCTCACACTGCTACACGTGAGGCTTTGGAGGTGTTAGAACTCTTAAGCCACTCATCCCAACTGGGCGTGGTGGCATCCACCTGTAATCCCAGCACTCGGCAGGCTGAGGTGGGAGGATCGCCACAAGTTTGAGGCCCCCCGGCGCTACATAGAGATTCTGTTTCAAAAACAAACAAACAAAAAATCCAAAATGAAAAACCGCCCTACCCAGCCACAGAACCCCTAAGTGATTCCTGGGAGCACCTGGCTTTTGCTCTTTGTTCAATAGCTGGGGAAACTGAGGTCCCCTAAGGGAAGGTCTCTTCTGGAGTTTCAGTGGTCCCTGCAAGCCCCACATAAACTCAGGAGCACGACAGGTGAATCGGGGTTCAAATCCTGGCTCCAGCACTTACTGGCCCGTGGCCCTGGGCACCTTGCTTCAGCTCTCTGAGCCTCAGTTTCCTCATCTGTAAGCTGAAGTCACAATGCTGGCCCTCCACCCTGAGTATGGGTAAAACGAGCTCCATGCACTGAAAAGTCTGGCTCCTGGTACACTTAGGAAGCGTGGGCATTGGTTGTTGTGCGTTGGGACCCCACCTCCATGCCCCAGCCACCCCAAGAGACAAGATCTGCAGCGAAAGCACCTCCTCCCACAACTCCCAGCCGGATGCGGGTCATGAAGCCCCCGCCCCCAGAGCTGTGACCCTCTGACCCTCCCTCCTCCAGGGCAAGCTTCACTTTGTCCTTGGACGCCTGGCTGGCCCAACGGCGACATGCACAACGGACACAGCACCGCACCCCGTCTTGGCCCTAAGGGACCGCACCCCCCTTGCCTCTGGTGCACATGGGAAACTTCTCCCCACCCCACCCAACCCCACCCTGGGAGCCCTGTTCAAGAGCTCAGCCCAGGAAGGGCCAGTTCCAAAACCATCAGAGGCTGGCAGCTCTTGCTGTGGGTGCTCTGGCCTCCAGATCCCTGGCACCCTCCTGCGACTCCCTGGCCCAACTCCCTTCCTGGGCTGGTACCTCCAGGACCTTCTCTCGGACCCTTGCTCCTGGCCCTCCAGGCTGGTCTTTTTGTATCAGCTGCAGCAGAATTTTGGGGTGGGCGGAGATCACCATCCTGGAGGCCATCCAAGGGACTGGCACCGATGCCCTAGGCAGGAGCCCCCAAACAGGCAGCACCATGCCAGGGCACCGAGGCCTCTGACGCAGCCCGGAGGCTCTTAATGGGCCAGGGCCAGGCCGCAAGTGCCGGGCCTGGCGCTGGCGAGCAGCAGGAACCTGTAACCTGTCCCCAGCAGGACAGCAGGCTCATATTCCCCAGGGCAGCTCCGGGGCCCCATGTGGACACTGCGTCCACGCCAGCAGGTGGGGCCAATGAATAAAACTCCCCAGCGGCCACAGAAAGGAAGCAGAGCCTGCAGAAATTCCATCTCCAGCTGCCCGTGACATGGCCACAGCGGGTCACAACTGACCTGACCTGCAGGGGACACTGAATCCCCGGAGGCTCGATGGCTCTTATCACCACCTCTCTTATAATATATTAAGGAAGAGCAAGAGAGACGGGTGCCCAGCAATGCCAACCGGGCCCATTCCCCTGGCCAGGGACACAGCGGTCCTGCCGGGCACACAGGAAAAGAGACACACCTGCAGAGGCGCCTGGGTCAGGTCTCAGAGGGCCCCACAGCTGGGGGGACAGGGGACACGTACACCCTGGGCGGAGATTCCCAGTCTGCCCTGCCAGTTCCCTCCGCAGGACAGAGAACGTGGGTGCTGAAAGAGGCATCGGGCACCTCCGTGCAGCAGGGAACGCTGGGTGCCCTCCATCCGACCTGGAGGGCTGGGAGGGCAGGCTCATAGCCAGAGATCGTTATCCACCTAAGCAAGAGGCCTGTGTCACCGAGCTGCAGCCACCTGCTGGGCACAGCCAGGATGGGCCCTGGGTGGCACCTGGAGTCAGAAGAGCTAGTTTGAACCCTGTCTCTGTCACTTCCTGGCCGGGTGACAGAGGGCAGGTGACTTCATCGGGCTGAGCCTCTGTTTTCCTGTCTCTAAAATGGGAGTCATAACAATCCCTGGCCCACAGGAATGTTTAGCGACTCTGGAGACTCATCTCTGACCGTGATGATCTCATTGCTGATGGAGTGCTCACTGGGAGGATATGGGTTAGGTGTGGTGGTGCACACCTGTCCTCTCAGCACTCAGGAGGCTGAAGCAGGAGGATCACTGTAAGTTGGAGGCCAGCTTGGGCTATATTGTGAGACCTTGTCTCAAAGAAAAAAAGAGGACAGGGGTCATGTACAGGGCCCGGGGCCCAGTGGCAATTCTCATTACGTTTGAAAGATGCTGTGGGCTCCAGCACCTGACCTCCTTGTCCTCCTGGCTCCTCCTCCCTGGCTGCAGGACACAGGAGGGGCAGCCCACCCAGCCCAGCGCCCCTGTGGGTCCCTATGGGAAGCTGGAGAAAATCCCTCCCGTCGCCATATAAGGCTGGGCCCGGCGGCCTGGGGTCAGCTACCACACCATCAGGACGCGGAGAATGCCAACTATGCGGCGGGAGTAGGAGGCGCTCACCAGTGCAGCAGTGCAGACACACACGCACACGTACACACGCGCACAGACACAGGCACCCGGGCGTGGGCGGGCAGCGCCCACAGCAGACGCCAGAGAAGTGCACGGAGATCAAGCGAAGAGTCTGGGTTCACGCTGTGGCCCTTTAAACCCAGGCCGTGCGCTCGACTCCTCTGAGCCTTGATCTCTGCAGTGTGGGAACACAAGGAGCCATCACAGGGTCTGAGCGGGCACTCAAGGAAAGTGCCCACAGCGTGCCCGGCATAACACTGCTCATTCCAAGTGCCCAGCAGACGGCAGCAGAAGCTGAAGGGAAAACAGACAAAGGTGCGTGTGGTGCAGGCTCCCTGCCTTTACTCTGCTAGGCTCACCCACCGCTTCTCCCATTTTGACTCTTGAATCCTTCTAATAACAATTGCAAGCCAGGTGTGGTGACACACGCCTGTAATCTCAGCACTTGGGAGGCTGAGGCAGGAGGATCACTATGAGTTCAGGGGCAGCCTGGGCTATACAGCAAGACCCTGCCTTAAAAAAAAAGTTTTTAAAACAATAGTTAAGACTGAATTACTTGGTAAGACTGAACTACCTTGCTGCCCTCTGGACACTCATGCACACCAAGGGGAATTGGGGTGCTGGCCGAAAAAGGCCCCCCGAGAGCTGTCAGCCCAGCTGGGCTCTGCTCCAGATGCCCACACTGCTGGGCACAGCAGTTGGTCATGCCACCCTCAGGCAGGGAGGAGTCCTGACATCTTGAACGTCACCCATGGCTCAGCCCAGCCCCCAGGAACCCACATTCCAGTGTGGCAGTGAAGCAGAACCCAAAAACACAGTGCAAGCTGGCGATGTGGCTCCTTCTAGAACATTCTATCTTGGGACCCTTCGCTCCGGCCACGACCATGGGCAAACCAGACTCAGGCCTCAAATGTACAACTCTTCTTCTCCACGGGTGGCTTTGGGGAGCTGAGAGGGGCGAGGACCACTGCTCCATCCAGGATGGCCACCCCATGTCTCAGGAATACCGTTTCCACGCCCTTGTCTCGAGGTCCCAGGCAAAAGAGTGCCAATGACAGCCTGCTACGCTTTCCCTAGACAATCTCGCCGAAGACGCACAACCGAAACTCACAAGCACCGCCATTATCTCTTCGCGGCGAAGGGGCAGGGCTTGCCCAAGGCCACAGAATCAGCGTGTGGCCACCTTGCCCTGCTGGGTGGAGGCTTGGCTGCAGCTTCCAGGTTGGCCCTGGAGCTTCCTTCCTCCGGCGGCCGCACCCTGGGCCCCGGCCCTGCAGCAGCCAGGGCTCCATGGTGGTCTCAGAGCAGCATTCGAGCAGGGAAGACACAGCTGGGACTGCCGCTGGCTCCTGTGTGGCTTCAGGTCATCAGCTTGCCGTCTCTGGGCAGTGCGCTCTTGTTGAATCTCCCCAGTCCCAGTGCTGGTCAAATCAGCCCTGACAGCCACAGTCCCTCCTCCCGTCTGAGCCAAACCGGTCCACCTCTCTCAAGGGGGGCCTGCACCCGCCCTCCCTCCGCGGCCTCCCCAGGGGCCAGGTTGGCGTGGAAAGTCCCAAACACTCAGCTCTTCTGGCTTGGCCAACTCCGGTCACCTAACCCCCAGCTCCAGCTGTCTTTGGCTCGGGGTCCTGCCGGCTGTGGGTGGATTCAGCCAGCTCAGAACCCGCCCGGCTAAGTGGCCCAGGGGCTGGATGAGGTCAGGGTCCCAGGCTCCTGGCCAGAGGGCAAGAGCGCGGGGACCAAGACTGGGCTTGCGCAGTGCGGGCTGGGAAGGAGCCCAGCCGACCCGGGCTCCAGAGCCCAGCCAGACGTCGGGGCAGCCTGTCAACCGTGCCCAAGATGCCATCAAGAGGCAAGGAGAGGGTGGCAGTGCCTGGGGCCCTCTGGGGGATTCTGGTAGCCAGTCTGAGGCCTTCCAAGAAATCAAAGAGCAAACCCAGGCTGCAAGTTCTGGCGAGAGGAAGCGGCGCAGCTCAGCCCCGGCACGCACCCGTCTCCCCAGCTGAGTCCCACCAGCGCCCTGAGCTGGGCTCAGCCCCCCAGTGTCCAGGTGCAAAAGAGCCAACAGAGGGAATGCCCAGCCTTGTTGCAGTGGGCACCCTCTACCACCCATTAGGAAGGAGGAGCAGAGTGGTCCCCATTGGGTGCCCCTGAGAGCCGGGCGTGGGAGCAGACCAAGGGCGCTATGGGCCTCCTCACATCGACCCTGCTCCCAGGTGAGGCCCTTGCGGGGTCCACGGGACTGGGGCCAGACAGCAGCCAGGGTGAGCCCAGGTCTCCCGGATCCCACAGCCCCTTAAAGCCCGCTAAGGCCCACCCCACCCCACCCCAGCTGGGCAGCCTCTGTGCTTTGCCCATCTTGCACCCTGCCAGCTTCCGTTATCTCCTAGGATCTACGTGGCCGTTAAGCCAATTCGGGCAGTCCATTGTGCGCCCAGCAGCGGCAGGAAGGTGCTCTTTTACTAAAGAAATTCACCAGGACCGGCAAGAAAAAGCGAGTTTAGAAAAGTTGGAGAGGAAGACCTGAGACTTCCCTGGAGGACACGAGGCCACGGGGAGTCAACTGCCAGCATTTTCTGTGGTGGACACAGCACTGGCCAGGGGGGTCCCTTCTGGCGCCAAAACTGCAGGCGCAGGTCCCCAGCGGGTTTGCAGGGAGCCCCGATCGATCCGGGGCGGCCCCCGGCTCCAGGACCGGCTCCACCTCCCCAGCTCGGCAGTAACAACGTGCAACCCGAGCCGCCGAGCTGGGGGGGTGGAGCGGACCTACCTGAAGTCGCGGGCGACCAGGCTGGGGCCAGGGCGGCAGCTGGGGAAACCTGGGGGGTGGGCCGCACGCTGAGGTGCCCCGGCTTACCCGGTTGATCTCCGCCAGCCTCTTCTCCTGCTGGGCTTTGAGCAAGCCGAACGCCTTCCCTCCTGGAGGAGACAAAGAGGTGGCCGGGAAGGGGGGCGCCCCGAGGCCATGCGCCCCCGCACGCGCCCGGCCCCCCTGCAGCAGGCCGCCTGGCGCGCACAGGTGGCAGCTCAGGCCGGCGCGGGGACGCGGCGCCTACCTTGGAACCTGTTGCTGAGCGCGACCGACATGGCGCGCGCCGGGCTCCCGCCTTCTGGGGCTTCGCAGCCGCAGCGAGGGACAGGACACAGGACGAGAGACGCGCGCCGGCCCGGGCTGGGGCGTGTGGCGCGCGGCAGGGCTGAGGGGCGGAGGAAGCCCGGAGGGACACACCCCTCCCCGGCCCGGCCCGGCCGCGGCCTCCGCCCCGCCCCTTCTGTCCCCTCCCCTCGGCTCCTTTCCTTCCCGCCTCCCGGACTCAGGCATCAAAGCCGCTATTATGTGGGTCGCTGAGCTCGCGGCCACCCCTCTGCGGGGGACTCGGAACATGCCCAGCTCGACCTCAGCAAGACCACGGGACATCTGAACACTCACTTAGCAGGATGGCTGTGAGCGTGGAATTCGGTCCCAGGGCGAAGGGGTAAGCGCTCAGCCAATCGAGGCCGTCACTTCAAGTGCCCTCCTTTGCATGCTACTGCCACCCCAGCACCTAGGGCGCTTTACATGAGTTAGATGAATTCGAACCTCATTAAAACCTGATTCCTGGGAGAGACGATCACTGTGCACCCCGCACGTGGCACTTTCAACCAGTCATTTGATTCTCAAAACTACGCAACAGCCAAGTCTGGTGGCGCAGGTCTGTAATCCCAGCACTCAGGAGCCTGAGGCAGGAGGATCACAGTGAGTTTGAGGCCCGCCTGAGCTACATAATTTCTCCAAAATAAACAAATAAATAAGTACTGCAAGATAGGACTAGATGTTCCCATTTCACAGAAGGGAAAACAGGACACTGGAGCCTGGAGTTGAAGCTCACCTGGACCATAAAACAGCCAAGAACTCTAGGAGGAGGGGGGCTCGGGGTGAGAAGTGGGGACCTGTGGCTAGGGCGATGGTGAAGTCTGGTGGTATCCAAATCAGGAGAGTCCGGGAGTGCAAGGGGCATTCCTAGGAATTAAGGCGGGAGCACAGGCATAGGCCGGGACTGTCCCCACCTGGCTACTAGGAATGCACCCCCCACACGGAGCCTGTCTCAGTGGCCTGGACCCAGGAAGCCTCCCTCCCTGCCTGTCTCCATGCAGACCCCTAGGAGATCCAGCTGATTTTTTTCTGACTGCCCCGAGGGAGGGAAGTGGCCAGACTATCTCCAGGGAGGGGGTGGGCGAATGAGATGGGGTTACAGACAGTGCCACTGTTCACGGCGAATGGGAGATGTCCCCTCCGGAGGACAGGAAGGGCGTGGGCTTAGCACAGGGCTTCATAGTACCCGTTCTGGTCCAGGTCCAGATGCCCTATTGCCCTGGCTGGTTGGCTGGTTGGCCCCAGTCAGTCCTTGGGCACGGCGGGGCCGCCCCACCTTCCACTGCTCAGCTGCGGGGCCGCGTTGCTGGCCAGATGTTCAGCAGCTGCTGCATTCCACCCAGCAGTGAGCAGCCCCACCTCTGGGGCAGGAGGGAGGTTCTGCATACACCAGGCGTGATCCAACCCGTGAGTCAGCTGTCAGGCTGAGGTCTGTCACTGGGACACGGTGATGCTGGGACACAGCTTGTGTGGACAGAGCTCGGATGCCGGGAGTGGTCATCAGAGAGAAATTCGGTTGGGACTGAGGGCCATCAGGCCCTGTCCCTTGGCGATGTTCCTTGGCATCCCTTACACAGACCTCTGTGCCCCCCAAACTAGCTCGCCCTTAGCGTCTGCCACATCCCTCCCTAACCCTGAACCCCACCAGCGGGTGGGGAGCACAGGCCATCTCTCCTTATGTGGCCTCTGAACGAGGGGAGGGGACCTGACCTGGCTGGGCCAGTCTCTCCCTTGAAGAGGGAATGAGGATAGGCTGTTTTCTAAGCATGGAGCCCAGCGACGTGTGAACCCGGAGCCTTGGAGGGAGCCGGGCTTTTCTCCTCCACCAAGTCTGAGAAGAGCAAAGAAAGGTGCTTGGCACAGCAGAAAGACCCCAGCAAACAGGGAGAGAGAGAGACAGAGGCAGAAAACAAGGAGGAGGAGCAGGGCATGGTGGCGCACTCCTGTGATCCCAGCATTCGGGAGGCTGAGGCAGGAGGATCGTTGGGAGTTCGAGGCCAGCCTGGGCTACAAAGTGAGCTCAAGGTCAGCCTGAACTGCACAGTGAGACCCTGTCTCAAAAAGACAAAAAAAAAAAAAAAGCAAAGGAAAGAAGGAGGAGGAAGAGGGAAGCGGCCCATCCCAGCAGCCTCGGGCTCAGGCCCAGGATGTCTCCGAGGCCTAGTAGCTGTTCCTACCCCGTATTCCAAGAAGCCTCCCCATGGTCTTTTCTGCTAAAACCAATTCAGGAAGCAGTTTGGCCTGGCAGCGCCACCTTGTCACCCCTCAGGGTGGGTTTCCAGAGTGGCCCCCGCTGGCCAGGCCCCAGCCTATACCCATGGGCTGGAGCCCGCTGTCTGGTCTGGGTGCTGCCCCACCCTTCGGGGCCAGTCCAAAGCCTTCCTCCTCCTCCTCCTCCTCCTCCTTGTCCTGTCCCTCCCTCTTCGTGCCTCTGGACAGTTTTGAGGGCAGTTTCCTGTTTTCTCATTTTCACCCTGAACCAGAGGTCCACTGACAGCCCCTCCGCAGCCCCCCAAGCTCTCCCTGGCCCCTGTGGTCACAGGATCCCCAAAAGCCCCCCAGTGGCTACAGCCACAAGATCACCTCTTGTCCCCTTCCTTCCAGGTACATGGACTGCAGGGTCATCAGCTGCCCATTCTACCGACTCGAGGGGCCACCTGCAAACCGCGCTGTGTGGGGACCCCGGCGGGGGCCGTCTGCCCACAGCCACGGAGGATTGAAGATGTCACTCAGTTCGGTAAAGGGTCCTTTATTTCCTCACACGTAGAACTGGTCCATGTTGCCACCTGCTCGCCCAGATGGGGACAGTGTAGCCAGGAAGCACCGGGCCCGCAGAGGCACCTGTCAGCCGGGTGCCAAGGCCCTGCTGCCTGCTGGAAGAAGGCCCAGGAAAGGGGTGGAGGAAATGCCAGGGAGCCCTGGGCAGAGGCCACCGGGGACCAGGCCGCAGGGGGATTCCCCAGGCAGGACAGACTGGAATGGTGGCCAGACTCCACACCCTGTGGCCTCCTTCATGGCAGGTGGGGCCGCAGGGCTGGATCAGGAAACGTCCATCACAGGTTGAGGGTGAGTAAGGGCACCAGGGGGTATTTCTGTGGCCGGTCGGAGGCCCTTTAGACTCTGGAGGGCCTGGCTCTGAGCCAATCACCGGCTGCCGGGGGGTGTGGGGTCAGACCCAGCTCCTGGGAGGGAAGGGTCCAGAAAGGGGAATGCTGCCCTGCCAGCCAAGCAGGCCACACCACAGCCTCAGGGGGGTCCTGAGTCTCAAATGCAGGGGCTGAGAAGGTCCCCAGGACCTGGCCTGGTCCCTGGGCTGCTGGGTGTGTGTGCCCATGGTGGGTACAAGGGGCTGCGGTGAGACTGGGGGACAGCCTTGGTGCTAGTAGCTGTGGCCCTGGCTTTGCTCCCCCCAGCTCTCTGCACACACCCCTCCCCTGCTCCTAGATGCTGCTCCTGCTCTCTGCAGCAGGCAGACAGGTGGCCCTGCAGGGAATTTAACGTAACACACCCCCCTCAGCTTGTGAAGGGTCCCAGCACACGGCTGGCTCTCAGCACCAGCCGGAGTTGGACTGTTTTGTGTATGTGTGCGTGTGTTGCACCCGGGCACAGGTGTGTGTTACTGATGCCAGAGTGAGCGTGCTGCTGGGTGTGTGCCCCAGAGGATGGTGCGCACAGGCTGCCGTGGTGCTGTGTCCCGGGCCAGGAAGTAGCGCGTGGAGGAGAGAGTGCCAGGCTGTGCCCTCACTGCCAGCCCGCACAGCGCTCGGGCAGGCTGCGCAGAATGGCCTCCAGGTTCCGCTTGTCGGCTCGGATCTCGGTGAGGTCGCTGTCGAAGCCCTGGATCTGCAGCCTCTGCTGCTCGGACTTCTGCTCCAGCAGCCTCAGTTTCCCCTGCAGCGCCCCCTCTGAGCCCAGCTGAAGCCTCAAGCCTTCCAGGGCCCGCTGGGTCTCGCTCAGGGCTTGGGCGGGGGCTTCATGGGTGTCCAGGGACCCTGCAGGGGGCACAGGTGGCCTCAGCAGGAGCTGGGTCCCCCGCTGGCCTCAGGAACCTGCTCAGCCCTCATCCTGAGTCTGTGCCCGGCTCAAGCTTCTAGGAGGCTGAATGCCAGGGAAATGGGGGGACCGGGAGGCCCAAGGCCCGGGACCCCCTCACATCACTGCAGACTTGGGAGCTGTGCCGCTGGGTAACTTCCTTCTGGGGATGGTGCTACTCTTATTGCCTAAACAAGGCCTTGGAGCGTCTTCTCTGAGCCCCATTCCCTCAGCTCCCAGGGCAGAGATGGGCCGGGACTCCTGCGTTGCTGCACTCCAAAAGCACACATGTGAGCACTGGAGTGGGCCCTGTGGGCTCACGGTCCCGGCTTCACGCAAGGGCTGGGGAGCACAGGGGCAGGGAGGACCGCTCACTCTTTGAGCAGCAGACAAGCGAGTGAGCCACGTGCTCACACTGCCACTTGGTGGTGGAGGTGGTGTCCTGGGCTGCCTCCCCCACCCGGCCCTTGTCGCTTTTCTGTTGTCACTTTGTCCCTAAGTGTGACATCCAGCAGAAAGATGGAACCCTGCCAGGCGGGACTGAGAGGCATGGAGAAGTCAGGCCCACGGGGCGCCTCTGGGCCCCAGGGCTCCCCTGAATTTCCCAGGCAGTCAGGCTGGGTCCGAGGCTCAGGAGAGCCCGAGGGGGCCACGGTGCTGCTGCCCTGGGCCGGTGCTTCCTCCGGCAGACATGAGAGGCCTTGCTGTGCCTGGACAGCCCAAGCAGCCCAGCCTTTGAGGAGACTGCAGTTGGGCTCCAGCCGCCACGCTACCTGCCCAGGTGGCCTGGGGCCTGCTGTCAAGACTTGGGTTTGATGAATGAATGAGTGAGTGAGTGAGTGAGTGAGTGAGCGAGTGAGTGAGCGAGTGAATGAGTGTGAATGAGTGAATGAGTGTGAATGAGTGAATGAGTGTGAATGAGTAAGTGACTGAGTGAATGAATGAATGAGTGAATGAATGAATGAGTTAGTGAATGAGTGAGTGAGTGAATAATGAATGAAGACAATACCCACAGCCCTGGTAGAGCATTCGCGGCAGGCCAGGTATCAGGTGGGAGTCACATGTGACCCACAGCTGCCCCACTGCCTCGCTGCAGGGCCCTGGTCACATCGTGTAAGCACTCTGGGCCTCAGTTTCCTCACTTGCAAAGTGGCAAGAGGATAAGTGGCCATCACTTATTCACAGTGGTGATTAGCACGTGCGCTGCGGCACGGGTTAGATTTGAAGACACCGTGCCAAGTGCAATAAGCCCGCCAGGAAGGGCAGGCTCGGGTAAGCAGTCAAAGCCACAGGAAAGACAGTGGAGGCTGCCAGGGGCTGAGCACAGGAGTGAGAGGTTAGTGTTCTTTGTTTTTTTGGTACTGGGAATTGAACTCACAATCCTGTGCTTGCCAGGCAGGTGCTGTGCCCCTGAGCTATATCCCTGGCCCTGTTTTTGTTTGTGAGACAGGATCTTGCTATATAGTTTGCACTTGTCCTGAACTCACTATGTAGTACAAGCTTGAACTCTCAGTGATCCTCCCGCCTCAGCCTACCCAGTGCTAGGATGACAGGAGTGCACGCACATCCAGTAGGGTTAGGGTTTGATGAGGGCAGAGTTTGGGAAGATGAGAAAGTTCAGGGGACGGATGTGGTGAGGGTGGCACAAGAGTGTGACTGTGCCTCATGCCACTGCTAGTTGGGATGATCTGAATGTCTGTGAAGGCCACTGACGGAAGGCTGGGCCTCAGCCCAAGTTGCACTGGAGGAACTTTCAACAGGCGGGGCCTGGCGGAAGGAAGTTGGGACCCTGGGGGCTGCCCTTAAGGGGACGGGAAGATCCAGGCCTTTCCTGGCTTTCTGCATTCCAGCTACCAACAGGTGCCCAGGCCTCCTGTGTTACGCACTCCTCCCTGGGGACAGAACCAGGCCCTAGTGCATGCTGGGCATGTGCTCCACCACTGAGCTCCATCCCAGCCCAAACCCTGCCTCCTTTTGCCCTGTTCGTCTGAGGTATTTTGTCATCGTAACAGAAAGCTAACACAGCCCGCAAACTGTACACTTAAAAATGGTTATGCCGGTTACCACAATTTCACAAAATGGTTCAGGCATAGTGGTACATGCCTAGAACCCCAGCACTCTGGGAGGCTGAGGCAGAAGGATCACAAGTTCCAGACCAGCCTGGACAATTTAGCGAGACTCTGTCTCAAAAGGCTGGGGATGGGGCTTAATGATAGAGCAACCCTGAGTTTGGTCCTCGATACCAGGAAAAAAACACACTTTGTTCATCTGCTCAACTGCTCCTGTGCCGGGGACACTGGGACGTCTGTGCCTGGATGGGCCTTGTCCCCTTCACCCAGAACGCCGACTAGCCAAGGCCCATCAGGAACCGGCCCTCCTTCAGAAGAACTGCTGTTTACTCACTCACCACAGACCATGCCCCAGGTGAGCACCTCCTACACTACCCGAGGTCACCCGCTTTATGGATGGGAACACCGGCACTCCGAGGGGCAGCGTGATGTGCCCAGGTCTCACAACCAAGGCCAGGACTGAGCCAGACTTGAATCCTGGTCTGTCGGATCTGAACCCGCCCCCATCCTGATGCAGCCTTGCTTCTGGAACCTCCTCTTCCGGGGTCCTCCTGCCAAGGGCCGAATGCCCATCTGAGGCCCGGATGTCCTTGCACCCTGGCGCTTTCGCTGTCCCCTCCCCCACTGCACTGGAGCTCTGCAGGTACCAGGGCTCTCCCAAGTGAGCTCTCTCAGAGACACCACTCTGACTCTCACGGGCCCAGGACAGGGACAAGGAGGCCACAGAGAGGAGAAGAAGGCTCCTGGGCACTGTGCCTCCAGGACAATAGCCGGGGACTCGGGGACTCGGGACCCAGGCTTGGGGCCCCTTACCCAGCTTGGCGAGCAGCTCGGACAAGGCCTCGATGTCCTTCTCCAGGGAGACGCGTGACTCCTGGATCTGCTGCTCCACTGTGCTCAGCCCGGCACCCACCTTGGGGACAGGGACAGCGTGAGTAGCTCTGTCCTGGTTGCCAGGGACAGGGGCACGGGAGGGGCTGGCACACCTACCTGCTCAGCTTCCTCCAGCTCCCGCCTGCGTGTTCCCTCGGCCAGCGCCAGCTGCGAGGCCTGTCGGAGCGTGACCTGCGCCTGGCTGGCCAGCCGGCTGGCACGGCGGTGGCCCTGCTTCCCGTCCCGCAGCGAGGCCCTGGCGAGCTATGGGTGGGCCGCGGCAGGGAGAGAAGGCGAGAGTGAGTCCTTTGGGTAAGGTGCTCCAGCCAGCCTCAGAATTAAGTCATACTCGGGCATGGTGGTGCATGCCCGTGGTGGCACTTCACAGCCCAGAGCATGCACACGCGCGTCTGTTTGTTCATTTGTACATCAGTAGGCCACTCCTGGTTGCAGGTGAGGTGCTGGGCCTGTGTGAACTTCTGATATGACTTGTTTCTCCCCAGAGGCAGGAAGCAGGCACAGAGAAGGGGAGGCCAGTAACTGAGGGATGGGGAGTCAGGCCTCACCGCAATCCAGCCATGAGGACAGTGTATGTGAACTCGCAGTGACAGCCACAGGGCTGGGGACCTGCACACTGGTTAGGATTTGGTCCCTTAAAGAGGCGGCTAGAGCCTTAGGCCACACGGTGAGGAGGGCCCTGGTGTGAGTCCGGGTCCTGTGACTGAATTCTTTGTTTTGTTTTTTGGGGGCAGGGTCCTGCTGTGTACTTCAGACCGACTTGGAGCTCACTATGTAGCAAGGCTGGCCTCAAACTTGCAGCAATGCTCCTGACTCAGCCTCCCGAGTGCAGGGATCACGGGCGTGCACCACCATGCCCGAGTATGACTTAATTCCGAGGCTGGCTGGAGCTCAGGGCCCTCACCATGTGCCACGGGAACTGCAGTGACACCTGTCTTGTCAGGAATCAACAAGGTTGCCCAAGTGAAGCTGCCGGCCCAGCACGGAGGACGCCCTGGCCTTTGGGAAGTGTGGAGTATTCTGCCTTGGACCAGGAAGGAGCAGATCTGCCTGGGCAGAGTCTGCCTCACGGAAAGGTGGCCTTATCTGTCCCTGCCACTGGCTCAGACGCAGGGAAGCCGCTGTTGCATAACTGCGGCCCTGACCTTGGCATCGCCCTTGGCCAACAGCTCTGCTTCTCTGCTCTTCTTCCTGGCGCTGGAGGAGAGCGATGCCGCAGTTCCCAGCATCCTCTCTGCCTGCTGGGTCTTCCTTCTCGCGTCTGCCAGGAGCCGGTCCCTGACCGTGCCTGCTCTCCTCCGCAGCGCAGCCTGGTCCTTGGGCCGAGGAAATCGCAGCTTCATTCCTGCAAAGCGGCCAAGGCTGTCACAGAACGAGGTTCACACCCAGATAGCCCGCCAGGCAGTCACCAGGCAGTCATTGCCCGGGCCTGGGGCAGCGCGAATGAGGCTCGAGATGCCAGAGACTGCATGGAGCTCTGCCAGGCTTATAGGAAACAAACGAAAAGGAGCAAGGCACCCTGCTCAGTGGACTGAAAGATGCATGTGACATCGTGGTATCCATTTAAGTCAGGAAATCATGAGGCAGCTGGGGCCTGGGCCCGTGGCAGGGGTAGGGACCTACAGCAGAGGCACAAATCTGTTCAGCTTTGGGGGGTTTTGTTTTGTTCTGTTTCTGCAGCACTGGGGATGGAACCCAGGGCCTTTGCACTGAGCTACATCCCCAGTACTTCTTATTTTGTATTTCGAGACAGGGTTTCCCTAAATTGCTACGTTGCCCAGACTGAGCTAGAACTTGTGATCCTCCTGCCTCAGCCTCCCGAGTGTTGAGATGATGGGCGTGCACCACCATGTCTGGCTAAGGGCCTTTAATATTCTGAAGGGTGCTCTGTAAGACCTTAAGAGAGTGCACCTGCTGGAAGCATTCCTAAACTTATTTGAATGCACCCCCCTTGGTAGGGGCTGGCTGAGCCTTGGAGTCCTGGGGTAACTGGCATGCATCCAATCTGTGCACTTTCCTGAGCACAGCCAGGGGCAGCAGGAGGGGGAGTCTGAAATGGACCAGGAATGGGAGGAGGGGCTGGGGCAGGGGCTTGGAGCTGGTGCTTGTGTGAGTTCTGCAGCCGGCCAGGAAGGCAGAGTCTCACCTAGCACGTACAGAGCTCTCAGAACCAGACAGCATGGGAGGTGACACTGCATAAGGGAGCGAGCAGCCAGCTGCACCGGAAGCAGATGGCGTCAAGACCGGCATGGACCTAGAGCTCTAAACTCATCCTATTCCACCACCGTGTATCACTGACTGATGTCCCAAAATATGACCCGAGGTACACAGGCACCAGCGGGTGACCAGGACTTCAGGCCACCAAGGAACCTGGAGATGGGGCTCTGAGACCCACCGCCTGCCCCAGAGGGTCGGGCCCAGGGCTGGAGCCACATGGGGAGAGCAGGTGTGGGACACGGGCCACAGCAGAGGCCTGGCCCTTGACCTCAGAGCCTGAGGGCCACCTGGGCTCAGGGTGTGACCTCTGACCCTGACTCTGAGGACCACCTGGGCTCAGGTGTGCTCCTCTCTTTGAGCTCATTGGCTAAAGCGCCCCGGGAAGGGTAGGGCAGCCTCTCTGGGATGAGGAGAATCAGGACTCTGGCTGGTTTCTGTCCCCACTCAGCTCCCGCCGGCGGTGACCAGCAATGCTCTCCTGTCTGCCCACCTGCGAACTGGGAACTCTTGGCCCCATTTCCTGACACTCCAAAGGGGCCTGGCCTGATGCCACCCCACACCCCCTTCTAAAGAGAAACTCGGTTCCCTCCCCGTGACCCCAGCTCAACCTGGCCCAGGGCAGCAGTATTTGCCCCAGGAACCTGATCTCCACCAGAGTGGACCAGACTGGAAGTGGATGGCCAGCGGCATCCGATTCCCTTCCCCTCGTCCTGAGGGCTCTGGGTGGAGTCACCTGGGATGGCCGCATGTGCTGGTGCCAGCGAGTGGGGGGAGACGTGGATGAGGTAGGAGACGTGGGTGAGGTCCTAGGGACACAGGGCAGCCCCTGGTTGCTGCTCGCAGGACAGGACTTCCGGCCCTGTGCCAGGCCTGGCAGGGTGGGCGGCTGTCGGCTCGGTGCGGCGCGGAGCCAGGGCCCGGCAGGGCACACGTACCTTGCAGGTCAGCCAGCAGGGCCTTGGCTCCCGTCACGGTCATCGAGGCAGCCTGGACAGACGAGGAAGCCCACGCCAGGGCGGCTGTGGCCTCCTGGCGCAGCTGAGGGGAGGAGAAGAGAGGCCTGGCAGCTGCTAGGAGGGGTCAGGTGGGTCCCAGACCCTGCTGATGACGCCCAAACGTCACCAGGGCCCTGACACTGACACACGCTGTTCACCAGGAGCACTGGGGCGGTCTCACTACACGACTGCTAACCCTTCAGTCTCCCAGGGAGACCCCTGTCCCAGAGCTGCTCTGAGGACTCTCCTCAGAGGAAGCTCGGAGCTCAGGCGGGAGGAGCAGCTGGCGGCGACTCTCCACTGCGCTGCTGGTGGCTGTGCAACGGCCAATCAGAGCCAGGCCTGCTGCCGCACGCCTGCAAGGCCAGTGCTCGGGAGGCCGAGGTGCTGCCCGCGGGTCTGGCCCTGGCGGGCTGTGGCTCTCAGGAGAGCCAGGGAGTCACTCCTCTTCATCACAGACCAGGGGAGTAGAGCAGAGCCACAGACGCTACAGCGAGGAGCCCAGCACGGCCGAGCTCCACGGGGTGCCAGGCCCTGGGCCCAGCGCTTCAGCGGAAGGTGAGGCTGGTGCTCAGACAAAGCCGTCACTGTCACCTTGCAGGATGCCACTCAGGTCCAGCGTCTGGACTCCGCGGTGGCTGAGATGCCAGCCCGAGGGGAGCCCGTGCAGGGGCGGGGCGGGGGGATTTTCTGTGCTGTCTTTGCCACCCTTTTGTAAGTCTGAAATTATTCCCTAGTGAAAAGTTTTCCCCCAAATTATCTCTTTTCTTGGTACCGGGAATCGAACTCAGATCTTGCACTTGCCAAGCAAGGCGCTGTGCCGCAGAGGTAGATCCCCAGCCCTCTCAAAAATTATGTTAAAGAGGCCTTTTGTACTGCAGTAGTGTGGCAATCGCTGCCCAAGTGAATTCCACCGCGCCTCGATTCCTGAATTTCCCATCACTTAGCACCATCTCCCCTTCTACACTGGAGGCCAGGCTGCAGGGCTCTGCAGGAGCCCCAGGGACTGCTCACAGCAGCTGCTCACTTAATTGCTGACTGCAGGGAGGAAGCTAAGCCGAGCGCAATGGCACCTACCTGTCATCCTAGTACTCTGGGGGGCTGAGACAGGAGGATCCTAAATCTAACCCCAGCCTGGGCAAGTTAGCGAGACCTTGTTTCAAAATGAAAAATAAAATGGAACTGGGAATGGTGGAACATGCTTGTCATCCCAGTACTCAGGAGGCTGAGGCAGGATGAGTGCTACAAGTTCAAGGCCAGCCTGGGCTACATAGCGAGTTCTCAAAATATAGTGAATGTCTCAAAAAATAAAATAAAATAAAACAGGGCTAGGGATGTAACTCAGTGTGAAACCCCTTGGTTCAATCCCCCAGATCTGCAAGGAAAACAGACAAACAGCAAACCCCTCGCAACTGTAGCAGGCTCTGAGGGCAGTGGCGGGCAGATCCAACCTCTGTCTGTCTACCGGGTCTCCTGTCACTGCTTTCTCAGGACACTGGGATTCCCTCCTGGGGCCCAGGCCTCCTCTGAGCCACTTCCTGCCTCTGCCCTTTCCCTCCTGCAGCCTCTGCTCCCAGACCTCTCCCAGGGGCCCCAGCCAAAGGTTAGGTGCTGACCTGCGTGAGGGGCTCTGTCCTCCGCAGCGCTGCCCGGGCGGAGGCCTGGAGGGCCCCGGCAGCCTCACTGGCCACACGCTCCCTCAATGCCACCTTCTGCTCCAGGGCCCACGCTCTGAGGCCCAGGTCTCCGGCCTGGGACTCGGGAGGCTGTGGAGAGGCTGGGGTCAGGTGGCTTCCCGTGTGTGCTGAACAAGCTCACTGCTGTTTCTGCATGTGTGTGCACGTGTGCGCGCTCCCGAGCAGGACAAGCCAAGGCCTGGTGTGGCTAAGCACACGCTGTGCCACTGAGCTACACCCTGGCCAGTTTATTCCTTGTCACAGCTCCGTGTCCAAGTTTAGGATCCCAGGATCACACACGGACAGCCTGACCTGCTGCGCTCCAGGTGCAGAGGGGACCCCAAATCCCCTCCAGCCCCCAAGGAGTCAGCCCTAGCGTAACCTAGTAGGTGAGGCCCGTGTGACAGATGAAGTCACCGAGGCCCAGGGAAGGGAAGGGCTTGGCTGAGGTCACAGAGCTGCAGGGGTGGAGCTGGGGCTTCCTCCCACGTCCACCCCGTGTCCTTGCTGACGTCGCTAGAATGGAAAAAACCTGCAGCCCGGATATTATTACTGTCATCAGCAGCCAAGACCGAGCCCTAACCCTGCTCAGCCCCGCAGGTGGAGCATCTCTCTTGAACCCCTGCCGTGGGTCAGCACTAAGCCAAGTCCTCGCTGCTGCAGCCCCACCCCGCACAGAGGTCCAGGGACTCCGACTGACCGGGGCTCCAGCGGCGGCTGCCAGGGAGGCCAGGTGCGGGGCCGCATCATCGATGCCTTGCCGCACGGACGCCAGCACCCTCCTGGCTTCGGGAAGCTCCCGTGCCACAGCCATGCCCAGCGCTTTTTGGGCCTCTTGGACCTCTTGGTACCTGGGAGGAAACAGAGCCCACAGTGGCCTGCGGAGCAGGGCAGAGCCCCTTCGCCCCCACCGCTGTCCAGGACCCAGCAAGGGCTCGCCGATGTGCAAAGGCCTCTCAGACAGTGTGCAGGCCTCTTCCCTTGCTTTGCTCAAGTCACCCACTCTTATCCGAGAGGGCTCCGCTCGGTCCCACCGAGGATCACACCTTTTGCAAACATCTGGCTTCTCTGGTGGAAGCATAAGGAGGAAAATACCCGGGGCTGAGGAAGCCCGAGGCCCCGGCCCTGCTCTCGGCGTGGTCAGGCCCTTGCCAGTGACCTTGGGCACGGGCATGCGCCTCTCCACCGGCGACTGGTGACCCCTGGGCTACGTGACTGCTATGCATCCTGATGGTCTCTGGTTCTGTCATCAACCAGGATGTAGGGGTTTTCTCTCCTGATCACTGTCTATACTCTGCTCCCCGGTCCTGGCTCATCATGGGGCACAGTGCCCCACTTCCTTCCCACCCTCCCCCTTCCAGTCATAAGTACCCTGTCCCTGGGGGGGTCACGCACCCCACCGCCCAGCCACATGGCCCGGCTCAGGACTGCAGATCGGAGCCAGTCAGAGTCTCTCATCTCAGAGCAACAACTCGGGGCTCCGTGGGTGTCGTGGATCTCAGTGACCCTTAAAGTGAGGGAGGGAAGGGTGGGGCACAAGAGCACAGGGGCTGAGCTGCCCGGGCACCAGAAGCACACAGGGAGCTGGGGCCTGGGGGGAGCGGAGCGGAGCCGCTCTGCGCTTGGCGGGAGGACTCAGGGACCAGGGTTCCAGACCCCGAGGCCCCAGGCATCCCGGCCCACGATTCAGGGGCCAGCAGCCTCTGGCAGGGCCCCAGGGGCTCCTGAGGCTCAGCCCAAGCCCGCCCGCGTGGGAGAGGTCTCACCTGTCCTCCAGGTCCCGCTGGGTCTCCAGGGCTGTCCTGCTGTCCACCAGCCTCCGGAGGAGCACGTAGCTGGTGTTGGAGGCCAGCAGGGCGCGACGCACAACGGCTTCAGTCTTGGCAGCGGCATCCCTGTGGCTGTGTGGGTCACAGCGGAGCCATCAGCAAGTGCTCCCGTGGAGGGGCCGGGCCTGAGTTCACCCCACTGCTTCCTACCTGCCCGCCTGCCACGGGGGACTGCCCCAAGGTGCCAGGCCACCTGTTCCTGCCCCCCACCAGCTACACTTGTCCTTTTGTCACGCATTAAAAGCGTATCAGTTTAGCTATACATTATACTGTCGCCCTAACAGACAGGGCAGAGAAGGGAGGGGCCAAGACAGCTGGGCGTCAAAGCCTGGCACTATCACTTTCAGCCTGTGTGTCCTTGGGCAAGTCACCTGACTTCTCTGAATCTGTTTCCTTGTCTACAAAATGAACCTAAGGTCCTTAGCGCTAAGGGAGAAAACTGCCACCAACCCTACGCTTTCAGCATCCTAAGATGTTTATTTAAAGCAGTGGATAAAACAAGCCCAATGTCTATTAGGCCTGGATGAGCAGTATGTGGTAGAACTATACACTGACTGGAAAAAGGAAATACTACACAGCCATGAAAAGGAAATTGATAGACAGAAAGCAGATTATTGGTGGCCAGCTGCTGAAGAGGTTTAAGAAAAGTGAGAAATGATAAAAAAAAAGGATACAAGTTTGGTTCTGGAGATAAACGTTCTAAACTGATTGTGATAGCTGTGAACTCTGGCTATACTGAAACCACTGAATCACACAGTTTGTGAATTACATCTCAATAAAACTGCTATCAAACAGAAAGGTGTCAGATGTTCAGGCGTTTTCGGTGGAGCAAGCTTTGTGTCCCTCACCTCTGCCCATGCTCCCCCGGGAACCTCTCTTTCCCGTGGTGATGTGGTCTCCCCACAGGGCGGCTCTAGACTCACCTGACCCCCACTCCTGAGTGGTGGCATCTGGGGGCTGACCCTGACCCTGTGGGGATGACCTCGCCCCACCCAGGGCTGTGTGGCTCACTCACCCCCTGGCGAGGGTGCGGGCCTCTGTAGCCAGCTGGCTCCAGTTGGAGGGCTGCCTGGGCCCGTCCCAGAGAATCACCTTCAGAGACGAGGAGGAAACTGAGGCCCAGTCTGGAAGGGCGAGGGCCACGTCCTGTCAAATTATGGGGCAGAAGCTGACCATGCTGCCAAGTTCCTGGTTGGGTTTGTTTTTTTTTTGAGACAGGGTCTCACTATGCAGTTCAGGCTGGCCTTGAGCTCACTTTGTAGCTCAGGCTGGTCTCGAACTTGCAATGATCCTCCTGTCTCAGTCTCCCGAGTGCTGGGATTACAGGTGTGCGCCACCACGCCTGGCTTGTGTTTTGTTTTTTGGAGGTAGGGTCTCATTATGTAGCCCAGGGCGGCCTTGAACTCACGGCAATCCTCCTGCCTCAGCCTCCTAAGTGCTAGGATTGCAGGTGTACACCACCACGCCCGGCTGGGGCTGGTAATTTTACAAATGCACAGAGCTTGTCACAGAGCCAGTATTTGGGGTGTGGAGCCCCTGAACACGGGCGTACTGGTAACGGCACCGCCTGCCACCTCCTGTGCCTTCTCTGTGTGGCAGCAAACTCGGGTGTGGAGCAGGCGCTCTGTGACCCCCAATCTGCAGATGACACCCAGCCTCCCAGAAAGGGGAGGCCTGGCCCGAGTCACCAGGCGATGGCCCTGCTGGGGCCTGGACCCGAGCCGGCCCAGCGGGAGAGGGGCCCCGGGTACCAGAGATGCGAGCACGCTGGCTGCCTGCAGAATCTCGTCTTGCGTGGACTCCAGGGTCGCCCCCAGGTCAGCCAGCTGGGTGCAGGTCTTCCGGGCTCCGGCCCGGGCACAGTCAGCGGCCTCACTCAGCGCCTGCAGCTGCTCCCGGGCGGCCTTCACAGCACCTTCGAGGCCTGTCAGCTGCCCCAGGAGGGCTTCCCGCGCCCCTGCAGGAAGCCCGAGGCCCAGAGTCACGGAGCGGGGAAGACGCACACGAACGCCCCAAGCCCAGGCTGCCTGGGCGCAACAGTGCATCCCGGAGGGAAATCTGCCCATTCTGCAGATGCAAAGGATGAGCCCACGGGAAGGTAAATGAAAAGCCTGGGTCCCACACAGCAAGCTGGTCACACGCAAGGGATTGCCAGGGACCCCGGCCTCCTAGAGCCACAGCGAGCAACTGTGGGAGTTAGGAGAGCAAGGACTCCTGTCCGGGTCAGCTCTGTAACGCCCAATGAGGCCCGCACGTGGGCCTCTAAAAAGAGCCAGCAGGTCGCCCGTGGATCTCCCGGGCGTTAGGTTTATACCCGGACGACCCCAAGAGCCTCAGGTGCTTACAGGTGGGGCTTCTGGAAGGTGACAGGATTATGGGGGTTTACAGCTGACTTGCGGTTGGAAGGTGGGGCCTGGTTGGAAGAGGTGGGCTGCTGGGGGCATGGCCTGGTAGTTGGGGCGTGGCCTGCCAGTGGGGTGGGGCCTGGTCTTGGGGGCGTGGCCTGGAAAGGTTTACCTCCCTCCCCTTGCCTCCCCCTTTGCTCTCTACTTCCTGTGCCCCACACCCTGAGCAGCTCTCCTCGTCCTGCCCCTGTGCTGTGCCCTCCTGCCTCGGACCAGCCAACCATGGCCTGAAACATGAGCCAAAATAAACCTTTCCTTTAAATTGTGGGTGTCAGGTATTGAGTCCCAGCGGCAAGGAGAGTGATTAAGACACCGGTAACAGGTGTTCAGCTCGCCTGCACGTGGCCGCAGGTGCGTCTAAACATGCAAGTTCACAAAACAACCGCCTCACTTTCAGAGATCTCTCCCTCGTGTCCCAGAGCCACACTCCGCCTGGCTTTGGCAGCACACCTCCTGATCTCTTAGCTACTCGTTGTTTTCTAGGTGCCAAGCAGGGGGCTGGGGACACGGCGGTATCAGAGGGCTGAGGTCAAGAGCACGGGGCTCTGCCCGTTCAGCACCGGGACAGTGGCGCCCGGCCTGCACAGCCAGAGCTTCTAGAGAGAGCTCGCCGCAGCTCACAGTCCTGGACACAGGGACGGGGCCGGAGGTCAGTACAAGTGGGCCAGGGACGCTGGAGGAGAGGCTCGTGGCAGATAGGACCCTGTCCCACGAAAGCAGGCAGAAGGCCGCGTCCAGGGCTTGGAGCAGCTCCCAGCCCACCCCACCCTGCTCTGTACCTGGCAGCAGGTGGCGACTCTGATAGCCGTCCCCCCGGGGGGCTTCTCCCTGCAGAATGTCTAGTGGCCCCCAGGGACTGCTACAGTCGGAGCCCCGCAGCCACCCCTCCATCAGGGTCAGCCTGGCCTTCAGCTTGGCTACCTGCAGGGGATGGGGAAGGAAATGTGTGTAAGGTTGGTGGCCTGGAAGTCTTACCTGGTGTCATCCCTGGCTCCTGCCGGGCCAGCCTCCCCTCAGGTTCCCTTCTCCAAGTTCTATGCTGGGTCTCTACGCTCAGGTCCTAGTTTAGGTTTTTTGAGGGGTGTGGCTTTGTTTTGTTTTGTTTGGGTTTTTTGAGAGAGGGTCTTGCTGTGTAGTCCAGGCTGGCATCAAACACCTCCTGCCTCAGCCTCCTGAGTGCTGGGATTACAGGTGTGTGCCACCATACCTGGCCTGTTCTGTTTTTTTTTGAGACAAGTCCTCACTAGGTAGCCCACGCTGGCCTCAAGTTCGTGGAGATCCTCCTGTCTCAGCCTCCCATGTGCTGAGATGATAGGCATGTGCTGCCATCCCTCATTCTAATGACAAAATCTGACCTGAACTCATTTGGAAGCAGAACGGGAAAAGGCTGCCTGGGCGTTTATTTACCCACACAGTGTAAGTAAGCTTGCTGCCCTACATAAGGGTCAGCAGCTGTACGTACGGGGCTGGCCTGCTTGCCGCAGGGGGAGAAGGGAACCTCGTGCTCTGTCTTCAGGGCCGCACGTGTGGGAGCCCCGCTGTGGCCAGCAAGGGGCTGAAGGTTTGGAGTGGGAGGGGGCGTGGGGTCACCACGGCTGCCCCTGCCCTGGTGCAGGACAATGAGTGAGGCTCGGGGAGAGGACCCCAGTAGGTTAACCCTAGCACCCCAATTCCTCTCTCTGCACCATCCACCTCCCTCCTCAAAGTTCTACTTGAGGATCGGTGGTGGTACACCCGTCATCCCAGCACTCGGGAGGCTGAGGCAGGAGGATCACTGCGAGTTCAAGGCCAGCCTGGAGTGCAAAGGGAGATCCTGTCTCAAAAAACAAAAATTGTCCTTGGGCCCCAGGACAACTTCACCTCCCCACAAAGGGGGCATCTGCTGTTTCCCCACTGAGCCTGAGAAGGTGCAAGGCCTCGGTCCAGGTGCTCAGGAGGGGAGGCAGCAAGAGTCACCCCTTTCCTGTCCACCAGGAGCAGGGCGAGGGCTGAGCTGGGTGGGCACAGGGGGCTGTGGGCCTGGGGCTGTGGACGGGCGGGCGGTTCCTGGTGCCCAGCGCAGACACGGCACGAGTAGGGGCACGGAATGCAGGGCCGAGGCCGGGTGGGCTCACCTCCTCCTTCACCAGGCCGTAGCAGGGCGGGCACTCCTGGCAGTGTGCTCCGCCCTCCGTGGGGAAGAAGTTGTCCTGGCAGCGGTCGCACTTGTAGCCCACAAAGCCGGGCCGACACACGCACGTGCTGTTCTCGTGGCACTGGGCCACAGCAGCGCCCAGCGGGGAGCACCTGCAAGCTGGGGACCAGCGAGAGTGGGCAGAGGGTGCCGCATGTGGGACCCCCCGCCCTGCACCCTCAGGCCTGGCACTCTTGGGACTCCTGGGTGCTCTCAGTGCAGATCCCTGAGCCTCTCTCCTGAGAGTCCAATCAGAAGCCGGACTTATGTCCCTGTCCCCGGGGCCTGAGGACCAGCCAGGTGCAGGGGCTGCCAGCACAGCCCAACCCCATGACTGGGGAGACGGAGGCCCACAGAGGTGACCTGGAGGCCCACACGCAGGGGTTAACGATGGCATCGGGGACATGGCCCTCCAGCCGCCACCGGGACACGCCGCTCCTCTCCACGCTCTCGTGTGCTCAGTTTCCCTGGCCACGTGCGGGCCCCTGCCCCTGCATCTGCCACCCCCTCTCCCCACACCGCGTCCCGCCTTGCAGGGACACCTTGGCCCCGCCCTGCCCCTGCGGTCCCGGCAGGCCTGGCTTCCTTACCCCGGCATCCCTTGATGGAGAAGCCGAAGAAACCTGGTTCACACCTATCACAGGCCAGGCCTGTGACACCCGGGCGGCAGTGGCACTGCCCCGTCTCAGGGTGGCACTGGTTCTCCTGGGAGCCAAGCGGGTGACATGCACAGCTGCAACAGGGAAGGAACCAGGTCTGAGGCCGGCTCCGGGACATGCCCAGCCCAGCCTCTCCCGGGCCCAAGGAAGCCCCAGCCCTACGGACAACTCCCCCCACCCAATAAGCGACTCCGGGGACACATGTGCCTCGGAGAGGTCACAGCCCTTGCTGCCACTCCACTGCCCACCTGCGGCAGCCCCTGCCTGGCTGGAGGTCGTAGAAGCCGGCGCTGCAGAGGCTGCAGTCCCTGCCAGTCACGTGGGGCAGGCAGGGACACTGGCCGGTCACCGGGTCGCAGGGTGTCTCTGCACTGACCGAGCCCTTGGGGCTGCAGCTGCAGGCTGCAGAGGGAGCAGGACAGGGTGTCAGGGAATAACGCAGGGGGTTCCACAATCTGGGGTGTCCCAAAGGGGCCGAGAAGTTGGGGGGCCCGAGAGATCATGCTTATTGAGCCCCTTGGGAAAAGGGCTCAAGTCTCAGTTACTTGTTATGCTGTTGGGGAAACAGTGGAGGTGGCACAGGCCTGGAATCCCAGCACTCTAGGAGGCTGAGGCAGGAGGATCTCAAGTTTGAGCTTAAATTTAGCAACTTGGTGGGGCCCTGGCTGAAACCTGCATGCCCTGTTTCTAAGTTTCTAAGATGCGGAGGTCGAAGGGACCTGGGAGAAGGGCAAGGCCCCTGCTCTGTGGAGAAGAGTGGAGAGGGGGGAGACCTGTCTAAGGCTGCCCAGCTTCGAAGCTGACTGGGAGGGTTCCTCGGCCACCTCTGTGCACCTCAGCCAGGGCAGAGCACAGGGCCCCCTGGCCCGGCCGGCGGGTCCAGGCACTGATGCTCACGCGTGCACTTGTCCGCTGGCCGCAGGGCCAGGGCGCTGCCATAGAAACCTTTGCGACACAGCTCACAGCGCTCCCCGGTCGTGCTGTGCAGGCAGCGCAGGCAGCGGCCAGACAGGGGGTCGCAGTTGCCCACGGCGTTTGGATCCACGTTCCCGCTGCACTGGCACCGGCGGCAGGGCTGGGGGGCCCCAGAGAGCCCCAGCGGGTCCCCGAAGAAGCCGTCGTCACAGCTCTCGCAGCGCCGCCCTGTATGGAGGAGGAGGGGTGGGCAGTGCCGGCCAGCTGTGCCCACGAGGGCGGGCGGGCACCGAGCCAAGCAGGCACTGCCCAGGCCTCCCGTGCGGCAGAGAGGACCCCGGGCCAGGTCCCTCTTGCTCCCATTCCCTGGCTGTGTGGCCTGCGGCAGGCTGCAGGGCCTCTCTGAACTCCAGCCCCCCATCTGCAGAGGAAAACAAGCAGGTCAGTGCTTCCCAGGGCTGCAGAGACGGCTCAGGGCAGTTATTTCTTTTCTTTTCATTTTGTCTTTTGAGGCAGGAGGATCATTGCAAGTTCGAAGCCAGCCTGGGCTACAGAGTGAGCTCAAGGACAGACCGAACTGCGCAGCGAGACCCTGTCTCAAAAAGACAAACAAACAAACAATCAGTGGTTGACAACTGGGTGCAGTGGCACAGGCCTTTAATCCTGATCTTCTAGGAGGCTGAGGCAGGAGGATTGCAAGTTTGAGCCCAGCCTGGGCAATTCAGACTTAGAGAGACCCTGTCTCAAGATAAAAAGTCCTAGGTGTAGCCAGGTAAGTGGCACACGCCTGTAATCCCTGCACTTGGGAGGACCACTGAGAGTTCCAGACCAGCCTGGGCTACAAAGTGAGTTCAAGGCCAGCCTGAACTGCGTAGTGAGACCCTGTCTCAAAAAAGACAGAAAAACAAACACAAACAAAAAATGCTGGGGACACAATGCTGGGGGAAGATCCTGGGTTCGATCCTCAGTACTGTCAGAAAAGAGGAGGTGCTGGCAGAAGGCCTTGAATCTGCAGTGCACCCCAGCGACTCGACGTCGTCCTGCGGCTTGGTCCCATTTGCGTCTGTCCAGTCTTCGTCCGCTCAGTCAGGGAGCCAGACAACGGGGTGAGGGGGGGTGCGGAGGGGAGGGCAACCGCCGGCTGGGGCCCAGGTCTCCCCGACCTCAGCCTCTGTGGCTGGAGGGGCTCAGGACCTGCTTTCAGAAAGGCCCTGGGGGAAGCAGGGCCTTGGGCAGGACAGTCTGGATGCTGTGCTGGCTCATGACACCAGCCATGCCGCACAGGCTGGGAGGCTGCGGGCCGAGCAGTCCGCCACCACTAAGGGATGATGTTAACGCGTTAGCCGACGACACCAGCCAGACGCAGAGGGACAGACGTGCCCGAGAGAGAGGCACTGGGAGAAGGGACAGGGCTGTGACTGGGCAGGGACGGCATCAGTTACTGGGGCACATCCCAGCCTGGGGCTGGGACGCGGGAGCAGCTCTGGCGAAGGCGGGTGGTGGTGATGGCGCAGTGCGCCTGTCCTGACCGTGGCAGAACGTGAGCCGGGATGACGGTGAAAGCCGTGGGTTTTATGTCGCATATTTTACCACAATGAAAAATTAATAATGTAATATATAAAAGCCATTTAACTGCACGCCGTAAGTGGGTGAATTGTTGGGCGTGTGAACATCCCAAAAGCTATTAAAAAAAAACCATCAGATGTCGCGGAGAGCCCAGAGTCCTGCTGGGAATTTGGGGGGCAGGGAGGTTCTGCCTCACACGTTCTCTGACGGCATTTGTTAAAAGCTGAGGGTTTTTTTTTTTAGGTGTTTTGACACAGGTCTCACTACGAAGCCCAGGCTGACCTTGAACTCGCTGCAGTCCTCCTGCTTCAACCTCCTGAGTGCTGGGATTGCCGGCAAGGGCTCCCACACCCAGTTTAAAAGCTGTAAGTTTAGTCTGAGCTTTTCCAGCTTTGCTGTGGGTCGCAGTTTCCCAGGGAACCCTTCAGGGCCACAAACCCCTGGGCTCCATCTGAAGCCATGACACCTGGCTCCACAGGGACAGACCCAGCACAGCATTTTCATAACTCACTGGGATGTGCCCCGAGTTGTGACAGCACCCCAGCAGGCTGAGACCTTGACTGTGGGACTCGAGTGCCCCTGGACGTCAGCCCTGCCGCCCCTCAGCTGGGGTTTCCCCCATGGCCACACTCCAGACCTGGGACCCACCCCCGGAGCCCAGGTAGAATCAGGCGCAGGGCCTCAGTCTCCCCAGAGGGCAGGGCCCGGGGCACAAGCCACTTACCTCTCTGGCCTGAGGGGCAGTGTGTACACACCACTTCACCGCTCTCCGGGACCGTGGTGCAGGCTGACCGGCTGGGACACGGACAGGGCTTGCAGTCGTCGGCTTGGCCCAAGAAGGGGTTGCGATAGAAACCTGGCAAGCAGCGCTCACAGGACGAGCCCTCGGTGTGGTGGCCGCATAGGCAGGTCCCTGAGGGGCAACACAAGCACCCGCTGGCCACCGCCCCGGACCAGAACACGCCAAGAGGGTGGGCATCCTGCAGAGGTCGCACAGTTCCTCCCCGGCAGCGGGGGGAAGGGGCGCAAGCACCCCAGGTTCGCGGCCACACTAGCAAGACGTCTGTATCTCTCACTTCGGTGTCCTTGCCCCAAAAATGGGAATCATGGTGGCACTGACCTCAAAGGGTTCTGTCAGGGCCAGGCAGGTCACATGCTGGCGGTGCCCCACACCCTCCCGGGCACAGGTCGCCAGCGTCTCTGTTATCACTGCCAGCTTGCGTTCAGGAGCCGCCCCAACCACCGGAAGACACCGCTGACACCTTTTGTCTTTTTTTGTGGTAATAGGGATCAAACCCAGAGGTACTCTGCCTGATTTACATCCCCAGTCTTTTTTTTTTTTTTGTCTTTTTGAGACAGGGTCTCTGCTATGCAGTTCAGGCTGGCCTTGAGCTCACTTTGTAGCCCAGGTTGGTCTCAAACTTGTAACGATCCTCCCGCCTCAGCCTCCTGAGTGCTGGGATTACAGGCGTGTGCCATCACGCCCGGCCTCCCCAGTCCTTTTTTTGTTTTCAGAGAGGGTCTAAATTGCCCAGGGTGGCCTGGAAATTGCAATCCTCCTGCCTCAGCCTCCTAAGTAGCTAAGATTACAGGTGGGTACCCCCACCCGGCCTTCTGTCCTCTTCTGTCCTCTTAACTTCAAGGGACCACGAGACAGAGGGACTCACCCGGAAGGAGGCACAGAGCAGGCACGGCCTTGGCACGCCCACACAGAGGCTCACCGTGTGGGGTCCGTGCGTACCCAGGGGCTGTGCCTGCTGTCTGGTGCCTGGAGATGGGGGAATGCGGTGGACCCCTTTTCCGGCCCCACAGTACCTGGTGCCGCCTCAGAGCCTGGGCACTAGAAAGCAGGAGCCATGGCAGGGACTGGCTGGGAAGCGTGGCTGCACAAGGGGTCAGCAGAGGGCACTGCGTCCAGGGGACGCCAGTAGCACCCGGCGCCCAGCCAAGGCTGAGACAGACGGCAGGGCAGCACCCACAGGCTCCCGACTCCAGCCTGCGCAGCGGTGGCCCTCTGCCCCGTCACAGATGAGGGCCTGTCCACGCTCTGCCGGGAGTCTTGGCAGGGCTGAGGATGACACGTGGGTCCCATCCTGTGAGAGGACTCTGCTTCCTCAGCAAGGGCTGCCTGGGGTATGGCATGGGAGGATAGGGAAGCCTCATCTGGGTTCGATTGGCGATGCCTGCCATGGGCACAGGAAGGGAGGACACCCATGTTCCTGGGAGCACCCCCTGGCTCAGGCCTATGAGTGGGGGTGGAGGCCTGTGTCTCGCCCCTGCAGCACCTGCTGGCTGTGTGACTCTAGGGAGGTCTCCCTGTCTGCTCCACTATGGATGGGGACCAACAGCTGGAAGTGACCAACTGCCCAGGGCAGCCAGGCTGGTGGCAGGTGCAACTCTGCTGCTTACTGGCCCCGGGGCCACTCTGCCCCTCAGGTCTGTCCCCTGTGAGATGGGACAATGGTGCAGGTGTCAACAGTGCAGTGCAAAAAAGGGGCCTGGTGCAAGCAGCGAGCTGGTGACACTATCTGCTACTTCCCAGTGTCCTTAGTGTGAGGACTTGTTCATCTGCATTCCCCGTGGCACGTCAGTTAGCCATGCTGAGCTTCAGGGCAGACTGGCTCTGTTTTGGGGCCTGGGAAGTGTGTGTGAGATCACTGTCCCCACTGCACGGGAAGCAGGTCGGCTCAGAGGGCAGCAACTTTCCCAAGGCCACAAGCCACCAAGGGGCGGGGCTGGCACGTCTGGGCTGACACCTGGGAGCTGCTGTCCTGCGTGGCTCTGTGAATGCCCTCCCGCCGGGGTCACCTGTCACAGTAAGGCCTCTGCCCTTTTTTAAAAAAAATTTTTTTTTGAGACAGGCTACAGTTCAGGCTGGCCTTGAACACACGGCAATCCTCCTGCCTCAGCCTCCCAAGTGCTGGGATTACAAGTGTGCACCACCACGCCAGGCAGCCTCTATCCTTGTGTATCATGGATGCCTGGCAGGGCCCTGGAGGTCTTTGCCAAGCTCCTGGAGGAAGGGACTCATCCAGAGAGTGGGGGCATGAGGACAGCCAGTGTGGCGGGCTGAAGGCCTCACCAGACACACACACATTCCTCAGCGCAGAGCTGACGTACAGCTTCTGGTGACTGCTTTTTCAAGCCAGGAGATGCCCAGGCAGAGGCACGAGCATGGTCGAGTGCCCCTCGGACCCATGCCAGGGTGACCCCATGTGGGCCCATGCAGTGCTCATCTCGTTGCAGCCCAGGTGGCCTGAGGGTGGGGTGTCAGGGACTCACCTGTATTGGGGTCACAGGTGCCATGCTGGTTACAGGTGCAGAGGACACAGCTGGCATAGGGACCCCCCCGCGGTGTCTCCCTCTTGTATCCTGGAGCACAGGACTCACAGAACTGGCCCATGTAGCCCCGGGGACACGAGCAAGTCTCTACCCAGGTGGCTGGCGGGGACAGTCCCCGCTGGACCCGAGCCGACGTGAGCTGCACCTCACTCAGGAGCACTCGGCCTGCAGAGTGAAGAGAGAGGGGAGCTGTGTGCACAACCCCCAGGCTTTCCTGTCCCGTCTGCAGGTGACAGGCCACACCTACAGAGGCAGCTGTGATTTTTCACTAAACAGTCAAATTTCCAGAACAAGAACCAGAAGTGGGGCTGAAGGTAGATGAGGGATGATAAAAAACTGCAGCCAATGCTTAAAGTTTTAAAACTTTGATACAGTAAAAGACACTCCCATGAACCCCTTTACATCACTCCCCTTGGGAGGTGTCATAAAAAAATACAGTGAATGCAGCCGCCGAGCACCATCCAACGGAAAGGCAGCTCATAAGGACGCCACACTGCACCCTCACCCACCTTATTCGCTGGATCTGGCTCCGTGTGGCTTCTGGCTGCTCCCCAAAGTCAAAATGATGACTCCAGACACCGAGGCAGCCACAGCAGCGCAGCTAAAGACCCTCCGGAGAGAGGACTCCAGAGCTGCTGCAGAAAGCGGCGAGACGATGGGATGAGTGTGTTCGAAGTGAGGGGAGGAATTTGAGGGGATTCCCGTCAATGTGTCTTTTACTGTGATGCATTTATTTAACTTTCAGTACATACTGTGTATCTCAGTCACACCCCAGCCAGTGGGGAAGCACCTGCTTAGCATGTGTGAGGCCCTGAGTTCCATCCCCAGCACCACCAGCAGAGATGGTTGAGAATTTCATGGGAAAATGTCCACTCTCCTGAGTTATTAAAGATAGACCAATTTAAGTAACAAAGAACCATCCCCAAACCCCAGATTGGGGAACATCTTAAAAGCCAATTATATCTGGACAGGGTGGCACAGGCCTATAATCCCAGCATTCAGGAGGCTGAGGCAGGAAGATTGTCATGAGTTCGAGGACAGCCTGGACTACACGGTGAGATCCTTAGAAAACAGAAAAAAAAGACCAATTACAGTGGAGGATTGGGGAGTGTGGAACTCACAGGGCCTGCCCTTAGCTGGGTGCTCCCTTTGGACCAAGTTTAAAGTGTATTTCCTAAGTGTCTAAGAGATATAAAAGGTATGGACACCAACGAATGTAACAGCTCAGTAATTTAAATGTTTCTTTTCGTGGGAGGATTTTGATTGAACAGAAGCTAATTGACATGGAAATGACAGTGAAATTTCTTATTTGCAAGGAAAATGAACATTTTCTATTCAGGTAGACAACAATGTGTTCATTTTGAAAATAAATGACTGACATTTGCGGGGGGAACGCCCCGGTGTGGATGTAGGAATGCAAAGCAGGAGGTGCTGCTTCTAGTAACCAGGAGTAGAGACGCCTACCAGATCAACCTCACACACACCAGATCAACCTCACACACGCCAGATCAACCTCACACACCCCAGATCAACCTTACACATGCCAGATCAACCTCACACACGCACACACTCACGCACACGCACCCAGAAAACCAACTCTCCACTCCGGGCAAAATATTAAAATAAAGGATCTGCAAACGCCGTTGGCAGATGGCGGGCAGACGCCGCCGCTCATCACAGCAGAGACGAGGACGGCCTTTCTGAGGGAAACTTGGCAGCTTCTATCAGTCTCTGAAATGTGTGTTCCTTGGCCTAACATCTCCATCCCCTGGGTGCTGTTTCGAAGATACAGACCGCTCCAAGAGACAGGTCCCCCTCCTGTGGCCCTGGGCATCCCGGGGACCCCAAGCATGGAAGTGTCTGTCCCAAAGGCCTGGTTGAGCCTTCTTAACGGGCATTTGTGCCACAGACTCCTATGAAGTGGGCAGAGAGAGCCAGCCTTCTCTACGTGTGATGCCAAGGAGCAGTGGCCGAGGCACTGTGAGCAGAAGCAGCCCTGGAATACTGCACTGTGCAATCAAATTTCTGTATTATTTAGGGGAGTTTGTTTGGAGACACGATCTTGCTATGTAGTGCAGGCTGGCCTTGAACTCTACGTAGCCCCAGCTATCCTCAAACTCACAGAGATCCTCCTGCCTCAGCCTCCCAAGCGCTGGGATTGCAGGCATGCTGGCAGGGCCCTGGCTGGCAGGGCGTTAAGAAGGTGCACATGGAAAAGTTGAAAGCGATGGGGGATGTGTGGGAAAGGCTTGGGCTCGAGGGGCCTGCATGTCCGGCACACCAGGCACTGGGCACAGGGGCACCTGGCATGGCGGAGAAGGCGCCCTGTGCTGTTTGTGAGCAGGCGCTGGTCACAGGGAATGTCTGTGGTGCTAGGAAGGGCGGAAGTGAGATTTCTGGGGCCGAGGAAGAAGGGGGAGGCCCTCGGGGCCCCGAGGGGCTGTCAGGGAGCTGACAAGGCTGGAGGCAGGCGTGCGCAGTGAGACCACAGCTCCAAGGAGGCAGAGGGGGCTGGAGCCCGAGGGGCCTGAACAGAGCTGCTCATCTAAGCCACAGGCTCCCAAGAGGGCGGCATCACCCCAGCAATCTGTCAGCCTTTGGCTGTTGTGACAGTAGGGCTACGGGGCTGGAGACGCCCTGACTTGCAGCGAGTAGAAACTGTCTGTCTCTGTGACTTCCCAGCGTCCTGCTAGATGCCGAAAGGGCAGAAACACCCCCCTGTGAACATCTGAGCCAGACAGGTGTGGTAACATGCACCTGTAGTACTGGCACTCTGGGAGGCTGAGGCAGGAGGGTTTCAAATCTGAGCCCACTCTGGGCAACTTAATGAGTTAGCGAGAACTTGTCTTGAAATAAAAATTTTTAAAAAGGTTGTGGATGTAGCTCAGCATAAAGGCCCCAACTCATAATGATCTGGCAAGTATTTCCAGTTAGTGATGCCTTCGATACGACAAACTTAAAGGACTTGAAGAATAAGGGCCAGTGATGTCCGGTGGGACGTCTGACACCCGGCACTGTGGCTTCACCACTAATGAGCAGCTCTCTGCCAAGCTCCTTCCCCCTAACGAAGCCACAAGACCAGGCCACTGAGGCTAAGGAAGTCCTTTAAAAGGACTAAGCTGAGCAAAGCGGAAGGATGAACCACCCCCGCCACCCACCTGGCCTGCTCCGGCCACTGTCTCTGTGGGTGTCCCCACACAACAACACTTACACGTGAGGTGTGATCACAGTACAGGGTGACTGTGTATACTTTAAAAATCTGTCACAGTAAAGGACACATTGCCAGGAATCCCCCTCGCAGTATTGCTTTGCTTCAAACACATTCACCCCACTGTCCTGGCCGCTTCCCGCAGCAGCTCCGGAGCCCTCTTTCCTGAAGGTCTTTAGTTGCGCTGTTGTGGCCGCCTCATTGTCCTGAATTGATCCGCGATGTTTCCCTGTCACGGTTATTTTGACTTTGGGGAGGAGCCAGAAGTCACACAGGGCCAGGTCTGACGAACAGCGCCGTGTCTTTACGAGCTGCCCTTTATATGGGGTGGCGCGGGGCAGCTGTATTCACTGTATTTTTGGTCACACCTTGGAAAGCTACTCACCATAGAGGACTTCCAGAGCTGCTTCAGAAAGCTGCAAGAACTATGGGATAAGTGTGTGCACAGTTGGGGGGAGATATCCTGAAGGGGATTTGCAACGACACGTCTTTTATTGTGATGAATTTTTAAAAATGTAAGTGTTCACCACACATTTGGATCACACCTGGACTAAGCCTCCTGGCGGCCGCTGGCCCTAACCCCTGCTGTATTCCAGCACCAGTTCACAACTGCGCCGCGCTGCCTGCCGTGTCAAAGCACAGCTGCCGAGCCTGTTCCTCCTGAGCCCAAGCTGCCGCGCTGCAGCAGGGACCGTGGCCACGGCTTCACGTGCTCCGGCGTGGGCACCCTGAGCTCAGCAGTCTCAATTCATGTAATGTTTCTTCTTTTCTGCAGTACTGAGGCTGGAACCCAGGAAGCACTGACGCACACCCCCAGCCCTTCTAATGTGTGGGGCAGAATCTCACCAAGATGCCTATGCAGGACCTTAATTCACGATCCGCTGGCTCAGTGTCCCAAGGAGCTGGAGTAACGGGTCTGTGCCGCCACACCCAGCTCACAGGGTGAAAAAAATACCATTTCCCTTCCTTTTATGTATTCTGCATATTATAGGAAGGGACTTTTAAGAGCACGTAAGTAATTAATGTAACCGGGAATAAATCAGAGGTTAGCTCTGTCAACTGCAAGGGTCCAGGTAAGAGACGTGGCAAAACTGGCTGATGATGTGACAACGTGGGATGGGCCGCTCCTCCGGAATTGAAAAAAAAACCTGACCTGCTCCCGGGGTGGCTCAAGTGCAATACCAAGAGTGGCCAGCAGGGGAACCGCGCTCTCTCGAAACCGACAGAAGCGTTCGGTCCTTCCAAGTGTGGGCACCACACCCAGGACACCAGGCTGCTCTGCCGGCCACGCTCTTGCCCCACCCACTGGTCCAGCCCCCACCCTGTCCTCAGCCACCCTGCCTGCTGATTTTATGGATTACAAGAGCTAGCTTGTGCACGCCTGTAATTCCAGCACTCGGAGGCTGAGGCAGGAGGATCTCTATGAGTTGGAAGCCACCCTGGGCTACATAGTGAATTCAAGACCAGCCTGGACTACACAGTGAGACTCTGTCTAAAAAACAAATACCCAGGCAGAGCCCCTCTTGCGGACAGCATGGCTTTCCTCTGGGGACTCAGCACAGCCATGCGGGCAGCAGCCCAGCCCACTATCCTCAGGGCCACGCTGGTATCACTAACCGGAAAGGCCAGAGCCTTGGCCGCTGGTCCGGAGGCACAGAGCAGTCAGGTTGGCAAGGACCCGCTGGAAGTGGAAGGCGGGCAGCGGGAGCTCCGCATCCTCGGAGGTCTCCTGCAGGCTGCCGGGGAGAGGGGTCAGTGTGGGGGGCTGGCACGGGCAATCTGGGGACCCACGTACACCACAGGACACGCTGCAGAGTGTCCAGAGTGTCCCCAAGTCCGCCTCTCGGGATGGAAGGGGACACTTACAGGAAGCGGAGCTGCGCCTGCCCCGGCTGCCCCGCGTCCTGGGCACCCAACTGGCCGGACGGCTTCAGAGCCAGTGTCAGGCCCGCTCCTTCCAGCCTCAGCTGCACAGGCGGCGGGGAGCCCCCGGGGGGCACTCGGAAGGTCAGCGTGAGGGGCTGCCCGTAGCTGAGCCGCTGGTCTCCCAGGAACACCTCTGGGGACGAGAGTGCCTTGAGGATCTTCACACGCTCCCCTTGATCCTCTGCCTCTGCACTCGTTTTATTAGCAGGTGAACTCTGCAGCAGATGCGGACGGGGCGGGTGGGAGCACCCAGCGCCGCACACGTGATGGGTGCCCGTCCACACCCAGCTGCGCCAGTGCGCCGCCTGGCACACGGTGCACGCTTAGTTCTTTTGACAGACCTGTTTATTTTCTGGTACTGGGGACTGAATTCAGCAGCTTCACCCTGAACTCCACCCCCAGCCCTTTCCATGCTTTATTTTGAGAGAGGGTCTCACGAGGTGGCTAAATTGCCCAAGCTGGGCTCCAACTTGGGATCCTCCTGCCTCAGCCTCCCAGAGTTCTGGGATGACAGGCGCCCACCACCACCACCACGTCTGGCATTACCGCTTTTCTTTATCGCTCTCTTCTCCACTGTGCCATTAACAGTGGAGAGCGCGGACGCCCCACAGCGCCCACGGCCCCAGGCGTCTGCCCCACCCTGGGCTGCCAGGTACCTGGGGCTGTGAGCTCCTCGTCTTCGGGGCCCAGGAGGACCCCACCCGGGCTCCACCTTGCGGGGTGCTCTGCGCCCCCTGTGCCTCTGGTGCGCCAGGCCCCGGCTCCTAGACAGCAAACACGGATCGGACCCTCACCAGGATGAGGCCAAACAGCGTGGGATGCTCAGCCCCGCTCTGCGAGGTGGGGTGTCGGCGGAGCGCCTGCCCTGGCCTGCAGAAGGGCTCTGCGCGCCACCTGCAGACCCGGCCCCAGACTGCTGAGGCACGACGACCTTGGACCTTGGGACCCGCCGAAGCCAGGCCCTGCGTTCTGCACGACGTCCAGCAGAGGGCGTGCTGGCCCGCGTCTGGCGCGCCCTGAGCCCTCAGAGGAGTGGGACGCCCTGCCCCTCCCGCGGGGACAGACACAGGCAGCAGGTGGGGCCCTCCGCGGGGCCCATACACGGGCTCTGATTTAATGCAGAGTCTGGAGCTCTGCCAAGTTCCTGCTCCAGAGATGCAGCGGTGGCCCTCCAAGCCCAGACCCCAACCAGAGGGCTGCGCAGAGAGAACGCACAGGACCGGCGGCCCAGGGATGGGCGCTGGCATCTCCGCAATGGGGCAGAAGCACCCCCCCTGCCGGGGACTCGGTGGCCTCCGAGAGCACGCAGCCCAGCCGTGTGCCTGGCACACAGTAGGTGCTCAATAAGTGCAGGCCAGTGGACTGAGCCTGGGTGCCCTGCGTTTAGGGCACCAAGGAGGCTGTCTCCGTGCCCACAGGTCCAGAGGGAGCCATGTACCCAGGCTGCCAATGCCACTCATGGTGGAAACCCCCGGGGGGAGGGGCTGGGTCCGCAGGGAGGCACCCACCCTCCCACCTCGGGGGCCCCCAGCCCCGCTCCCGATGCCCTCTCTCCCCAGCTGGGCACCGCTGCGGCGCCGCTTACCCTGGCGGAGGTCGGAGAGGATGTGGTGCACCTGGAACCCGCCCGCGGCCGTGCACGCCTTGGAGTGGCCATAGCAGAAGCAGCTGCTGCAGCCGGCCGGGTTGTGGGGCTGCAGGTTAAATGTCCCCGGGCGACATCTGGGAGGGATACGAGACAGGCTGGGGGGCCACGTGAACCCCCCGGAAGGGCCAGGGCCAGGGGTCCCGGCAAGGCTAACATGGACCCAGGGCCACTGGGGAAAATTAAAAGTATGTTCTTCCGGGCATGGTGGCGCATGCCTATAATCCCAGCACTCAGGAGGCTGAGGCAAGAGGATAACTGCAAGTTCGAGGCCAGCCTGGGCTATAAAGCTCAAGGCCAGCTCCAAACTGAGCTCAAGGCCAGCCTGAACTGCATAGCGAGACCCTGTCTCAAAAAGACAAAAAAAAAAAAAAAAA